GCAACCATTACACCATGTTCCACGTGACATCTTAAGTAATTAATAATAATAACATAATAACATATAATACACACATTATCCTTAGCTAAGCTTATACTAAAATAAAATCTTTATTATTAAATACATAAGATACGCAATATCGCTACTGTGAACTCACTCTGCGAACATATTATAAAGATGTGTCGGAGACGGTATTCAGTAGGCGCACGTCGTTAAAGGGAATCTGTGCAACAAGTTCTGGCCCTTGGTATATAAATTAAAATAATGTTTTATTATTTACTAAAAAATTTAATCATTAGCAAGGTATTAAATAAAGTCGGATTTATAATTTCTGGTATCATACGAGTATTGTGTAACATTTTGCATTGCATTTGCTACAGAATCTTTGGTAGAAGTATTTAATTAATTCTGTAACTGCTTTCAACTGATTATTTTTACCCAATGTGGGTCATTGAGGTCAATCCTCCCGTTGCACAAATGTATTCGTGTATTATGTGTAAATTTATACCCAAAAAGACTTTGACATTTTGTATGTTACAAGTATTATTAACCGACAACAAAACCTCCAAAAAACCACGAATTCGAGTTGATTAACATTTACGTTTTGATTACAATTTTTTTTTTGGAATAAACCACGGTAGTTAACCGTGCATTACAGTTATTTAACAGAAAAACGAAAATCAAATGAAACGGCCGGCAACGCACTCGCGAGCCCTGTGGCATTTAGAGTGTACATGGGCTGCGGTATCACTCCTGCCCGTTTGCTGCCTGTACTATAAAAAAAAATCGATAGGATTGCAGGACTCCAAGAATCCATGATTGATTTTCATTAATGTTTAAAGTAATATATAAATTAAGTTTTTATCTGGTTCAATGTTTATTTTAGGAACTACCGCCACTAATTTAAAAAAATGGGTAGTCAGTTTTTAGGCTTTTAATTAATTGGCGAAATCGTTGAGCAGTTAGTACTAATATGACGTAATTTATTTAACTTGTACATTCACGGTTATAAGCAAACATTTAAATGCTAAAATATGGTCAGTTAGTTAGATTGCGAAGTGCCTAAAGGTTATCGTCTTCTTAGGTGAGTGAACTTGGAATGAAAACGGTTCTTTTCGCACTGAGTGATAATTATTTTTAAGTTAATTTGAATAGTTCATTAAATTTCACCACAGACAATAAATGACTTAGGGTCCTTCAAGAAAGGAGCGTACCAATTCTATGAGCGGCGTTACTCTGTTCTTTAAAAAAAAATTGAGTTCAAATCTTCTTAATGGTTTTCTGTCGGTCTAAATATGCTTAGGTCTATTTCACATTCGGCTTTGATGGCGTAAAGGTGCGCCCTTGTGAAACAAACACCCTTAATCAATAGAAACCTGGGTGTGGAAGTATGGTCTAAGCCACAGTGATTTATAACACGATACCAGCTATACTTAAATATTTAGCTATAGAATTCTTAGATCCTCCAGACATTTTTTGACAACATTATTTATTCAATTCGGAAAGCGATATTATATTGTTTTACGAAATACAGCAAATTTTAAAGTTTTAAACCTGCGTGCCTTTTAAACGCATTAACAATGTTCATCAATAAACCAGTTGTCGTAATGCAATGTGTGCATTTTTTATAAGACAAGGCCAGCTTATAAGATAAACTAGAATATGCTTTCCACGCGAAAAAAGTATGGCCTAGTTTATTCGAACACGTGATATATTTATAGCAATATATCTATTGTATATTGACTATATATTTTACAAGTCCGATTCTAACCGCTAATAAATAATGATAAGTTTCAGAATCTTAGCGCTAATTATGCAAAAACGTTGTTGATTTTTGAATTCATGAACTACACTTCAAATATAAAGTTTGTATTACGCGATTTCCGTCCTCCATATAACGCGGAGATCTCTCAAGTTATATTTCTGTAGAGTGAAATTTATAATGATTTATCAAGTCTTTAAAATAATAAGTTTTGCATACCTTTCCACCTGTTTCAATTGTGTTGTTATAAAATTTAACTACTTAAATAACTTTATTAAATTCGTGTTCCTATTTTTTTTATACATGAACACTACTACGAGATTTTCTATAACGCGGACCGGGTCTACCGCGTTATAGGGATGATTACTGTAATCGCTTGTATCCTATTTCTTGGGATAAACATAGTTAAACCCCTTGGACATTAATATTAAATACCGCTCAAATAAACAGTTAATTAATAAAATTAATTGTTCGTCTTACTTTTATGACAAACTTTCACAATGTTGGTATGGGTGGAAAGTTCCTGAATGCTGTATATGTACTCAACACCGATGGCTTTGAGGGCCCTTATTTAAATAAACAACAACAAAGTTTGAATACTTTGCAAATATGCCGCGCGTAATAATTATTATTTTTCTTAAATTGTTAGACTAAAGTGTTTGAAAAGGTATAATATTTTTTTATTGCTTAAAAATTACTAAAAACTTAAATTATAAAGTCTTCACACATAATGTGTATATTTCCTAGCTATAGACTCTTCATCATCGGACGTCAAGAATACAAAATACCATCTGTATCACCTCGACGTCGGTCGTTCCACAACTGAGCGTTTTCTAAAGCATTTTTTGCCGCGAACTACCACTATGTGGAACTAGCTGCCCACTGAAGTATTTCCGAACCTATTCGACTTAGGGTCCTTCAAGAAAAGAGCGTACTAATTCTTAAAAGGTCGGCAACGCACTTGCCTTCTGGCAATGTGTATATGGGCAGCGGTTATCACTTACCATCAGGTGAGCCATAAGCCAGCGTTTGCCTCCTGTTTCATTAAAAGAAACTATAACTGTATGACTATGTTTATATGTTACAACCGCTTAAGCGTTCAAATTAATGTTTCAATTTCATCGGTAAATGTATTTAGAGAATCTGGTTTATTTCACGCAGTAAACGCATTAGTGAATGAACATTGACCTGTTCACTCTTGCATTATAATTATTTTGTGTTTATCAATGTAATTCTGCTTAAATCTATAAAATACAAAATTAATCAGTGTCGCTACAACCTTTTTACGCCACCTCTGGGTATCGGTTTCATGATCATTTGTCAATCTAATGGGCAAGTAGGTGATCAGCCTAATCTAAGGCAAGCCGGTTTCCTCGCGATGTTTTCCTTCGCCGTTCGAGCGAATGTTAAATGCGCACATAGATAGTCCATTGGTGCACAGCCGGGATCGAACCTACGACCTCAGAGATGAGAGTCGCACGCTGAAGCCACTAGGCCAACTCTCTGCTTAAATCTATATTTCTATAGAAAAGTTTTATTTAGCATTATTTTCAATTGTATACAATTTACACTGTCAAGAATACCTATTATGCCTATAGGCTATAAGTTACGAGTTATATATCGCTTTGATTAGGTATTTATTTGTTTCAAATTTACACGTAAAAAGACAACAGTTTAAGACTAAGCCTAGGCTTCTTCGGATTTAATTAATAATTTAAATATTGCATTTACCTTGTAATTATTTAACTAATTAATAATCAATCGAGGAAATATGCTAATCCCAGTAAACAATATTAGTCCATATAAACGTAGGGAAGGAAATACGCGTTAATTAATAGTGTTAAGATAAACAACATTGATAAGACTGGTTGGAGCCCTTGGAATCGATTCAAGGTTGCTAAAACTACCAAACGATCCACTGACCTAAATTCATTTAAAAATACGTTACGATAAGCCTATTAAAATATTTGTATCAAATTTATCAAGTCAGTGAATCAAGTAGTGATTAGCGTTATATAAGGAATAAGATAATTTACACAGAAAATATTTTCTTTATTATTTATTTATATACGATAAAAGATTATGTGTGCCTACGAGCAAAGGCCTCCCCAATTGTCCTCCATTTTCCGTATTGCATACCAATCTCGTCCAGGTCTTAGTCTTTCCAGCCATTTCCATGATGTCATCGGCCCACCTTTTAGGTTGCCTACCTCTGTTTCTTTTATGGCTTCTTGGTTGCCTCCTATTACATTCTGGTTCAATATTTTGTTTAAGGGAGCGTTCAAGTATTACGTAACGAATTTTATGAGGGGGTAAACGTTACGTTGCGGGGCGGGGATTGAATTACGCGTTATCGTTAATATTATTTTATTTTGGTATCGTTTTATTTTCGACTTTCCAGTACTTTACACCACAGAATGGTATATTTTAGGTATAAAGAGTCTCTGGGTGGTCACGAAACGTTTTACTATTGGGTAAAGAAAAACGTTACGGCGCGTTACATGGGGTTAATAATCTCCAAAAATTGCGTAATACTTGAACAATCCTTAAGACAATCTAAATAAAATATTATTATTTGCAAGTCTTTATAGAAAGTGAACAAAGGTTGACATACTTTCCACCGGTTACGATTATTATAAAAGCATTTGACGTAATAAATTACAGTGTAACTAATAATACATGATTGGTGATGTTTTCTCACGCGTTCGTACATTAACTTTTCTCTCGCTGAAAGTGAAGAGATGCGGATAATTGGCCATTTACTATAGAGCTGTTAACTTCTTAAATAACTTGGCCTATATTAATAATAATCATATATCCTATTAGTACTGATTTAGACCATCTTATCATTAGAACCCGAAGTTAAACTCGCGCTTTACAGTAATACGGTGTGTCAGAAAAATATGACGTATAATTTTGCCAGCCCAGCGGGAAAATTTCGAAAATTTATTATTTTTGTAAATAATTATTTGTAATTTAAGTTTTTCAATATATGTTTTAAAATCTACTTACCGTGTTTCGTTAACAATTTCCAAGTCATTTCTTCCTAAAACCTATTAAGTTTCTTAAAATAATTTCTAAATTTAATGTCTTAGCAATTCAAGTTTAGATATTAAAAATTAAGTATATATTATAGTCATAAGAATTTTAGGAGCCTAAGGTTGGAAACAAAGTAGGTTGGAAAACACTGCATTAGTCCGTCTATAACCGTAAAACATGATAGACTCTCTTATTCCAGGCATGTCTAGAACAAGAAGCCCGCGTGGCAGAACTGCGGTCTCTCGCAGCCAGGGTGGCCGCAGAGACAGGTTCCCGCGCGTTACAGGCTGACGCAGATGCATTGGCCAGACGACTACAGCTCGTTGCCGGTGCTGTTCAGGCCCTGGCTGACCTGGGAGAGGCCAGACAAATCGCCAGAGCGAAGGCCCAACACGCCAAAGAAATGTTCTGTGATATGAGACAAGTGAGTTGTATGCAGATTTTTATTTTTTTTTATTAATACGTCTTTTCACTGAAACATCATAGAACATTACGATCAACCTAACTTAAGACTAGTAAAGATATTTAAAATGAAAAAGTGTTCAATAACACTACTTAAGGGGAAGACGCTCAGTTCTTTTGTTTTAGTTTTTCACTTATCATTGTTAAGCACTTAAAACCAACGTGCACTAACACTCATTCAAATGGTTTTTGTCCTATTCAATCTTCTCACTAGGCCCGTGGTGTCAAGAAGTTTAATAGCCTGGATATTCATGTGACAGTGGAGCCTTTTTTCGTGGGCTCCGGCAATCTTTTTAATTATTCTGGCGACGTCCTCTACATTTAGTTATAATTAAATGAAAAGCACTTACGTTCTTTTGCCTATAAATAGATCTTTGAACTCTTTGAATTTAAAACTAGAAAACTGAAAATAATATGATAATTTCAATAAAACCGAAATGTTCTTAGTAAGCAATATCAACAACTATATGTGACTTTCGTACGAAAGTAATATAATTGACCCGGAAATAAATTCGTGATGCTAATTATAACTTCCCGTTAATTTTAAGTCACGTAATGTTCCGAATTGGCGTCTGACGTGACCAGTTGCCACGGGATATGATCCCCTTATTAGGTCAGTGTCGACCTATAGGATTACGACGGGGGAATGCTTCTACCTAATCACATGTTGTGTTATACATAGCGTCATAATTGTATTACGCGATAAATCCTTAAAGATAGAGTTTTTATCTTTTCAGGATCTAACTCCAGTTCACGAGGATGGTGAAATCGTCGAAGATAAACTAATCGCGCTACGAGATAACTTAATCGCACTCGGAAAGAGTGAGGCGGATATTGCTCCCGCTAAAGCAGAGTTACCGGAGATTGACCGCGATGTATCTGAGGAACATTCTATTGTTAGGATTTTGGAGTTATGGCAGGCGATGTTTAGAGATACTTTCCTGCATTATCACAGGCTTTCCACTGCGTTAGTAAGATCTGGAGACGCTGCTACTGCATTTAAACTATGGCACGAATACTTATTGGATCTACAATCGTTCCTCTCTAGTACACTTCCCACCGATTACGAAAATCTAACTGAACATCGTCGACTATGCAGAGTTCACAGAAACTTGTTGGCGTCTCAAAGATCTGTCTTAATTAATGAAAATAGAGATACGAACAATCGTGACTTGGCCGATAAATTTGATACGCTCACTAACCTTCACAATGAAACTCTGGCAAGAATTGTCGAAAGACACGATGAAGTCAGTACACGAATTTCCGCCTGGGATGACTACAGGGAAATCTACACCGAATTACTGAAATGGCTTAAAGAACTCGAAAGAGAGAAAGAAAAATTACAACTAAGATATGTACATATAAAGAGAATAAATAAGACGCTAACACAGGTTCAGAATCTCGCAGACAAACTTCCAGAAGGACGAAAGTTTGCCGAAAAACTTTCCAGTAACCTTAAGAAGGTTCTAGAATTCACAGAAGATACTTACGGTGCATCTGTGAGGATGGAGTATGCGGGTATCGTAAAGAGAGTTGATAATTTGCAAGCTAGCTTAGACACGTGGCGTGACTTCCTCACGAGGATATTAGGGCTCATTGCGGAATATGAAACACTAACAACTGATTTACAAAAACTTTATTCACGAACTCAAAATGACATAATGACCTACTCCGATGAAGAACGTCTGTCGAGACCACAAATCAAAAAATCACTTGAAAAATTTACAGACTTAAGAACGAAGATCGACAAAACCGAATTCCAGATAGAAGCTCTAACTGTTATTCAAGAACAATTGAAAGAATGTCTCAGTCCTCAGGACATTAGAATAGTTAACCAGAAAGTATGGCAACTCCGCCAACAGCGTGCTGATTTGGAACACCAGCTTTCTATTATCATTCATAAACTGCGGGAAAGGATAGAAATCTACACGATATTCGACTCCAGGCTACTACGGTTCTCTGAATGGTTAAAATCTGTTGAAACGAGACTCGAATCTACGACCTCCAATGAAGCTGGCGCATTAGATCCACATGACCTGATAAAGAGAATTAATTCAGACCTACAAGCTGAGACAGCTATGAAGGAACGTGAGTTCGAATGGCTAACTGAAACAGGCATTACCTTAGTGGACTTGTCTAAGAAAGATGAAAAGTCTTACAGCAAGAACACTTCCAAACAACTGAAGGATATTCAGGAACGTTGGCATCACTTGCAAGAGTCGAGAAGAAGTAGAATAGCAAAAATCACTGAGCTTTTGGTGACCATATCACAACTTGAGGAGCGATTGACGGAGATTAGAACAAAGTTACACTCCATTGAATCTAAGCTTTCTACCTCAGTAATCATAGAAAAGTTGACAACCAAAGCAGTCGACTCCCAATTCCAAAGCCGGGATGAAATTCACAAAGATATTGAAAACGAGAGCGAAGAAGTGGGTAATACGCTGAACCTCTGTGAACTAGTTTTCAATGACCCCGACGTGTTAAAAGGCAACTTTGATCTGCGCAATCTTCGCACAGGAGTGGAAATCGTAGATAAGAAATGGAAAAACATCTGTGAAATGTCGGAGCAACGCAAGACTGCTCTCAAGGAAATACGCAAATCGGCCGAACTAGCGAACTCTTTATTGCCCAAAGTCGAAAAGAAATTGGACGCGATAGAGAAGCGCGTAGAAAAGGTGGAAGCTAGAAAACAACGCGGAGAGAACGAAGACGAAAGTGTATCGAAGGCTGTCATCAAAGACTTGGACAGTTTAGAGAGTGATATCAAAAAGCTGGAGGACGCATACGGCCGAATTATGTCTGCCAGAGGAATAGAGCTTCGTGGAAATGGCGCAGATGATGCGGCAAGACTACGAGCGGCCGTGAGACGGTGGCAGCAGCTGAGGGTCAGAGTGGATGCGGCTGGAGCTGACGCCCATAGGCAGTTCGTGGCTGCTCACGGCAAGGCCGTGGTCGCCTTGGCCGAAGCCGATGTCAGACTGACGCGAGCCTTACACCTCTCGCCCACACCTACGGATAAAGAAGCCATCCTCAAGGAATTGGAGGTAAGGGCATACAAATAATTTGACTTTATATTTCAATATAAAGTCAAATTATTCTTATTTTAATGTACTTATAAAAATTTAGAATGTGGTATGCGCCTATAATTGGGGTAGCACTTGGCTTGTGTTTGTGTTTGTGTTACATTACTTGTATTAGTGTCTACTTTGTTGGTGCATAAAATAAATAAATAAATAAATAGAATTTAAAACTACACAGTCGATAGTTTTTAAATTTTATTTCCATTTGAAAATAAATGAAGCACCATTTTTAATTACTTCTAAAGTACTAATTATTAAAGGGAAGTATACGCAATAAATGATAACCTTTGCTGCTATTCACTGATATTTCGCAAGATTATACTATAGTTTCATACCTATGAACTATAAAATTATGAATTAAATAAGAATCTATATTACTATGTAAAATTATTTACAAGTTTTTGCAAACGCCATTTATAACATGTAGTGAAACACACTTTACATAGTATCTGGTTGATCAAATAAATTTTTGTTACACAGGGTGTAGAAAGAGATCTCGTAGAATGCCAGTCGTACGTCGAGGCAGGCGACAGACTCGCGGCTTCAGTGCTGAGTGTCGCGGGAGTACCAGACATGGTGGCCGAGTATCGGGCCCTTTACTCCGACGTGCGCATGCGCCTCGATATTGCGAGGGCTGAGGTCGTTGGAGATGTCGATACTGCAGTTCAGGTTGGCTTTTACATCTATTTTGTTTGTGTTTTTTAAAGAAATTCAATAAGAAATGGGGGTGTCATATCTACGTCAATTTCTCTTATACCTTCAAAATTCTGGATCACCACCTAAACTGATGCCAAATTATAAATGTATTTTACAGGTGGACACCCTCAGATGGGAAACAGATGCCGCTCTCCAAGTCGACACATTAACTTCCAAAGAAACCTATCGCGTTGAACTAGCCTCCGCCGTCAAAGAAGCCTCGGAGGCATTAGAAGCTCTAAGAACAGCCCTGGTTCACGAAATACCAGAAAACGCACCCAGCGAAGACTTGGCCAATGCCGCCAAAGAGATCGCCAAGGCTGGCACCAAACCCTCACAAACCTTGGAGTTGGCCAAACATCTATCGGAACTGCTCCTCACAGAGTGCGACGCGACGGAAGATGAAGCTATGCTGCAGGAAGTGGGATCACTCGCATTCCGATACGAAGATCTGCTCAACCAGGCCAAGAAACGAGAACTCCAAATCAACAACTTAAGGTAGTTTACTCGACAGATATCTCTGGTTTATTTGAGCTGGTTCGACAGCTAGCACTTTGGTGGCGGGCTTTTCAGTACTTTAGCACTAAACATTTTCAGCACTTAACAAGAATAACGGTTGCTTTGGCTTTAAAAAGAGTTTACTTCAAATTTAGTTAATTTAATGAATTTTGAAATTAACTTGTATATGTTTGTACATGACGATTTTGAAAGAACGAATAAGTAATTTTATCCACGACTGTTCGTGTAGGTAAGTTTGACACCTCTATGAAATTGTAAATGATGAAGTAGGGTTAATTGTTAAGTGTTGCCTGTTAATAGCATGCGTGATAAAACGTGGTTTTCTCGTCCTAGGTTGCCGCACTCCGCGTCCTACGCTCTCACTTGCGAGCAGTGAGTATCGCTTACAATAATCCACCTTCACACATTGCGATTGCTCCGGATTTATTGTCTGTCACAAATCTTATATTTGAAGTGAAAACTTCTTTAGCGGCGTTGTACACTTTTTTGGAATGGGTAAAAATGCAAAACTCGCGTCAGGACACGTGACCTGATCGAAAATTCGTAAGAAGTATTTAATGTAATATAAATTGTCATGTTTGTGTACGATAGCGCAATAAATAAATATTGGATTCTACCACATAAATGATAGTACTTTTATACTGATAATTAAAGCAATTCGTGCAAAATTATTCCCTAACCATTCCAAAATATCAAAAATGCACAACGTTAATATTCAAGTTTTCACTTCTGCCGGCACTCCCGGAGTGCAACCTGTCGTTTATTTATTAACAACCCTCTAATTCTTACGTGCTCCCCTCTTATTTTGAAATCAATTATGAATAGATGTTTTTTTTTTCCTGTGCTTGTCACATTAAATCTTGTATTTTATAATTCTTGTACCAATGTATCAGTGTGTCGAGCGTTGGCAAGCTTTTGTAATTAAATAAATTCGTAAAAGTTGGGTTCGCTATTTTAATAAAGCTTAAAAGTTAATTTTAAAAAGTTCCTCATTTTTTAAGCGATTATTTGAAAGATTGTGTACTGTCAATTTCATAGTAGAATTTCTGTCATTACACAGCGTACATATAATTTGACGAACACAAATTAGTACTTTGATTTAAAAACCAAATAAAATAAATATCTTCGTAGTAAATTTTACGTTTAGACGAATTAACTAATAACTTATTAAACGGCAGTTAAATAGGCATCACCTGGACAAGCGTTCCCTGCCCCAGGGACAGGCTCTGTGGCCAAACGTCTGACCAAAATAAAATAAAAACTTCACATTAAAATTTAACTGAACTTTGCTTGAGTAGGTATATATTCTCTGCTAACGATTCGAAACTTTAATATAATTAAGATATTGTGACAGATAATAAAACGATGTTTGGCTTGTAGAATAGACAATAGTTCGCATGTATAATGTATATGTAGTATTGAATGCACTGTTTTATTTTTCACTTCTAAAAATAATTTTACACAATTTCTTATAGTTCTACGTATAAAAGTATTATATTATATGTATGTATATGCTTTTACCATTCATTTTACTCAACTACCATATATACCTATAGTACTTAGGAATAATAATAACATTTGCAGTGAATCTGGTCGGCTGACGTGTCCCCTCTGCTCTGACCGGAACTGGAAGCAGTTGGATAACGATTTGTGGAGACTCGAGCAGTGGCTCCAGTTCGCTGAAGCCACGCATGAAGCGAGACATGAACCTCCAGAACAATATGACACCCTCGAAGATACTATACAGGTAAAAAGAGAATAATAAATAAAAAATAAACATGACATGTCTAAAACTCCTTTTGAACAAGAGAAAAAATGTTGTCCTACAATTTTACGTTTTTATTCTCAAAAAAATTATAAGGATAGCTTGCTATTTAAAGCTAGTTTTTAAATAACTTTTAATTGTAATTCATTGAAATTCCATCTTCAGGACCACCGCGAATTCCTGCTAGATCTAGACTCCCACAAGGCCCTCGTGGTGTCCCTCAACGTGGTGGGCACGCACGTGGCTCGTCACGCGCGTGACGTGTCGGCGGCCGAACGCGTCCGCGAAAGACTCGCCGAAGCGAACCGGAGATGGGACGAAGCATGCGCAAGAGCAGCAGACTGGCAGACCAAGCTGCAGAGGGCGCTCATGCACAATCGGGAGTTCCATGATATCGGTGAGTTTGATGGTATATAAGTGACTTGAGTGAGACGTGAGAAAGAAGTTCAAACAAAAGATTATCTAATGGAGGATAATATTGACTTCGATCATCTATTTAAGTCGACTTCCCACGGTTCTTCCAAAAGGAAAATATTGTAAACCCGTAAGATAATTGTTTTTTACTCTTTAGGAACGTAAGGCACAACTTTTTTTAATTATTATTTTGTGAGTGAGATATTTTTTATTATGAGATCAGGTTGGGGAGGCTTTGTCGTACATACGGGACAAGTTAAAAGTACCCATAAACGACGAGCATGAAAGTGGATGAAGCGAGAGAGGGACCGTAGCAAAAATGTGATAATATAAATAAATACATTTTTAGGGTCCATAATGCCATACCATAGATTATAAACCTCCTTAATCCACAGTGGTAGAATTGGTCAGCCAACTCGCAAACGCAGAGCGCCTGGTCCGGTCCCGGGAGCCTTTGCGTTTGAGTCGGCCTCCAGACGAGCTGAGGGTGGAGTTCCGAAGGTTCAGCGAACTACGCGACGAACTGAGTCGAGCTGAACCCAGAGTCCTGGCTTTAAGGGATGCAGCCCAACTCCTACACGGGAATGATGCACAGGATGTGTGTAGGCGGTGAGTTTCTCAAGTATATATCCCGGAATTTTCACAAAGTTTTCTTGTAGCCAGGTATTACCGTCGCCTTTAGGTATGTTTATAATCGAATTCATAAGTACCTACTGTGCAAAATATGTTTTAATAATATTTTTTATGCATGACGCAAAAGAAATTAAAAAAAATACAGCTCTTTCTTCAAAAATTGGTTAAGTGTGATTTATAACACAATTCCGCTCATGAATTTGTGTTCATAATATTCATAGTAACATGATTTATATATTTTTTGCAGTTTGGGCGAGCTGCGCCTGCGCCTTCAATCCCTCCGCAAGCTATCAGCCGTATACGCTCTGAAATTGGGCGCAGCCTTGGCCAGGGAGCCATCCGCTACCGGATCCGCTCTCGCCGCTGCCGCCGCCACGCTTGCGCCGCAGGTACGTACGCATACGTATACGCTCGCACATACGAACAATTTTTAAAACAGTTGGCCGGTTATCAAACTCAGCATCTCTGGGTTCATACATTACTTTGTGTTTAAAGAAATTTGTTGAATATTAGAAAAGCTATAATAAACCTTTGAGCTAATTCCATTTAGAACCTTTTACCATTAGTATTGAAAAATGAATAATTCGCTTATCACAGCTTCTAAAAGCACATTGACATAAGCTTACACAATTGAGAAATGACGTGAAATGCACTGCATAGTTACCGAAGAAATTACGCGAGTTTATAACTTCTTTAACGGATTTAAATGCGATTTTATACAAAAGGGGGGTACTGGGGGGTAAACGTTACTGCGGGTCAGCCATAAATGGCCTTTTCAGCAATCAGAGTCACCAGCTATTTATATTTAAATATTTTGAGATATTGTCATCTATTGTGAAGTTGGTTTTTGCAATATTCATTGGATTGGATTTTTACAAAATAGATTGTTCCTTTCCGTTCGTTTAACGGACTTCCATCATATGTAAAAAATAGATTACATTTTGCTACAAGGGAGTAAAAATTCGGACATTCGCTATTATATGTTCAAGAAGTTTATTAATTTTAGCTCAAATTAAAATGAGATACATTATTAGTAATCCTTTAAACACTATTTTAATATGTAAATGATACATTTCAGCTATTTCATAAAAAAGTCTGCACTCTCACCGTCTCTTTCTGTCAAATTGTGTTTACGCTGAGATGAAAAGGGACTGATGTATTTTTTTAATAATAAAAAATTAAAATAGTGTCTTCACTAGTAGAGCTTGGCACAGTATGTTGACGTATTATTGTCTCCGTAGCTGATGCAGGATGACGAAGAGCCCAGCTTCAGTTTGCCGCCTCTCACCGACAACGAGTAAGTACCGCACTGATTAGGGCCAGTCTCAATAATCAATAAGTACACCGGGTATAATCGAACTGAATATTGTTCATTTTTATTTATCCTTGTAATTTTATTGTTCTTATCGCGTGCGTTCAAAGTTCGATAATTTCGCTACCAGTAAGTACATAAATTATTTTTCTTTTGCATAATAATAAGTCTTTAATAAGATTTTCAATTTTAATAAATTATTATTTGAGACTTAAAAACCGTTGTTATATTGCTCCTTCATGGTAGTTATTGAGATTGGCCGTTACGATTTTCACTTACAAGTTGCCGTAGACTAGACACGTATTCGAAACATAAGCTAGCTCAGTTGTAATACTTTCCTGGCACAAAATATAGAAATAATATTGAATGTTAAAAAAAACTACCTTCTCAGAGATTTAACAAACTTTTTCTTGCTCCTCAAAGTCATATAAATCGTTAAGGGTTAGGTTAAACGAATATAGTTTGATCGCTTGTGATTGGTCAATCACAACAGTTTTCTGATTGGTTGAGCGCTTAGTTTAATTTTTATCTCCAAATCTCTTTCTCACTACTTGACTGAAAACTGCAGTACTGTGATTATCAGAAATGTCTAATGTATGTTGTGTTTCCAGCGTTCCAGCGAGCGATGAAACGGAAGAGCGCTCTCTGTCGGGCGTCCAGCGAGGCTTAAGATTCGTGTGTCGTGTCGCACGCGCATCTCTGCCTTTCCAGGCCCTTCTCCTCCTCCTCCTAGGGGCGGCCGCTCTGGCCCCTCACACCCAAACAGACTGTCGGGCCACGCCCAGTCTCCAGCCCGTGTTACGGTATCCCGACGGCCCACCCCCCATTTAAGCATTAATTATAATCTCGTAAATTTCCTCCCTCGGGAGTCTCGTACTGAATTCTCTGAGGCCAAATCCAGGTTCTCTCTTCTCCCTCTTAAGACTAGATTTTGTATATTTCTCACCGGTCGCCATTTTGACAATCGCGTGTGCGCTCAACCCTGCTTTTGCTAAAAACGCGGCGTGTGAGCGCGGAGTGACATTCCAATTATAGGTGCTAGTGCGCCCGCGCATGTATATAAACGTTTTTGTATATTTGTAACGTTTGCTTAAAAGACGAGCGCGGGCGTCGACGACGCGCCGAATCGAACGAAATATTTATATAAAAATATATTTAATATTTATTATTTATATAATCTGTATTTAAAGATGGCGCCGCACAAATAATACGAGGCGACGGCTTATTCACGCATTGTTACTTAAAATAGATTGTAAGGACTGTTTATAAAGTCAATAAAGCCTTGCATTGATTGTACGCTTTTTATTTACATTTGCCTTAGTTTAAGATAGATAGGGATAGCTGAGTCGCGTCCGTAGTCTGCGCACGCGCCGACGCCGAGGGACCGAGCTACGAGCCACGCATACTTCAGATTCTATTACCTGAGGGATACACATATTAATCTACTATAAATTATATAATTATAATGGAGAAATTCAAATTCTGAATTAGGCCCAAACGGTAGGAGGCTCACCGAGTGATACCGTCGCACATGGACACTAAAATTGCCAGAAAGGTCGCAAGTGCGTTGCGGGTATATTAAGAATTGATACGCTCTTTTCTTGAACTTAGTGCTACGTGTCTGAATCTTACCCCTCGACTACCATGGATCATTCAATCGTCCATGTAGCTCGGATGTCCCTTATATAAATAAAAAATATAGCGCGACTACTCACCACTCAGTTCACAGGGAAACAATAATATTTATGTTTGGAAGACTAGATCTGGCTATTAAAGTACTTTAAATCAGTGGCGCTAAACTAACCTAACCTTTTTATTTCTGGGCCTCAGATTTCTGTGTCTGTTTCATGATGACTTATAGTCAAGTAGTTGATCGATCTCCTGTGCCTCACACCGTCGACTGTTTGGGTCTAAGCAAGCCGGTTTCCTCACGATGTTTTCCTTCACCGTTCCAACGAATGTTACATGCGCACGTTATTGGTGCACAGCCGGGGATCGATCCTACAACCTCAGGGATGAGAGTCGCAAGCTGAAGCCACTAGGCCAACACTGCTCATTAAACTACTTAGGGAAGATAATATTAAAGTTTCTAACGTACTGTATCGTCATTTACTGGAGGTGTGAACAACGCGGCCCTTCCCACCCCCGCAGCATCTCCCCGTACGACTGCATCACGTGCACTCCCCACCATCACTTGACTCAGGCATACTATTACCACCTATAGTGAAAATACTTCAGTCTACTTGAAATTTTAGTAATAGTTTACCTAAAATCCAAATAATTTCCATACATTTTTTGTATAGTATGACTAAAAACCTTCTTGTTTATATATTTTATGACTCTCAATGATAGAAATGTTTTCGATTTGACATACCTACAAAAATAACACTTTGTATGTCACAATAGTATAAGATCGATGTGGTTCATGCACCGGCCATCAAATACAAAAAAAATATAATGGAGAATTGTTAGGCCTAGCTATAAAGGATGATGTATACCTGTACAATAAGAGATAGCAGATTACACAGCTGAAGTGCAAGGGTAGCCCGTGTAAGAGGCGCTCGCACAGCATCTACGCATCCGCGAGCGTGGAGTGACGCACCCACTAACGGGTGAGAACTCGACCAAGCTTCACGCCATTCCCACTGTAATAGTATTGACATAAAAATAAAATAAAAAAATAAAATATGTTTATTATGGAACATAAGATACATGTATCACTTATTCCACGTCATTAAATTTGAAGGCATCCCTACTCATCGGCAAAGAAGACAGAGGGTGTAGGCCGAGAGAAAAAGCCGGCGTAAAAAACTCTCGGTACTCTTTTAAAACAGCAAATCATCAAACAACACTTATTTAAAACAAATATCGCAAATTGATTAGAAGTAGCCTGTCTAGCACTAGTCCCAGGCCCTTTTATCAACTAGATAATCGTTGACTTTATAGTAAGCCTTTTTACACAGCTTTTCTTTAATACATTTCTTAAATTTATTGAAAGGCAGTGATAAAAGAGCCTCTGGGATTTTATTAAAGAAGAGTATCCCTTTCCCCAAAAAAGAATTACTAACTTTAGATAGTCTAGTACGGGGAAATTGCAGCCTGCGTTTGTTCCGTGTATTAACATTGTGCGTATGTTCTATTCTAGTAAACTTATCACTATTTTTGTATACATACATAATATTTTCATAAATATATTGCGAGGGAAAGGTAAGTATATTAATTTCCTTGAATTTATCTCTAAGAGATTCCCTACATTTTAAATTATAGATTGCACGAATAGCCCTCTTCTGCAGGATGAAAATAGTTTCGACATCAGCAGCATGACCCCATAATAATAAGCCATAAGTCATTAAGCTATGAAAGTAACTAAAATAAACAAGTCTAGCTGTATCGACATCAGTTAGTGAGCGAATTTTTTTAACCGCGTAGGCTGCAGAACTAAGTCTCTTCGCCAATCCGTTAATATGAGGGGACCACTGAAGTTTTGAATCCATGGTGATTCCGAGAAATACAGTTGTATCATCCAGATTCAATTCCTCACCGTTTATAATTGGTCTAGTATCCATAACCCTTGCATTTTTTGCACAAAATTTAATGCATTTTGTCTTTTTTGCATTAAGTAGAAGGTTATTCATACTAAACCAATGGACAATCGAAGACAGAGCATTGTTCACATCGTCAAAATTTGTTATTTGTCGTTTGATTTTAAAAATCAAGGACGTGTCATCAGCAAACAAAACTATCTGATGTTTTCTCTCTACCATGAAAGGTAGATCATTTATATAAACAAGAAAGAGGAAAGGGCCAAGAATTGAGCCCTGTGGTACCCCCATATCTACTGCCGACCCAGAGGACCTTTTACCATTCACTTCAACCTTCTGAGTTCTTCCGTGTAAATAGGAAGTCAGAAGATTCAGTGCGGTATTCTTGATGCCATAGTGGCGGAGTTTCCCGATTAAGGTCTCGTGTTGGACACAATCAAATGCTTTGGATAAGTCGCAGAAAACACCTAAAGCGTCATGCGACTCCTCCCAAGCCTTAACTATATATCTATATAACTCAACACCGGCATCGGCTGTCGAGCGACCCTTGGTAAAACCGAACTGATTATTATGTAATAATTTGTTTACGTTAAAATGACTTACCAGTTGATTTAATATAATTTTTTCAAATATTTTACTACAAGTAGGTAGTACGGAAATTGGTCTAAAGTTACTGGGGTCGGACATACTACCTGCTTTAAATAAAGGAATAACTTTACTATGTTTCATTAGATCGGGAAACTCGCCACTTTTAATACAATTGTTGAAAATTATAGCTAGATGGGGAGCAATTACATCAATTATGCTACTAATTATTTTTACAGAAATACCCCAAAGATCGGTAGTGTTCTTAATATCTATGGTTCTAAATATCCTCACTATATCGTCGGCACCAATGGGTCGGAATGAAAAACTGACCTTGCACTCGTTTACATTATCTTTGAGCAGCGATTCGGCGAGGGCGGGAGATGATTGAAGAGACTTAGTAGTCGAAATTGGAATGTCAGAAAAGTACTTATCAAAAACAATCGCTATCTCTTCGTTAGATTTGATTATAGTGTTATCGACACATAGTTCGATGTCTTGATTGCGATCCCTGACTCTTCCAGTTTCACTATCAATTATCTTCCAAGTCATTTTAGTTTTATTGGTACTATTTTTAATCTTGTTTTTGATATTTAAGGACTTGGCCGCGTAACAAACTTTCTTAAATAATTTCGAATAATTTCGAACATAAAGAATAAATTCTTCATTATGATTGTATGACTTTTCAGCGTAAAGGTCATACAACCGTTGTCTACTTTTATAAATTCCCGCTGTCGCCCAATCACTAAACGATTTACACTGCGAATGAGAGACTTTCTTTGGGGTAAAGATGGTGTTGAACTCTTTATTAATACAATCACTTAGATTGTTGTATTGTGTATCAACGGTAGTACCTACCGGTAATAAAGGTAGGCGTTTACCTATATTATGTCTAAATCTCACCATTCGCTTTTTATTCACTGGAACAAACACACTGCTCTTATTTACTTGTTTCACCACTTTACATTTTAGCGCCACTAACTGTCCACAATTATCTGAGCTAAGATCAGTTGTAATTGAGGTTTGCATTGCCTCTGCATCTGTAAATACATTATCTATGCATGTAGCAGTGGAGCTTGTAATTCTAGTGGGCTCAAGAAACAAGTTAACAAGATTGTAAGATTTTAATAACAGATTGAATTTTTTACTAATGGAGGTATTTTCTAATAAATTTATATTGAAGTCACCACATACAATAATATACTTATTGTTCTTAAAACTAACTTTACACAAAATTTCCTCCAACTTTTCTTCAAAAAAATCGTAAGATGCACTTGGTGGTCTGTAAACACTTAAAATAATGCAATTCTCAATCTCTATACAGGCTACTTCCAAAGAGTGTTCTACAGACAGACACACGATGTCATTACGCTCTTTATACTTTAAATTTTTATTAACAATAATCAAAGAGCCCCCATGAATCGCCGACAATCTGCAAAACGAACTTGCAACTTGGTGCTGATCAAAGTTAAAGATGATTTGGCATTCTCTAAGCCAATGTTCGGTAATGCATAGGACATCAATTTTACTTGATTAATTTTATTAATCAAAATGAAAATTATATTAAACCGAACTGTCTAGATTCTGTTCTTTACTATGTAATTAGAATTAGGTTAACGTCTATCGCTTTTACATTAGCAATGAATAAAATAAAATATATTTACTATGGAATATAAGATACAGGTATCACTTATTCCAAGTCATTTAATTTATATACGTAGACATCTCTACAAATCGGCAAACACGGTGTAGGCCGAGAGAAAAAGCCGGCGTAAAAAACTCTCGGTAGGTACTCTTTTAAAAAATCAAATCATCATACAAAATGACTATGGCAAACATAGATAGAAGAAAGTAGAAGGAGGGATATACGGTCCGCTCTTTATTTGTATTAAATTACAAAACTGAACAGAAACCACGCAGTCCAGTTTCCGGAAGCGGCACCCATAGGCATGACGTGTGAGCCAGGCATCAATGCAAGGAACTAACCCTCTGTACTCGGCAAAAAAATGCTGATTTTCGCTGGTATGGCAGCCATTTGGAACTTTCGGAAAAGTATGGCATGGAGATTTGACGACACGACGATGATTAACTGTGCAAAAATTTCCCTGGTACGAATGGTTGATTTTTTTTTATTAACGCATTCGCGTCGGTATGGCGGGCTGTAAGTCACACCGGAGAAGTATGGCATGACACTACCAACTCTTATTTTTTATGGACCATCGGAAAATACTAGAATTTTTGTGGAACAAATCGTTTGAGACTTTAATTAATCCGACAAGTTCGACTAACGCCCAAGCGATTAGGCCGCGCGCCGGTACCATCGCTATAACCATCATTTTTCTTTTTTTCATTGCGTTATAAGACCCCTGAAGAACGGCCCTACTGGTACAAATGACCGAATATTTTGTGTCACTATCTCACGGTCTAATATGCACGCAGAATAATAAAATTTATATATACTTTCGCTGTTCTTGAATGAACACTGGGTAAAATCTGATGAATCTGTACTGACTTGTTGCAATGGGTCATGGTAACACGCAGCAAGCACACGTGGAGTGCAACAAGAGTATGGAGTTACTGGAGGAGACGCCCTGCCGTCTGAACCAGCCAACCTGTAATCATGTAAAATAAATAATAATACTTTTAGTAACTAAACTCTTTTGCAAAATAATGGGCCCATAAGGAAATTTACATTCTATGGTCTATTTTAGTTAATTAAATGAAAGTCTGAAGTAGTCTGTATACGTATAATCGTCTAAATTAATACGCGCGAAGTATTTTTTTGATGAATTCTTAAGAAAGATCGACATTGCTCGCCCGCACCGTTCTGGCGTCGTGGTACATTCAAGAAGTTGGGATCCGTCGTTTAGATTTGATATTATACGTATTCCCCACCATAAATGCGAAGACTTCCATACTTCAAAAACTTTAACGCATTTTATAAAACTTAGACCATTCCCAAAGATGGATTATACCTGATTTGTTTCCGAGAAATTTGTGAACTTGCTTGAAAACCTAAATAGTTCGTCATACTCAAATATATAATTCCAACAATATCACATCCATATAGATCTAACTGAAAACCTAATTTGAAGTCGGTTAATTTGGTTACCCTTATTATAAAGTGCCTTAAAGAAATATCTAAATGCATGGCTATAAAAGTCAGGTGACATATATTTTCTCTTGCCCAAAAAAGTAAAAAGTCAAAATTACTTCATAGCAAGATCTGAGCTTTCATTGAGATAATCGATGTTAATCCAGGGTATCTCATACCAGTCGCTCGGCTGATCGGCACCGCAACAGTTCAATTCCACCTAAAATTTATATTATTGTTAAAAAATCTCACTCTTATAGGGTTCAAGGAAAAGTGCTGTAACGGTTTAACCTGCATTGTATCCAGTAATGTTTTCCAGGATGGCTCCGTAAGATACTGCGAGATACCCAGACGTAATGACGAAGACAGCTCTTTTAAAAGGCCCTTAAAACATATAGCATGTTGCTCACAAACATTTTGGTTAAAAAAACTAGGCAATTAAAGTGGGGGTGACGGAGTTATTTATGTTCTCCTCGTTTTTTTATTGTAAGAACTGGCAGTAAATGTAAATGTTAATGTAGAAACATTATATTTTTTATTGACGTTGACGTGAGTGCGTTTAGCTACATTAATAAATTATAATTTGATTTATAATCAAATAACTCTTAGATAACTAGGTGCAATGTAGCCTACATTGGAATTGTTTATTAAAATTGTAAGCAGCCAGACAAATCCTGCATATCTCTTCTAAAATTATGGAAGGTGTGCTGTTCCTCTGACCTCAAGGGATCCGACTGAGTGATATTCGGGTTGTCTCTCTCCCTAAAATATGGCGATGGCGCCGATGGCTGGTGGCCAAGTGTCATACTCGTAAACGGGTGCTACTTGTGGTGACTGGTCGTACTTGCTTTCGTGTATGCGGTGATGTTAGTTGTTTCGACTATGTATTTGCGTGTTGTTCTGACGAGAATGTAAGTGCGTGCTCCTATTTCACCATGTCTCCTGCTGATAGAGGACGGATCTTTGTTTTTAATTTATTTTATTATTATTTATTATTAAGGATGTCATGTGGAACATGTAGTAATGGTTGCAGCTCCTTACAAACGTTGTGTAAAACAAAAAACTTGGCGATAAAAAAGAGTGGCGGAGAGTTTATTGCCAGTTCTTCTCTTCCGTTCTATGCCCTTGATTTGAGAACTGGCAGTAAATGTAAAATTAGAAGCAATTAATGTATATTTCTTTTTTTGACGCTCATAAGTGTACATTGTGTTACCTACATGAATAAATGATTTTTGACTTGAGTTGACTTGACTATGACTGGCCAGCCTGAAGGGCCACGATTAATGTCGAGATTTTGTATGTCAGTCAGTCGATATTCCCTAGAGCTAGGTTTCTGACCCCTGAGTTATGAGAGTTTCTGACCCCCGTCATTGCATTAATTGTAGCCATTCTGTGTCGCTACATAATACCTTCAAAGTACTCCTACAAGCAGCATACACCAGCATGCCATTAACAGCCACCAGACTCCCACTGATCATCCAGATTCGAGTGACGCAAGCAGTGCGTTTCCAATGAGGATACTGTACCGCCCACGTGAGCAGACGTAGACCACTAGTGTAGTGTAACTTCATGCAGTACGCTTGAAGCAGGATTAAACCGTAGAGAAGATACACTGTAAGCTAAGGTTAAAGGAACAAGGCCTGTACTGTACTGACTTCATGCACTGCGCTGTAGGTACTATCTAAGGATATGATTTAGTAGGAATACGTGTGGTTAACACGTTAGTGGTCAAGTCGACGACTGTTTTATATGTGAATTCACTGGTTAATGCTCTGCTTCTGTTCGCGAGAACGCCTAGAGTTACGTAATAAATAACATCCACCATTGTCTTAGTGTGAATAAGTTTAGCCAAACACTCTTCATCGCAGACAGTTTTCTGTCTCCGATGAAGAGTGCTGTCGAAGTTTTATTGTGACAACACGTATCATTTACCTTTTATCTTTAGTACACCCAAAAATAGGTGAATTACATGTCAGGCACAAATACTAATTACCTACTTGCTTAAAAAGGACTTAAAAAGAGAAAAATGTAGAATAATTATAAAAACCTTATGAATATTCTTCAACAAAGACATAACCCGAAATGACACGTTATAGCAAAATATTGCCATCACCAGCGAGATGATGACTTGTGTGATCAGCAACGCTCGAAGTACATTGGCCAGCCTCTCACGGCCCTCCCTACTGAACGTTAGCCCACGCCACGCCATACAACATGGCGGGACATCCTAGAACCACCAATAAGACCTCAGTACTTTATAGCCATAACTAAATAAATATAGCGAATAATGCTTTGCGCTGTAGTCAGTTGACATGTCTTATGTCAATGTCACGGGTTAAAAAATGACAATTATATTTTTTTCTAAGCCTCTTTGGTTAGTGCGGTATCTTCATAAGTTATGTGTTCAATAAATGAAACTAAGAAGGTTAAATTAGTATTAATTTATGTGTTAGTTGTTTATCATTTCATGATGTGCTAAGTGCCAACCCGAAACTATGTATTAAGATTTCGCTGGCATAATATGAATCAACTTCAAAATAAATTCAAATCAAAGTGCACTGTACCAAATAAGCTTGTCTATGTTTAATGGCATTGAATTATTCAATAAAACCTGTTACTGTTTGTTTTATTTGCTAAATCAATATTTGTTCGACTAACGTACGTATCCTATATCTATAATTAAAAACCCCAAATGTTTGATTTCGAAATAAACCGAAATTAGAGAATTATCACAGAATAAATTCAAAACTCTCGTTCAACGTAAATTAGTCAATAAAGCTCTTTATAAATTTGACTATTATTTAAATTCCTTATCTAAAATCCTAATCCTTGGCATGATTTTGCTCCAATTCAAATATTTATGGCTGCTCTGCCTTACAAACATTTTTTATGACTCAAAACTTGGTGATTAAAAAGAGTGGCGGAGAGTTTCTTGCCCGCTCTACGCCTTTGACTTGCGGACTGGTAGTAAATGTAAAATATAGAATCAATTTAACATCTTTTCCGTTGACGTTTATACGTATACTTGGTTACCTATATGAATAAAGTTTTTTTGAGTTTGAGTTTCCATAGAGTTTCATTTCTATATAATACGTTGTAAGCGTGTTAATATTTAATATGTGATAAAATTCTTGGATTTTATATTATTACAAAACTAGTACCACCCTACCTAAATTAAAACTAGACAAACATTTTTTATTTCGTTTAGTATATGCTCGGTTTCTATGTTTTTTCTTCCCCAAGGTTTTATCAATATAAGCTCCATGGTAACATACATGGCCATCAACAATTTGACGATTAATTCAATTGTTTATGCTTAAAAATGGCGTTTTATGTAATAAGCCTATAATTAACTTTAAAAGTTATTTTTAAGGTGTTAAAGTATAACTAACGATGGAGGAGGATATTAAAAGAGTTAAAGTGACATGGAGCGACGACTTAAGTCATAATTCTGAGGAAGAAAGAGGTTTGTATGAATGCTATGACGATTATAATAAAGAATTTAAAAAGGTTGAATAGATAAACTATCTATTTCAATAGAGCAAATACTTATCATGATAATTGTAATTTTAATAAGTAGAAAATTAAAATGAGGTAGTATAACACTAAAACATAAAAAATCTGACCGCCTCTGGCTTGGTTATGAATGACGCCAAGCGATTAAACCAGATATCATTGGTTCGATCCCGGTGAAACAATCACTCCCACAAGTTTATAGACGTAGAAGGCTGACCCTAAAGAAACTTATCCTTAAAAATTATACTTAATATCCTGTTGTTCAAGCAATGTACCATGCTAAAAATGCAGTAACAACATCCCCGTGCAGGCAGGTCTATTTCACTAACATATTGGACTTATCTGATGTCCAAGCAATACGAAGTTTACATATCTAAAGTATTTATTCCTATTCATAGAACGTGAACGGCAGGCGCAACTTGAGCGTGAATTAGCCGCACTTCCCGTAAAGCCTGTATATGAGCCAGCAGAACTGAAGACACTGGTCTCCTATATCATGGAAATGACAACAATCTATGACCTACGACCAGAGGATTGGAACGACGAAGCTAAATTTGCTATAGAAGAATGGATAACAGAACCAAAAGCTCTCATACTTTGCGTGTATTTTAAGGGCGAGAAGCTAAAAGCATCGTCAGACATTCCCCTATCACCAGTGTACGACCTGTCTTACTTTATAAGACAGCCTGATTTCGTTTTCAAAGCTGAGACGTTTCACGATGATATAATTTTCGGCACTTTTGTGGACTCCGTTGAGTCGAATATTATTAGGCACTTAGAGTTGGTGTTTGCTCCGTTTTTCTTCGCTGTGAACACTTGGCCTGATAGTAAGTATATTTCACACATATTGATTACTAAGAGATAAAGCATTGGAACTGGAATTGTCGATAATTTAGTAGTATTAATAGTTTTCTGTGTCTAATTTATTGATTTCTTTTCATGATCAGCTTTCTCCTTTGTCGAAATTGAAACTTAAAATTAATTTTACAGGGAATCAAAGCCCAGGAGATTAACTGTAGCTACTTTGAATAGTACCTTAGACTAGTTAATAGTTACTACAAGTGCAAGCGAATCTGCAATATAAAGCAAATAGCATTGAGTAGTTCATCTTCAACTTTAGATAAAACCGATATATATCGTTATGCAATCGCATTTAATATCGACCCTGAACTCCAAATGAATAAGTGGAATCAAAACAGGAGCAAATCGAAAATCTTATTCTTACACCCATTTTAATCATTGAATCATCATGCACCTCATTATTTGGCCCATTTCTGGATCTAATCCATTTTCCTCCTCTACAAACTGCACTGGCCTCACTGTATCCACTGTGTCCACCTAGTCGGTGGGCGGCCGCGCGGTACACACGTACTGCCGAGGTCACCAATCATCGAATAAAAGATCTTAATATATCGAAAAGAGTTCAAATATGTTCACTAAGAATCGTTTTCTTTTACACTGCGAAAAGTAAACTTTATATCCATTCATTTTTTTCAGGTGTCAAGAGCGAATTTTGTTCACAAATCCACACGTTTCTCGCCAAACTAACAGACATGTACTATAAGATGTTGGGTCTGACTGTTCTTTACATACCCCGGGAAGGTCAGAACTTGACGTTTGAAAAGGCAAGTGGAGACAGGGAGTTAGTGAAACGACTTGAAGGGGTCGTGGTATACTGGACACATCAAATCAAATCATGCATTGAAGACCAGTCTTCGGTGGCCTCTCAAAAAGAGCTGTTATGTCCAAGCGATGAATATGACTTCTGGGTTTATAGACGTACGTAACTCTCTAAGTACTGTTTCTTAATACCTAAGATCAAAAATTATGTAACTTATTAATTTCAATTTTATTTAACAATAAATTTAAGCCCTGAGTCCCCAATCCCTAATGGTTATAGAATCTTTTTACTTTTGTTACAACTTTAAAAAAATTACACAAACATCAATATACCTATAATTAATCTCTTTGCACAGACCATTAACAGTTACACAACACACAAAAATAATACGAAGAAACTATAACAATGAAAATAAATAGAAGTAATTTAACAAATAACACTGATTTAATTTATATAATTCACTTCACTGATACAATTCACATTTCGTAATTAAAATTATTTTGAAATTGGCAAAGATCGAAACTGTTTCAGATGAGAATCTCAGTGCGCTCCTTTATCAACTGAGGAATCCTGCCGTAAAACACATAACAAAAATCCTGGTTACAACCCATTCGACATTCATCCATCAATTCCAATCTCTCTGTGATGAAATAAATCAAAAGCTTAAAGAAGCGACATCCAATATCGAATTCCTCCAAATAATAAAACAACCGTGTGCCATATTGGAGTGTGTGGATGATCCAGATGAGATAGCCAATCACGTTCCGCAAATTATCAATCTCTTCAGGGTTATATGGATGGAGAGTCCATATTACAACTCTGAAGCAAGAATAACCAATCTGTTTAAAGCTCTCAGTAATCAGATAATAATCCTTTGCCGAAATTACGTAAAATTGGACGAATTATTCGAAGGAAACACGAAGAAGGCGCTAGGTGAATTCAGCAAGTGTATAGATTGCTGCAAAAGATATCGAGAGATTTACGAACTTATGGCTGAAGCGCATAGTGACGTTAATCCTGGCTCTTGGGAACTGGATATTGGGGCAATATTTAATTATATAGACTCATTTGTCCAAAGGTGCTTTGATATGTTGGACGTGTGTAATTGTATGATTATTTTTGGAAGGTAAGTACATATTTGACAATTTATAAGTAAATGGTAGGCCGTAGGGTACTTATGAGAGTAACCCTATTTCGATCAATTTGTGGCTTAAAATATACAGTATTTACAATATTCTTTACCTTCTAGTTATAATAATAATAATAAAAAGATAATAGAAAAATGTATAAAGTTTGGTCCATACTCCATGTGGCAGCGTTCCTTAATGGCAGCATTTCCTCACTGTATTGCGATACTTATTTTTTATTTTATTTGCGATACAAATTATATTTTACACGCAAAAATATTGATGTACATCACCCTATTGTAGAATTGATGAACTAGAGGTAATAAACAAGCCAATGTTTGGAGGAGCACGTGGTGACCAATTTGAGGCGAAATGTGATCAAATCGAACACATGTTCCACGATGCGTTGGACAACGTGAGAGCCGTCGCTGACACAATCTTGGACGTGCAAGCGCCTTCGTGGTACGATGATATACTACAATTCAGGGCTGTTATCAAAGATATCGAGGTAAATACTAAATTTATTCTAATATTAAAAATTATTTACTTATTTTGTGACTGTAATATAAACTTAATTTTTTATATTTTAATTGTTATATTCAAGGGTTGCATTAACTAATCTTGTTATTATAACTCGACGATGCTTTACAGTAGTCGTGTAGATAGGAATAAAATTCGAGTAAAGAAGATTTATTGAAAAGGGACCATGACTTTACAGAAGATATCTACATATTATACAGAAGCGATATATAGCTAAGTATATTGTGTTGAATTTCAGATAATTATAGAGAATCTCGTGGAGACGGTATTCGAAGGCGTGAATCATGTTGAAGAAGCTGTTGTAGCGTTGTACTCTCTCCATAATTACTCCAAGCGGAAGAGCCTGAAGCGAATCTTTAAGAGGAAGACAGCTGAAGTAAGAAATTTTATTGTGCCTCTCGGCGTACTAAATTAAAATATACGACAAAGGGCCGCCACGATTGATCATTGAAGTATAAACAAGCACTATAAAAAACACTCTAGGCTTATATTAGAAGATCTAAAATATAGTTTTCTGAAACCTGTTATATGTTCTGCAACTAGGCAACAAATTGTTATTATATCCTTACTATTAATTACTAATTAAGAAAGTCGAGTCAAATCTCATTTAATCTTACGTTGGAGAGAGGGGGGGTCTCGGCAAATATCACGCAATTTTTTTTCTGATTAAAAATAAACCTAGGAAAACGGTTGACCCTAAAGGCCATCTCTGCAACTTCCCGCTAACTCCATACCTAAACGCTCAACTTTTCACTTATTTTGTTTTAGTCGTAAATAAAAGCACGAAGCAATTTTTTTCTTTTTTCAATAACAATCCAACGCGTTTACGTAAGAAACCCACATTTTGAAAAATCTCACGTGAGATTGGGGGTTGGGGGAGGGGGTTGAATAAAATCTTACGACATCTCACCAGGGGAAGAGGGAGGTACAGAAAATTTAAAAAAACCCCTCACGTAATTTATGGACGCCCCCTAACCCTTGGATTAGCTTTTAAATTTTTGATTATACATATTATTGTTTATTTATTTATTTTTTGTTTTTTCTTTATTTTAGTTATAGGTTAATTATTTATTATTACCTATCTAGATTTGTAAACGGTCATTTGCTATGTACTTTTCAGGTTTGGGCCATGTTCAGTGATGAAGTGCAAGAAGCAAAGAAAGATATGGTCTCGGGCCGCGGTCAGTACCCGACGGACTTGCCGTCTTTTGCAGGCAGAGCCACAGTACTACGTATGAGAAAGAACAGACTTGCATATTTGAAAAAGGTTAGGCACACTCGGAATTATTCGTTAAGTTAATAAGTTATTATATTATTCGTATAATTATATTATACATTATTTACTCCCCTATTATTTAACGACTGTTCTATGTAAATATAGTAGGGGAGACCGGGTACAAAAGTAACGGCGGGTCGAAAGTAACAAATGCTCTCTAGATTCATCCAATGGGCGAAAACAGCTTCGCCGCCGTCAGGCGATAGCTGAGAGTGCCCCCCTCACTTGTAGTTAGTCGCCGCGTACTCCACGCACTGTTAGATTGTGTGAGAGGATACTACGTGTTTTTACAAACCAAAACTAAGTTTTTCGATATTTTGTTATTTAATGTTTACATAGTCGTAAAAGGATGGTAGTAATCTGAATGATTGCATATCTATTTTTGATTAGATTGATTGTACATTGTTTAAATTTGTTTTTGTTTAGCACGTTCCGTTTTTAAGTTATATTTCATGTTTCAACAAAAATGAGGAAGGGTACAAAAGTAACATAGTCCTATGGGTACACAAGTAACAAACAAACCTAGCAAGATTGTTGCTCAAAAAGGAACTAAACAAGTAGGTGCAGTAACCTCAGAACGTGGAAGATTAGGAACTGTTGCTGTTGCCATTAATGCTCAAGGAGGACACATACCTCCTTTTTCGTATTCCCATTTAAACAATTCCAAGACCACATGATTCTTGAGGGTCCTGTTTGTTGTGCCGGAGCTGGCAATGCTAGTGGATGGATGCAGAATGCAGAACTCTTACTTTTTAAATAAATAATTGTTGATTAAACATATAATATTGTATTAATTACCAACCTCTTCGTCTTGTTACTTTCGACCTGCCTACGTGGTCGAAAGTAACAACTGATGATTTTTTTTTAACTCTCTGTTATTCATATAAAACACACCATAGTAAAAAAAATCGAGCTGCTAGTGTAAAGAACATAAACTGAATTTATATATGGTTATATTAATTTAATGACAATATTAAAACCTGGCCACAAATCAAGTGTGAAGTACAAAGTGTTACTTTTGTACCCGGTCTCCCCTACAGTGAAAGATTTATGTCATGTTCCGATTAAATAAAGTCGACCGAGGACTGCCTAGGGCTGTATTTATGTGATAGTCGCAGTCTTTCATTTGGATCTGCGTCCTAACGCAAGCCTAAAACACACCCTACTCCCACGGAATTTCAAAATACCTAAAATGAATAATATCGACTTATTGTATATATTAACACGATATTAACAATGGATCAGTTAGCTCAGATTCATACTAAAAATTTCCCTTTTTACATACATTGTTAGGTGATGACGGATGCGTCAGTGTGGCTAATGGCATGCAGCAATTCTGAAGATGTCATTATGCATGTGAACCGGCTAATGGGAGCCATAGATGTTGCTATACGGGAACTCTTTATATCTTGGACGGTATGTTGGTTATTTTCAGTTATACCTACTACACACTTCAACATTTAGCTTCGAAGACAATAATAACCATGAATCAACGCAAACACCTACCAACCAACCAAATATGTTCAGTGGTTCCAGAGTACGGAATATCAAATTCAAGTCTCGATACGCGCCTTGCCAAGTTGTTTAGAAGAAACTTGTTTTGGTAGCCAAATGTCTGAATATCTGGTCTGTTGTAATGTATATTTGAATCGTTTGTAAAATTACAGCATAATCTCGATGAAAAGTGTGGTGCTGGACTTAACAAGACGCTTATGCGAAAGAGCGCAGAAAATCCAGGTCTTCTAGAATGTAACATTGATGTGTGAGTGATTTCACGTTATGTTACTTTATTTGTTTCTTTCGTTTCTGTTGATAAAAAAACTGTTGAGCTCTGATGGAAAGTAAATTACTGAGAAAATAAAATAAGTGCGAATAGATAGGTTGTAAAATGTACTGACGTATTACAACATTAACATTGTTTAATGAACTCAATTAATTTCTTTCGAGAGGCAAATACTGTCCCTAAACATTCATTCATTTATGTACCTAAAAAAAATTTATGAAAGAAATCCCTTACAATATTACTCGTGTATTTTAAGTGGGAGTAAAGGCGATCGATTTTAATTTTGAATATAATTGTCACTATATTCGAACCAGAAGATCACTTTAAAAAATCAGATGTGAAGGTAGATACTAGTAAGAAAAATTGTTATTTTATTTTTGTTTATAGAAACATCCTGGAACTGTGTAAAGAAGCTCACCATTGGGAAAACTTGGGATTAGACATACCATTACACGCCTATCAGGTACTATTAATGAAATGTTTAACAGGCTACGCAATTCTACCTAACTATATAAGTAGATCTGTTTATCACTTGGGTCCGAATTTAATTTCATACCTACCATTATTATAATTTGTAGGTATACAATAAAAGCAAGACAGTATTCTACGTATACGAGAGCGTATTGGCGGTCGTGAAGGGATATAATAAGATAATTGACTCCCTCTCAGATGATGAAAGACAACTTTTCAAGCCCTTAACTTCAGTATGTATATTGTTCTTTAATATGACCGACTTGTAGATAAGCCATACTTAGATAGTACTATCATCATGTAAATGTAATAGTAATTTTTGTATAGAACTTAACAAAAAATATGAAAGGATAGCATTCACTTCAGTATAATGTTTTACTGAAGTATTCTAGTATATGGAGGACATTGTCATCACTTTTAATATTTTTAAGTAAATATTGAGAGGTAAATTAAAACCTTATTATGAATCAATTGAATAAAATCTCTTTTATTACCAGGATCATTTTAATTGTATTCAAGTATATATTTCACGTGATTACTCAAATATCTGGAATATTAACAAAACACTTAAATTTAACATAAAATAAATAACATATCTCACAACCAAATCATTTCTAGATTATTAATAATTATGTATCATCAAAATTTTGACTAAAACTAGAACTCAAACAGTTGTCCAAGTGATTATTCATATCAGCCATTTCTACCATCTTCATACAACAAGGACACGGCGACATTGTCCCTGAAGCATTAAGAGTCAACGATTCATCGTGCACATCCACTTCACTGGTATCTATGTAACTCGTAGATGCACCTTCTTCAGGTATTAATGTTGGGTCATCAAAGAAAGCAAGACACTGATCTAAATGTTCCTCTATGGATTTAGTTTCTTTCCCACAACATGGACACTTGTAGTCAAGCTTACTACTCCCCGAAAGTATCTTTTCTTCTTCATCTAATGTTATATTATCAAAATATTCCATATCTTCAAAAGCATCTGTAGTCTCTTGCACATCACTTATTTTACTAACCTTTGTCAATGGATGTATTTCGTTCTTTGGTGTTTCAAATTCTATATTTGTTAAATCTATGACCTCACTGTCATGTCTAACCCTATTTTCTATTTTATTACTACATATCACAGGATTATCTTCATTTTGACTTATAATTTCTCCTACATCTTTGTTTAAGCATTCGTCTAGATGGTTATTTATTTTATCACTGTTAATTTTTGCATCACAGATGGGACAGTTAACTAGATTTATCGGAACTGAAATCAATTTATTATCCTTTTCGGACTGTGTTATATTAAAATCTTGTCCATATATGTCTTTCAATATATTTGAAGCAGTTTTACTGAAATAGTCGTCTATTTTCATAATCTTCTTTGGTTGAGACTCTTCTGGACCAGGTTTGGGATTAAGAACTGTACTATCCCTTTTATTGGCATTTTTAGGAGTAACATTGCTACTGCTTATAGATGGAGACAAGATTTTGCTAGCCCAAACATTTCTAACTGTCATAACAACATCTGATGAATTTTGTGTTATGTCATTTGGATGTTTGTCATTCAATACAGGTTTTGTTATTTTTGGATTAAATATAATATTATTTTTCTTTGAAACCACCAGATTGATATTGCTCAATCTTGGTTTATTCAAATTTGAATCTTTAAGAGGCTTCGGAATAGTCACAATAGGGTTGTCTATTATATTATTGTCCTTAGTAATGTATTTAGTGATATCACCATTATTGATTTTATTCTCTTTTTTACTTTTCCTTTTTGGTTCAGGCTCTTTGATTTTAATAAAGTTACCCCCACATTTTCTTTGATGATCCATCCACCAGTAATCATGAGGGCCCGGTGCTCTATTTGATGTACGCCGAACAATTCCAAAATGAGGCCTTATCGATGTACAAGGGCCGTTACATCTCCACCAGTGTGTTTGATAAAGTTCGACCTGAAAATTTGAAAGAAACAATCTAAAAAATTTATATATATTTATATGTTAAATATATAACTATTTATATTATATTAATTGGTGAAGATTATATGAGAATGTTTGATATTATAACAAGACAGTGTTTCTTAATCAGTTATATAGTGTGCCAAGTAAAAAACTTTCTTGTACTCAAACTTTAAGTGCCTAATTTTATTTAAACAGTGATATTTCCTTAAAACTATGTGTAATTGAGTTTTTATTTATTTTAACACCAAGATGTAGTGTATAATAGTTACAATCCTTGATGTCAGGGCAAGTGTTGATTTATATCTTAAAACAAAATGAGGGTTGAGTATATATAATATTACAGAAAAGGTAACATATTTAGTATTTAGAAGAATTCTAGTTATTATACCAATGAATCAGTAATTTCATACCACTTTGCAACAACTTGAGTAAACTATCAAGTATATATAGCATTAAATTATTATCAAAACCAGATTATAGATTCACTTTCATTTAGTACTAGTCCTCCAATTTAAGATCTCTTTGGTATCTAAAAATCTGCTTTGTTTAGCTATGGTCAGTGGCTACTAAGCATCATGTTTTATTAGTAAAATGATATATATTAATTGGCAAAACATATATACTGACCTCATCATGAAAATCATGGTAAATACTAATATTTAAGCCAGCAGCTTTATTAATGCGAAACATGTGAGCTTTGAAGTTTGGACCATGGCCATCCCTATCTTGATCTCTACGTGTGATAAAAAGGAATCCGTGTATCATCTCATGCAGTAATGTTTCAATTAAATCTTTTCTTGGTCGGAGTTTTAGTAAAGGTTCACTCAATGCTATATCGCAAAGCCCACCTCTATTATAGCTAAAAAGTAAAAAAAAATGACTTTAACAACTCACTCACTCAATATCGATACTAAAAACTATCGAATACGAATCACCCTAACAATATAACTTAACAATAGAAACTTACGAACAAATTCCAGCACACGAGTACATCCTTTTACTCCAACGCACAACAGCTCGACTTGATAACTTTTCCCAAAAGAATGTTTTGTCAAAGTGTAAAAATAAAGCGTGGATGTTTGGTGTAGGATCAATTAGCTCCAACTCTGGATCTCCTAAATTCAAAACACTCATATTTTTTGATATTGTTCACATTTGATGATGTATGCTTATATATGATACAAGCTATAAAACACATTCTAACGTTGTTCTAAATAACATCTTTTTACACCAATTTAATACACGTAATACATTTAATAAGTAATTATAAAATTTGTCTTTTGCTCTTTATTTTTACCGTTAATATAAACTAGATTTACAAAATAAATACAAAACTCTAGACAATAGACATTGAGTATGGACAGATGACAATTACCTTTACAAAATACAAATTACAATTTATATTTTGCCGGCTGTCAAATTTTTTATTTTTACTTTTTTATAGAAAAGGAACCCCACTCTAATAATAAGAAGGTATATATTTATAAACTCTAGCGCTTATTACAAAATAATTTTAATAGATTAATTTTTATAACTACTTTGCCTCAAAATGTAATATTTAAAGTTTCCGCGTGATTTTAGGCCTGTGAAAAAAAGGTTCAACCGGGAATTTTCAAACTGACTTGGACCTCAACAATGTCCGATGCATATATTGCAGATTGTGTACTACAAATTGGGGAAGTGAGTAAGCTTAATAATGTTAACATATTTTAGGCATTATTAAATGTTTATACACGAAATTTCCCTTCCAGCTTCAAGATTTCTTGACGACCTATAAAAATTGCAATATCAATTTAGTTAAAATCATGGAGAAAATTTGTGACTCACCACTCATTGAGTTTGATATTTACAATGTTTTTGATATATATGTACTTCGAGAGACCATTCGGAATATGGAAACCGAAGCCATTACAAATATATTAGAGATGTATAAAGAAATAATTGTTTATATCATTATTGTTTACGAAGGATTTGAATCTTATATAGGACAGGTAAAGATCATAAATAGCACCATATAATTATAAAAACTGAACTTAACGTAATAAATATAGACTTTTGCATTGCTTTTACAGTATTTTTTTAATTTGTTTACGACTCCAAAAAAGGAGGTTTTACATTTCGGCGTATTTTTTTATGAAACGTTTTTAATTTACTTTCATTTCATATCGACATTATGCAATTGGTATGTATATTAAACCATTGTTTTTGACTATTTAGATGGCTGAACATTGGGTAAAATACGTAAGAAGATTTGATCGTCTTATTGAAGATGCCTTACGTTTAGCCATCAAAGCCACTATGCAAAACATGTACAAATGCGTACACGGCGATGGTAAGTAGATTTGTGTTTGACGGTGTTCTGTTTCTCCACCGTAAAGCGGGCCATAGATCGACTGCAACATGCGGTCGCCACACGGCAATCTGCAGTTTCCATACTAAATTCATATTCGCAAAATCGCAATACACGGACCGCTCGAGCAGTTCCTGAGCAAACCGCATGTTGTAGTCGGTCTTGACTGCAACATGCGGTCCGCCTATGGCCCGCTTAAGGAGACCAGTCTTATTTCTGAATGAACTGAAGGCCCTAGTCACTAGTGGCTGACTTGTGATCTTGTATATATCCTTAGTGGTCGGAAACGCTATATAGCGCGATTATTATAGCAGGCATGTCATCTGATTTTAGATGTCGTTACCTTTTTCGAAAAACGCGTACTAAATATCTACTATATAGGTAATGTTTCATTTCAGGAACGATGGCCCCATCCCCGTTGATAAAAATGAGTTTATACCTATCTGATAAAAATATTATATACCTACCAACGAGAAATGAAATTGTTGATACATTTACAACTGTTTTGGATGAGATTGTGCATATTTTGAGCACTATGCCACGGCTGTTTCAAAAGTTTGGCCTCCCTGCAGGCGGGCTTAAGAACTTTAGTGACGTCATACAGACGGATGCTGATACGAATAAGCTGCAATCTCTTATTGATAACGGTATGGTGTAATAATTATTATGTACATATTTTCATTCGTTTAAGAATATGTGTGCTATCAATTATGTACTACATATATACTACACTATAACAAAAAAAAAATTACTTTTATTACCTACCTATGGTCTTTAATCAAGCGAATTCAAACTTTTTTTATAGAACAGGCAAACGGGCAGGAGGTTCATCTGATGTGACATGATACCGCCGCAATGGACACTCTCAATACCAGACGGCTCGCCTGTGGGCTGCTGGCCTTCTTATTAATAGTATTTTTAGATACAAATACACTAAAAGATTTATAACTGTTGCATTTAAAAATCGCGTGATTTTATAGTAGATCAAAATTTTCATGGTTGATAGAATAATTTTAATTTTAGAAGTTGAATATAATCTCGGACTTATACACGAGCATATCCGAATGTGGGATCCATATGCTCACATATGGAAAGTCGATAAAGACGAATTTATGGAGAAATATAGACAAGAAGGCCATACTGCGGCAGATTTTGATAGACTAATTATAAATTATAGTGATTTAGCCAACGCTGTGCAGATACAGGAGACATTTAATCAGGTAATCAAGGACCACTCGAGTGTGATTTTAAAATATAACAAATTTTTTGGCCTAATATAACCCGATCCGGGTTAACAAGGGATGTCATATTACTTCAAAAGAATTGTTTTGGGTAGGTACGTAGGCAAAGAAGGCTCTCAGAGAAGGATTACTTGTGATCAAAATATTCAAACAGGGTCTGAATAAAGGGCCCATTAAGTAACGATGACTACAAACGATTTCTCTAGGAGTATCTAGTTTTTGCTTAAAAATGTATATCTGCTTGATCCAAACACATTACTAGTAACGGCAATATATATTTGCATAGCGATGTACAGTATCGAATTTACAGTTTTTCTAACAATAATATGTAATCATTATTATTTTTCTAATATATAAAATTCTCGTGTCACAATGTTCGTTCCCATACTCCTCCGAAACGGCTCGACCGATTCTTATGAAATTTTTTATGCATATTCAGTAAGCCCGAGAATCTATCTTTCAAACCCCTAATTGATAAGGGAAAAAATCCTTTTTTTTTTTTTTTATGATACACCATACAAAAATACATACAACCTCTAATTTTCACCCCTCTACGATCAACCCCTATTTTCTATGCTTGTAGTTATTTTTATTGGACTAAAAAAATGTTTCCTAGAAATAATATAAAGGATACAAAACAAAGTTTTCCGGGTCAGCTAGTTATTTTATATATATGTATAAATATTTTATAAGAAATTCGACGCTATGGTATTGGCTTTGTTTGCGCTAAATCGGTGTCAGTCAGAGGATGACAATTGTCGATTTTGACATTGACACACGAACCGGAAATGGTACGTGGTGTTCCGGCGTAATTGAAAATTAACCGCTGTCGCGTGCGCACTAACATTCGACCGCATTTCCTTTTTACCATTATTAAAGGATCCAGTGCTTAGAGTAGGACACACCACCGTTAATGGTAAGTGCTAGTCTTAGACTCTGATCGATTCTGGATTCCTTTTTATTATACTGACACGCGACAACCGAACCAGTGCGTAGTATTTTACATGACATCCTGGAGTTAGCTTCCGGATACTCAGGCCCCCACAGGCTTAGTAGTAGTAGTTGTATGTATTTTTGATAAATAAAACATCGTTATGATTGTTTTTTAAATTTTAATGATGAAAATTTTGCAGATACACTTTATTACACTGAACTCAAGCGAATTGAAGAAGTCAATAATAGTACATTGCTCAGTGTGGCAAACGAAGTTAGGGGAATTACTAAGAACCATTACAGAGAGTGACATTGATGTTATTTATGCATATATAGAAAGAAGTAGCGTCGAAGCCATGACTGTATGTATTTTTATTCCTATCATCAGCTATTTAAATTGTCCTACAGCTGGGGCATGACGTGTGGTTACAGTTATGAACATAACACTATCGTTTTAACTCAGTCTTAAACGTAGTGAGAACATTTAAATTTTACTTCTATTTGCCGGTCAACTCGATTTGTTTATACTCTATGTGTCGTTATTCATTTGCTCGAACGGTGAAGGAAAACATCGTGAGGAAACCGACATGTCTTAGACCCAAAACGGCACACACCTGACACAGGCACTGGAGGCTGATCACCTACTTGCCTATTAGATTTAAAAATGATCATGAAACAAATTCAAAAAATCTGAGGCCGAGACCTAAAGATTTTGTAGCGCCACTGATTTATTTATTTTATGTGTCGTTATTGGTACCAAAGCTGCTTGCTGCAAGCTGCTGCAAAAAATAAAGGATGTGATTAGATGAAGACTCTCGGTTTTGGAATCGACCTTTTGGGTCTAAGACATTTATTTCCTTATTTACAGTAAAAATTTATTAATACAAATTTTAAATTAAGAACATAATATTACATAAATAAAACGAGAAAACATAAAACTTTAACAGATTATAAATAAAGTAATCCTTGTGAATTCAGCCAGTGTGCAACTAAATATCAGTCTCACATGCGATATACAATCTCATAGTCAGGGTGCGCGAGACGCGTGTAAATGGTGCTTCTCTGAGTAAATTTGTACGCGCAGAAGTCACTGCTCCAAAACTGCTCTAGCAAGTAGATACCATAACATTAATCAATTTAAAAAAATCATCAATTGTAGAGCCTTTTTAGCATCAGCCAGAAACTAAGAAACTATTTACCTCAAACTGTTTATTACAAGTCTACTCATACTTAATGAGGGGTGTGCACTGAGCATTATTATTTAATCAATTACGGTCAAATTTGTAATAATAGCGCCTTAAACCAATTTAAAAGGGTATTAAAGATACATAACAGAATGAACCTAGTAGACTGAAATTGGGACGGCTGATGGCGACGTGTATCTCGTTCGTATATACGTACCTACATATTAAGTTTTTCATGTAAATAAAATAAAATATATTTTTTTAATTGTAATGAGAAATAAAGTTCTTTAAACGCGACATTGACGACTCATTGGTCTAGTGGTTAGTACCCCTGACTGCGAACACATGGGTCCCGGGTTCGATCCCCGGCTGAGACGAACATCGATGTGATGAGCATTTGGTGTTGTGCTTAGGTCTTGGGTGTTTAAATATGTATTTATATGTCTATCTATCTATAATATGTATGTATATCTGTTGCCTAGTGGCTAGTACCCATAACACAAGCTTCACCAGCTTAGCATGGGACTAGGTCAATTGTCTTAAAAAAAAAACATTATTTTAGATGCCAGCTGACCTAAAAGAGCTTGCGACAGCAATAGCTACTTATGAGAGATTAATTTCGGAAATTGCTCCTTTTGAAAAGACATTTGCTCCTATAACAGACCAAATGACTACTCTTGGTAAGACTTATTTGCGTACGTAATAAAGACTAATACTTCTCGTAAAGGGTTAAGTTCTATTGTATGTTGTTTACCGATTCTTGTTAAAATAGCTACGGCTCGTACAAACTACGACTGGTATGTTGGATATAGAATTTGGCCGATTAGGAACAAATTGTTTGAGAGGACCTATGTTATTTACTAAGGTTTTCCAAAACCATTTTCCATGTAAATCACACGATAGCATGACACGGTAACACTATTGTTATTTGCAAAATAATAACAGTTGCCATAGTATAGGCTCTGAACTAATATAGCAAGTTATAATTTATTACAGGTAAGTTTGAAGTCGAACTTAGCTCAGATATGGTAACTCGTCATGAGAATATACCGGTGACGTGGGCGGAGTATTTGAATTTGTTGGAAGAAGCGAAAAAAGCATTGGAATTGAATAAGGATAAATTTAAGGCTGAACTCTTGGAACAAGCGGAGGTAATATTGTTTGTGAACGATGATATAACTGAAAATGCACCTGACAGTAAGTGAAATCTGTTGTCCAATAACACACTTGCAATGCGTTGGTTCACTGGACAAAAGCAAACGATAGGTAAACTTTGAATACAGTGATAACCACCGCCCATAGGCGCAAGCAAAGCACACCACGGTGTGTTCCCAACTTATCAGGGAATGGTAAGCTCTTGTCTTGAAGGCACTTGAAGTCGTTCCACAAAGAGGTGGTGTGCAGCAGAAAGTGCCTTAAAGAGTTAATAAAATTATTAAGTACGGTTTTGTGTTGAAAGCCAATATACAAGTTATTCAGCAACGTGAGTGAAACAATCGATTATGAGGTAAAAATTTAAGTTTCCATTTGTAATAGGTGTTCAAAGAAGCAGCTAAAGAATTTTGCGAAGATTTCTATAATACTGCTCCATGCAGCTCTGAAGTTAGCGGTAAAGATGCGATGGCACAATTGAAAGCTTTTAGGGAACAGCTGAACGCGTTGCGTGCTCAGGAACAGCAAATTAAGGATGGATTGGCTGTTTTTAATTTGACGTAAAGGCAATCTTTAGTCACTCATCGTAGAGTTATTCGATTTTTGGTGTAGTTTTTGATCGCTGTATTTATTAGCTGTCATGTGATTAGGGCTCTCATCATTATTAGTTTATATTCCATTTGGTTTATAATTTTCATACCTTTATATTAGTATTATAAAAAATTCTTATCCAAAGTTAATTTATAAATAAGAACGTCGTAGCTATCTAATAATGCTACTTTTTATGTATGGATTAGGACTCCAGTGAATTTGGACCTTCAGAAGATGGAAAAGGAACTGGAGAAACTAGAAGAAGTGTGGGGTCTAGTGTACCAATGGGAGGAGTCTTGGGAGAAATATAAGACTCAAACATTTTGGGAAATGGAGACCGATGAAATGGAAGAAAATGTTATGTATCTTTTTAGGTAATTGCTTTTTTCTTTCTCGTCATCTCCGCTTTAAATACTCTTTGGTTGCACCTACGCTGTTGCAAGGAAAAAGTAAATTTATATTTGTGTGTAGATTAATATTTTAAATATTTAGAAATTAAATATTTTTTCAGAAATTTCAATCGATTATCTCGTCAGTTAAAAGATAAAGGCTGGGATATAATCGACACAACTCGTGTTAAAGTAGATGCCTTTCGAAGAACGCTACCTTTGATTGGTGATCTGAAGAATCCATGTATGAGAGAGAGACATTGGGATAGGATCAAAGCGCTTATGGGCGTGTGAGTATAATTATTAGTTATATTAAATGTACCTAATATTAGATTTACGATAGTACTCGCCTTTAGACGTAAAAGGATATGCTTACTTGAATATCTAACCTAAATAATAATCAAACATAAAAATATATCTATATATATTGTAAAACTCAAATCCTGAGTTTGAAATTGATTTTCCTGTCGTTTTATAATTATTTTTTTTGGTTTAATTGTATTTTTATCTCTTCGTGTTTGTTATGCTTGTCACATTAAATATTGTATTTTATTTTTCTTGTACCAATGTATTAGTGTGCCGAGCGTTGGCAAGCTTTTATAAATAAATAAATAAATTTAAAATTTTTGGCCAAATTTGTAGAACGTCGTCTCTAAAAACGCATTGGACGATTTATGTACCTACCGAGAATTAATATATTATATCTATGTTATTAACAGAAAGAGATTTTAGCTGGCAGAGAATAGAAACCCATAGATCAGAAAATTTTAAATTTAATATTTAGAATGCACTAAAGCCCACACCTTTCTTAACAGTGAATTTGACCAGAACTCTGAAGATTTTAAACTGGAATTGATTATGCGTCTAAATTTCCAAGCATACGCTGAAGATATTGCCGAAATATCGAATGCGGCCACCATGGAGCTTAACATTGAGAATGGTCTAAAAGCGATTCGCGAAGTTTGGAAGAACACTACATATGAAATGCAACATCACAGAGGCGATATGTATAAAATTAAAAATGTTGAAGATGTTATGCAGGTTTAAATGAAACAATTATAATTATAATACGGGTTCTAATATTGCCTTCAATTAGTACTATACATATAAACAAAACTTATTTAACAGATATGCACATAACTCAACGTTTTGACATCCAATTGTCACATCAAGTTGACAGATCAGTCAACGTCAAATTATGTAAAAATGTAATAAATACACATTTATATCTGTTAAAGAATTTTGATTTAAACAAAGAGTTTCTTTTCATTATACAGGCGTTTTGTTTACATATTATATTAGGGTCACTTTAGTTTAAGTAGGTATTTATTTTGAAGTTTTCTAAAAACAAAATTTTTATTGCGAAAACTAACATATTCAGGAAAGTCTCAGTAAAAACTATAATAGGTATATAAATATACTATTTTTCTAGTTTTTGGAAGACCATCAAGTGCAATTATCTTCGATGAAGTCCACAAAATATGTTGAACCGTTCATCAAAGAAGTTGATTATTGGGAAAAATCATTGGGTTATGTAGCGGAGTGTATAGAGGTGAAACATTAGTATCTATTATTTAACAGATTTCAGAATTATCATTACGTAGTGCTCAAATATAAAGTTGATAAATAAATTATTTAAAAAAGTGCGTGCGTACAAAGTATACATGTCAGAAGTGAAATTTTGGCAAACAAATTTTTAAGTCTTGTTCAAATTTATACAAATCTAAAACTTTAGATTTCGAGACTTAGAGGGAGGGAAAAAGGAAGATATGATAGGAATTTAATTGTTATTAAAATATTAAGTGTCGAAAATTAATACAATTTATATTTTTTTTTCTTCGATATTTACATAATATGTATAATTAAAAAATAATATGTAACTACGAATACATCAACCAATAACGTGATGATTTCATGCTACGTTCACCCTTTCTCACTCTGTCTCAATCGTTCTCTCTCTTTTCTTCGACAAAAACGCTTCACATCTTCGTGACGTATCCGTAAAAATTTTACCCTCATGCTCCTAAAGAAGTTTCACTTCAAAAACTATTTAATTTATTTATTGTAAAACACGGTGTAAGTCTGTATTTCTCAGGCAGTCGGTTTCACACGTAATAGTAAGATGTTGCTAGAGTGAGGAAAGTTAGTTTAAGTACATGAATCGTTAAATTTAAAAGTTTTACGACTCCTGCCAACCATTAGCGTGTCATTGAGTGTAGTGTTCTATGATCTGTGTAAATAAAAGAAATAAAGTAGTTGTTTGTTATTCTTAATTTTTTACCTCCTGAAATTTGTTTTTCGTCAACATGGTAAAATATCCCTAGTTAGTCATAGTAACATTTGATACAACGTTTAAAGACCTACCTAGGTAAAAGTGGGTTTTGTTATAGATATCGTTACAAGTCCAAAGACGCTATCTTTATCTTGAAAGTATATTTAGTGGAGAAGATATTCGCAAGCAACTACCAAATGAAGTCAAAATATTTGATGCACTATCTGCTGACTGGACAGAGATAACCAGCAAGTTGGTATATTTTCAAAAGTTAAAAACCTAGATAAGTTAAAAATAATATAATCGTGTTGCATATCAAAGTACCTACTTTTTCATGACTCCCACCGTGATATAATGCTACCGTATTATGCGTACACTTGTGTAGAAATTTTTTCAGGCAAATCGGTACACTGATAAGAATTTGCAGTTTTTTAAAAAATGTTAGCAATTTCAAGAACCCTGTAACCATGTTATCCCGAGATATATAATACCTATTTTCTTTGGTAGGATTCATATTTTAATTAACTCTTCGTTTTAGTATGTACGCTGGGACAAATGCAATTGAAGCTTGCTTGTACAAACCAGCCCCATATCTTTTTAATAAGCTTAATACAATGGTTGATAACTTAGATGGGATTTTAAGACAATTAGAAAAGTATTTAGAAACAAAGCGGCAGTTGTTTCCTAGATTTTATTTCATTTCCAATGACGATTTATTAGAAATATTGGGGAATTCAAAGAAACCGCAACTTATTCAAGTCCATCTGAAAAAGTTGTTCGATAACGTCAACAAAATAAGGATCGATAAGGTATATCATTTTAAATATTACCCTAGTCCTTAAAATAATAACGCAAATTTTTCATTTTTTACAATACAAAAATGAATTTTCTATCTGTTAAGTTTTAAGCGATAAAATAATGATACATATTATACGTGTCGAATTTATTCTTGCTTCTGGAAAAAACTTGCTAGACGGTCGTAAGTAATATTATTATACACTTGACAAATGGCAAATTTTTGTTATTATCATTTGAAGTTATTTCATTAAAAAAACAAACCATTTTATTTATATTTATACAGATTAGTATTATGCAATAAATTACCGCCAAAATGTTTTGCTAGTATGTATAGTTGTCAATTGTCAGCCGTCGATGTCAATTCCACGTGGGAGTTGGGACTTAATAGCAAATCTCCAAACAAATAATTTCAAATTTAAAGTTTAAACTTTAAAGTTTAAACTCAAGTCTCAAGTAATTATATTGCTACTTTAAAATATCGTGTTTTTTGGTTAATGAAATAATTTAAGCAGTGTGTGCGCCGTATGCTTAAATTGTAAATGCTCGTAATTAAGAGAGTTGTCCATTAATAATATTATCATTCTTAAAAATAAAGCATGGCTTTTCTTTATGAAGAAGATGTCATCAGCGATATTGAAAATGTCGTACAAGAAAGGCTTGCTGATTCTTCTTTGCAAAACGACTACGTATCAGATGATAAGACTGATCAGCACAATGATAGTATGGATGTAGACGGAGTATACTTAACTAAGTTAAAAGCTATTGACGAACCCTTGTATGAGATATCACTCCGGGCAGAGCAAGAAGCTGCAGCTACAGAAGCAGAGGCATCTCATAATCTTAGTACAGAAAAGCAAGGCAATAAAACTAAAGATGATCCTTTACATGAAATATCACTCCAGGCAGAGCAAGAAGCTGCTGAGAACTATAAAAATTTTACATCAGAGGAACTTGATCAAAGTTATTTCATGCCAAAAAAATTAATTGTAAGTGCCTATAAACATAACACATATCTATTATAGATGTTTACTTAATATAAGTTTTCTATAAAAAGAAAACTAGAATGCATTAAGTACTGGTTAGGTGCAATAACATTTATTATTATCAATTTCAGAAAAATGCAATGCGCTATGTAAATCAAGTGCAATCTGAGCACTACTCAATCCTTAAAAAATGTAGACAGACTTTATTGGACAAACAACTATCTACAGTTATTATAAGAAGCAGAAAAAGAATAGATACAACACATGGTTGTGTTCATTGGAGAGTAAGATTTTTAAAGGCAATTAACACAGCCATATATTCACATGATTGGAATAAATTATTGTATATATTAAGAAAATCGCCAATAGATGAACATATTAATAAAAAGACAGAATATCATTACATAAGGGTAAGTAAATTATTAATATTTATCATGTAATTTTTCATTAAAATGTTTTTTTTTATAAACTATTGTATGTGTACAATACAATTTAACAATAATTTAAATTACTCTAAAAATTATGATTATGGTTAAATACAGTAACTTAACTTACCTAATTGAATCATGCCATATTAATTTTGTTATATTTGTTACAGGCATTAACAATTCTGTTAATGAACCATCCCTATGCAAAATCACAATCTTTATTAAATCATTATTTTCATATGGTCCTGTCCTGTCGCTCTGACCAAGATAAAAAAGCCTTATATAAAGTATTGCTCACAATGCCGGATAAACTAATGGGATTTAACGTCTACAATAGATTGCACAACAAACTGAATGATAATGAAGAATCTATAGGAAATGTATCTAAAAATCGAAATGATTTAACAAAAACTCTGGAGACATCTCAATAACAGAAAATGTAAATAATTTCTAGAAAAAATATAAAGAAATAGTTAACTAAGTTGTTGATGTTGTATTACTACGGAAATAAATATGCTTATGTATTCAGGCATGTTCCTATTTCAATGAAATATTGTATTATTTAAACACACCATATACATGTGTTAAAAATAAACTACTGGTACAGTTTATTTCGTGTTTTAATTTACAACCATATAGTAACTTTGTTATTATAGGAAATTTAGAGCAGTGTTGGCCTAGTCTCTTCAGCGTACGGCAGCGTGTGTCTCATCCCTGAGGTCGTAGGTCGGTCCCACCTAGGGCCACTGGTTATATAGTAAATTTGGATATGTCATAAACTTCTACAGCTTAAATTCTATGCATAAAAGTATCTTATATTCAGAATGCTGTCGGTCTCCCAGTGGCTAAAGCAATGATGTCAGATGATGGGGAATGTATAGAGTGGAAGTATAATTTATTATTGGATGGTCCGGCTGAAATTTGGCTACTTGGACTTGAACATACTATGAGAGTTGTTTTAAGGGAGGTCAGTTAGTAGTTAGTTTTTTAGCCCTGATAGTAGTAGGCAACTGCTTATAGCAGCATTTGATAGCCAGAATTATACAGGGAGTTTTATTTATTTATTTTCTATTTTTACAGTACAGTTTAAGCAATACAATAGAAAACTTACTAAAAAAAAATTAAACTAAGAACGTATAATATACACAAAACGAAAACATATAACCTAAACCTTTTTATAAATATTGTGAATTCAGCCAGTGAGCAACTAAATATTATATCAACTATGTCTAGTCTGTGTCTTTTGAAACTAAAAAAGAAACAATAAAAACTTGTTACTGGTCTAGAATTTAATGGCAACTCGAGCTGCGTTGAAGAAGTGTCGATACCAAAGGGAGCAATGGATTAACGATTTTCCTGGACAACTAGGAATTACTTGTAGCAAGGTATGTTCTGAACCAAATTATAGTTTGTATGTGTGGTGCTTCTTAGTTGTACGTTACTCTAATACCCATATTAGAGTTATATTCATAATCGATTTAAAGCGAACTGTGACTTTCGAATATCAAAAACCTATTGGATTTTACTTATGTATGCAATTTATGGGCAGATTCAATGGACGTCAGACTGCACACGTACCCTATGTCGTTGTGAGCTAATGAAAGAGAAAAAGCCGCTGAAGAAATTGCGCAAAAAGCAAAACCTAATTCTCAGTACATTACAAAATATGTCCCGAAAAGAGATTTCAAAGATATTGCGTTGTAAAGTTAACGCTTTGTGTGTCATAGAGATACATTCAAGAGATACTGTTGATAGGATGTATAAACTGGGTTTGTAGTGGTTCCTTTTTTATGCAGTAGCTATTGGGCTGAAGAGCTCTTATAGTCTCTGTTTTTACCTACCTACTTATCGACACGATAAAATAATAAAATAGGAAACTAGTTTTGCGCACCAAGGCCAAGTCAAAAGTACGCATAACCGGTAATAAAAAATCGGGAAAAGCGTGAAAAAGATAGGTAGGTAATGATGTCAACGCGAGACCAAGATTAGTACTATTAAATTTTATATTTTTTCTGCATATAACTTGTATACAATAATTGTTATTCCAATTGTTACGCCAATTAGTAATTATTTACAATATTAATTCCAGGTTGTATGACAGTATCGGCCTTTGAGTGGTTCTCACAGTTAAAGTTCTACTGGGACCGGGAGCGGGAGGATTGTTTCATCAGACAGACAAACACAAACTCGATATATACTTACGAGTATATAGGGAACTCAGGTCGGCTTGTTATCACACCGCTAACTGACAGGTAAGGAAGTATAACACCCAATTGAGGTTTAGTACTAGTTCAGATAAACAAGGAAACAAGTCAATTAGGTGGAGTATAGATTGTTAACAATTATAAATATTTAATATATTTTTTGTTGACGAATATTTTTAATGTTGGCAACACTGGGATACACCATTTTTGATCTTTCCTTCCGCATCTATGGCGTCGACAAGTGTGTACTATTTATTTATTTATACTTTATTACCTTATACAAAAACTTACATATACAAAAATTATAATAAAAATAGCAGGTTACAAAATTATAAGGCAACGGTTGGCCTTATCGATAACAAGCGATTTCTTCCAGGCGGGTTGCCTGCCTTAATGTGTAACAATAAAAAATATATAAAAATACTATTTTTATTCAATCAATAAAACTTGGCCTACGCGTTTTATTTCAGTCCTAACACTTTCAATAAAAAATATTGTTTTTTATTTTTGCTTAATTCTACTTTTTATTTTAACTTATCTGTTAAATAGATCAACTTAGACGCGGCACCAATTCGGTTTGGCAGAAATATCCTGAATATCACCTTTTGTCTGATCACTAACAAGAACACCTGTTTCACAAGAATCAATCACAATTTTTACACTTTCTAGATGCTACATAACTCTAACAACGGCGTTGCATCTATTCCGCGGGGGTAGTCCCCAAGGCCCGGCGGGGACAGGCAAGACTGAGACTACCAAAGATCTGGGTCGAGCTTTAGCCAGATGGGTCGTTGTCACCAATTGTTCTGATGGATTGGACTATAAATCAATGGCCAAATGTTTTGCGGGTATTTAATAATACTTATTATTATTATTGTGAACAGGAGTATCACCTACAGGCATATTAGATTGACATGAGCATGAAACAGATTCCGATATCTGAGGCCCAGACCTAATAAGCTTGAAACGCCACTGATTTATTTTTATTTATTAATAATTATTCAACCGTCGACACTATTATTTACATATGCAAAGAAGTTTCTGGAAAGAATGCTGTATATTGATAGGCACTGAAGTTTAAGTGTGAGATCTATAGTGCGCACTTGGACTTTGCTCAGACTTACCTTACGAAAAACTTTGCTTAGTGTACACTAAGGTTAAACTATGATTTCGTATTTATAGACATTTTAACGGTGAGATTAAGCTAAGCCCAAGCTAAGACAGAAAATGTCAAAATACAAATTGATGTTTCATTTCATGCAATACTTTGTTTATTATCCTTTAAAAAAGTTAACGATAACAAATATTTAAAAATCTAAAACGGTACACATATATCTTCAATTTATTGTTATTTATGTATTCATTTATTTTATTATTGCAATAACTAGAAATTCACGAGTAACCTTTAGAAAATGTATTAATTATTTAAAGATGACAATAATTTTATTACGTAGAACGGATTGCAATGTTTTGACAACAGCAACAGAGCACTTGTATCAACTATCAACAATTGAAAATTTTAAACCACTTTAATTTATTAAATTGATCTTTCTTTCGTTTTGTGATTTGGCTTTGTTACATGGACCGAGAGAGAGAGTTCTATCTTCAATAGAAAACATTGAAAGGGTAGGAACTGCAGCCGATATGAATCCACGAATGCCTAAAGTGTTGTATATGTTCGGAACTAATAAAACCAAAATCCTTCCATCCTGTACGGTGAGAATGAATTCAAAAGAAGGAACCGTATTTTGAAACACACGGTATTAAATGTGATCCTGACGCTGATCATTACAAACTTGCAACCTTATAACAACAGAGGATCGCCAAACCTACCGCAATTGCAAATACTTATTGCATTAAGGCATAAAAATGCAACTGGATGTTTTCAGGTAATATTGTGTTCATAAATATGTATGGTTTTTCAATTTGATATATTATACCTCTTCTCAAATGATTTTAAATAGTACATATGTTGAAGACTTTTGTCTTCTGACTTTCAACATATATGTGACTGTGACTACTTTATTGACATTACAGATGGTGTGTGGTGATCTGAACAGCATAAGCCAATCTACAGTCTGTTTAATTATAAATAAAGTCTCTGCAGAGTTGAGTAAATTACTTCCTAGATTTGTAAATTTTCCAAGAAATATGAACACAGCCAAAACGAAGTTTGAAGAATTAGGAAGATCTAATACTCCCCATGGCCTAAACAGTATAATCGGAGCTATTGACTGCACCCATATAAAAATTAATAGACCCAAAGGTATCGCTCACTCTGAAGCATACAGAAATAAAAAAGGGTATTTTTTCTGTAAATGTGCAAGCAATAATAGGGCCTGATATGGAAATATTTGCTATAGTGACTAGGTGGCCTGGCAGTTCACACGACAGCAGGATATTTAGAAAATGCCTGTTTTAATAGGTGACAACGGTTATCCAGCACTTAACTTCATGTTAACAACACTTTTAAATCCAATGACAAGAGCTGACAATATTTATAATTATTCTCAAATAAGAACTAGGCATATTTTTTAAAGGTTTTTCGGAGTGTGAAAAAGGAAATTTCCATGTTTACAGCTAGGACTACAGTCTAAATTGACAAATACTAGTTATATATAATTATAGCTTGTGCTGTATTGCATAATATAGGTATACAGAGAGGCGATGCTTATGATGATGGTGATCTTGCTGACAGCAGAAGTTGAGTAACACAGAAACAATGAAAGATCTCCTACAGGTCTAGCATTCCGGCAATCTGTGATTGCACAATTTAACTAGGTAATTTGTTTGGTAATAAAGAATATCAAAACAAAACTTGTTTCATTTTAATCATTTATTTTCTGATTCTTTTTTTAAGTGTAATACATATTTCTAATACTAATTTATATTTTTGTTGAAGAAATTCTATTTCTAACAGATTTTTAATTTCATATGTTCCACTCCTATCTCAAATTTTTTAGGGTAGTCAGGTAATAAATGGTAGAAGATTCAGGGAAACGAAAATAACAGATGTGAAGCGAGAGACATCGGTTAGGTTATATGTAGTTTGAATTTCGTTGTCACTATAATATGCCAGGGCTGCCAGGTGACATACAAAATCACACCAGTTATTTTTAAGATTTCTCAAAAATGGGGTTTGAACAATTACATAAATAATATAAATAAACAACAATAAATACCATAATAACGTGTAATTATTTTATTTCATGCATTTCATAGGTATTTATCAAGATCACTTATAATTTCTTTCAATTCAAATTCTATTTTTCCCAAAGTCTATGGAACTCCGATACAAAATGGCAACACCGTTCATTAAAAACCGACAAAAAATAAAAAGTCCAGTAAAAGATATGATGGTAAAAGCAAATTTTGGGCCATCATTTTTGTTTAGGCTTATAGTCAAAGTTTTTGGTAAGTCGTCGATTTCGTGGACTTGAGATTAAGCTAAGCCAACACTAGGGAGAGATTCGCAGTTTGCTCTATAAATACCGACTGTGTCTTAGCTCGATAGTTAAGTCAGAGCAAAGTCTAAGGGTGAGATCTATAGTCCGCACTTAGACTTTGCTCTGACTTAACTATCGAGCTAAGACACAGTCGGTATTTATAGAGCAAACTGCGAATCTCTCCCTAGTGTTGGCTTAGCTTAATCTCAAGTCCACGAAATCGACGACTTACCAAAACTTTGACTATAAGCCTAACAAAAATAATGGCCCAAAATTTGCTTTACCATCATATCTTTTACTGGACTTTTTATTTTTGTCGGTTTTTAATGAACGGTGTTGCCATTTTGTATCGGAGTTCCATAGACTTTGGGAAAAATAGAATTTGAATTCAAAGAAATTATAAATGATCTTGATAAATACCTATGAAATGCATGAAATAAAATAATTACACATTATTATGGTATCTATTGTTGTTTATTTACATTATTTATATAAGTGTTCAACCCCATTTTTGAGAGATCTTATAAATAACTGGTGTGATATCGTATCTGTCACCTGGCAGCACTGGCATATGTTGACAACAAAAATGTGCCAATGGACTTTGTATCCGGCTAATAAATAAATTATATTGACAACAAAATTCAAATAACCAAACCAACTTCGTCTCTCGCTCATCGCTTCACATCCATCCGTTGACCGTTATTTTCGATTACCTGAATCTTCTACCTTTTATTACCTGACGACCTTGCTTGCTCAACGGATTTTGTACCTGCTTAAACGACTGACCACGGCTATTCTCACTCGGACCGGACTCGCTCACAAAAAAAATGGATAAAAAAAAACAGAAGCCTTACTCGGAATATGAGAGGCAACTGCTTGTACAGTTGGTTCAGTCAAAGATTGGCATTCTAGAGAACAGGAAGACGGACGCCGTTTCTCAAAAAAAGAAACACGAGGCTTGGGAAGAATTAGCAATAGAATTTAATAACTCTAACGTGTCACATTCTGTAAGTAATCCACCAACATACACTATCTATAAATATCAATATTATGCTGTACGATAATTACAAAGATAGATATATAACTAGAGTATAGTTAGGTACAAGGATAGAATGAGCCAAAGCCAAAGCAATGCTAATGTAACCTTGGTGGTAAATTTTGGTTTGATAAAATTTTCATGTTTGTCATATGAACTTTTATATTTCAGTACAATTTTTTTTCGATTTTAGGCTGATTCTAAACAATTAAAAAGATGTGGCAAAATATGAAGGCAAAAGCTAGGGATGCCAAAACCCTTGAAGCCCAAAGGAAGAGGACAGGAGGAGGACCAGCACCGCCTGAAATGGGGCCAATGGACAGTCAAGTGATTGCAGTCATGCCACATATAATGCCGTCAATAGATGTACCAATAGACTGTGACACATTAACTACAGTAGAAGGTAAGATCATTTCCCAAAGATATAATTCCTCATCATTTTCAACCAACTCACATCCACTGCTAAACATAGGCCTCTCCCAAAGTATGTGACAACACTCTGTTCTCACCCCTACCAGACTTCTGGACAGGTTTATTAGTTGACCTGCATGTTATCTTATTCTAACCAATAAAAGACATACCTATATGATAACTTATTAGACTGTTTACTTTTATAGCTGGTACTGGTTATGACAATGACGGTGAAAGCTGGAGACCAAAGAGGGCAAGAGTGTCCAGTATAGAGGCCACACTTGAATCTGTAAATCAGCCGGGAACAAGCCAGGACTGGACTGATGAAGCTGGGTTAACGGAAACCAGTGTTGAGGTCACCACTAAAAGTGAACCCTCTCAGCTATCAGCTACACAATCAGTGATCAGAAAACCTTCATTTGAGGATATTAAAAAAAATTGCTGTGGCAAGAGTTAGACAACAACAAAAAAAAATTTGAGATAGAAGTGGAACACATGAAACTAAAAAATCAGTTAGAAATCGAATTTCTTCGACAAAAATATAAATTAGAACTAGAAATTTTACAGTTTAAAAAGAATCTGAAAATAAATTATTAAAATGAAACAATTTTTGTTTTGATTTTCTTTATTACCAAACCAACCTAGTTAAATTGTGCAATCACAGATTGCCGGAATGCTAGACCTGTAGTAGATCTTTCATTGTTTCTGTGTTCTTCAACTTCTGGTGTTTGATCAGCAAGATCACCATCGTCATAAACATCCCCTCTCTGTATACCTATATTATGTAATACAGCACAAGCTATAATTATGTTGCTGGTATTTGTCAATTTTGATCGTAGTCCTCTCTGCAAACATGGAAATTTCTTTTTCCACACTCCGAAAAACCTTTCAACAATATTCCTAGTTCTCAATTGAGAATAATTATAATTATTGTCAGCTCTTGTTTGTGGATTCAAAAGTGGTGTTAACATGAAGTTCAGTGCTGGATAACCACTGTCACCTACTAAAACTCCTTCTAGTTCACCATTTACCAGTCTTGCATACGCCTGGCTGTTTCTAAATATCCTGCTGTCGTGTGAACTTCCAGGCCACCTAGTCACTATATCAAATATTTCGAGATCAGGCCCTATTATAGCTTGCACATTTACAGAAAAATACCCTTTTCTATTCCTGTATGCTTCAGAGTGGGTGATACCTCTGGGTCTATTAATTTTAATGTGGGTACAGTCAATAGCTCCGATTATATTATTTAGGCCATGGTGCGTATTAGATCTTCCTAATTCTTCAAACTTCCTTTTGACTGTGGTCATATTTCTTGGAAAATTCACAAATCTAGGAAGTAATTTACTCAACTCTGCGGAAACTTTATTTATAATTAAGCACACTGAAGATTGGCTTATGCTGTTCAAATCACCACACACCATCTGTAATTTCAAGGAATAATTATTAGTTACATATATGTTATGCTTCTGAAAGTCAGAAGACAAATGTCTTCAACCAGTGTGTCCTGCCAATGATGATGTATGGTGAAGAAACATCACTGACACTGGTTAAGCGAGCAATGGGGAGAGCTATGCTTGGTATTTCTCTGAAGGATCAAATTAGAAATGAGGTGATCCGTCAGAAAACAAAGGATACCAATATAGCTGTCTGTAAGGTGAAGTGGCAATGACAATTTGTCCGATAGTGACCTAGAACAAGCAAAAATAGCATGGGACGCATTCTGGCCCACTGGACTGACAATCTGAAAGTACTGTCTATATCAAATCGAAAAACAATACATATTTATGACCACAATATTACCTGAAAACATCCAGTTGCATAAAACCTTAATGCAATAAGTATTTGCAATTGCGGTAGAATTGGCAATCCTCTGTTATTAAAAGGTTGTAAGTTTGTAATTATCAGTGGCAGGATCACATTTAGTACCGTGTGTTTAAAAAAACGGTACCTTCTTTTAAATTCATTCTCACTGTACAGCTCGAAAGGATTTTGGTTGTATTCGTTCCGAACATATAGCTTAGGCATACGGGGATTCAAATCGGCTGCAGTTCCTAACCTTTCAATGTTTTCTATTGAAGTTAGAACTCTCTCTATATTCTCCATTGTCACTTTCGATATTGAAAATTCGTATCAAAGCCAAAACACAAAACGTCACAGTCCTTCAGGAAAGCGTAGGTCTTAAGTAGGTATACGGGATCGGTACAGGTCCAAGTCACAAAGCCAGTCGTTGTTTTAATAAATATTAAATATTTATATGCTCAAACAAACAGAAACAGAGAAGTGAAAAATCGGTTGAAACTTTTGAATTGTTGATACAAGTTCTCTGTTGCTGTTGCCAAAACAATGCGATCCGTTCTACGTAACAAAATTATTGCCATCTTTAAATTAATACATTTTCTAAAGGTTACTCGTAAATTTCTAGTTATTGCAATAATAAATTAAATAAATACATAAATAACAATAAACTGAAGATATATGTGTACCGTTTTAGATGTTTAAATATTTGTTATTGTTTACTTTTTTAAAGGATAATAAACAAAGTATTGCATGAAATGAAACATCAATTTGTATTTTGACATTTGCTGTCCTAGCTTGGGCTTAGCTTAATCTCACCGTTAAAATGTCTATAAATACGAAATCATAGTTTAACCTTAGTGTACACTAAGCAAAGTTTTTCGTAAGGTAAGTCTGAGCAAAGTCCAAGTGCGGACTATAGATCTCACCCTAAGTGCGCACTATAGATCTCACCCTAAGTGTATTCTTGGTCATAAATAATATATGTTCTAGAAAACGCGTCCATTATGAAGTTTTATATGTTTGATAGGGGGGCCTATAAGACAGGTTTGTGACCCAAAATACGGAACATAATTGTCTAAATACTTTATACTTTCTTTTTTTTATTACAGTATGTCATAAATGTTGCCATGTTTCAGGGCCTTTTATATTACATATTTTATATATTGCATTTTTCTTTAATATATTTAGTAAATCGTGTGAAGTTTTGTAGTAGTGGCCACTTGTGATTCCCGTATTTTATAGTCCCATTTTTGGGGAAATGTCCCACCATGTACAGTAATATCATATTCTCTAACTTTTACAGCGTATTTAAAGTACAAAGTATGAATAAAATACTATACATTTAGGAATATCCCAAAGTGGGTGTTGGGGCTGCTTTGACGAGTTCAACCGCATCAACATTGAAGTACTCTCTGTAGTGGCTCAGCAGATTCTGGCAGTGCTGTTGGCACTGTCTCTCTTCCTCAAAAGGTTCGTCTTTGAAGGATCTGATATCAAGCTGGACGGCAACTGTGGGATATTTATTACAATGAATCCTGGGTAAGTATCGCCAAGAGTTAAAACTTTTTGTAAATAGGCGTAAACATTGTTATGTATGAAGGACCAGAAATGTTTCGTTCAAGAGCGTTCCAATTCTTAAAAGCCTAAAAAAATGATTTTTCTTAAACACAAAAAATATTTCTACAGTTACGCTGGCCGGACAGAGCTGCCGGATAACTTGAAGTCCATGTTCCGTCCGATCGCAATGTGTGTGCCGGACTCGCTCATTATCGCTGAAAATACGTTATTCTCGGATGGTTTTACGGCTTATAAGATTAATGCTAAAAAGGTATCGCGAAATAGTATAAATTTCTTGATTCAGCCTTTGTGTTTATTTGTAATTTTAATTTCTTGTGAAAACATTGGCTTCTTCTAGAGCTGCCTCTGGAGTGGTTGGTTAATATTTTTACTATATTTCAATAATTGTTTGTCGCCATTCTATAAAAACGAATCCCCTAAAAACTAAATATGTCTAAGGTACTCTTGCGTTTCATTAATTAAATTTGTGTTTACATTACTGAAAAGAGACAGGACTACTTTTAGTAACAACGGTCCGATTGGGATTATTCACAAAAGAGAGCGTAATTTTACATCGATTACAATCTAGCCTTAGGTACAATAATTATGGCTTAAACGTAATACTATGTTGACTTCATTTTCTACAGTACTAATGTTTTGACACTATGTCCGAGATACCGTACTTGCACTTATATTGACTTCATTCACTTTTGAATAAATGTTTTACACAATTACTTCAAAAACCTTAATAAAAAAAGATTCTATTAGGTGTTTACGCTATATGAATTGGCTATGCAGCAGTTGTCAAAGCAGGATCATTATGACTTCGGTCTACGGTCTATGGTCGCGTTACTCCGGTACGCAGGAGTAAAGAGACGAGCTTATCCTAACCTGCCTGAACAGGAGGTACACTTATATATATTCATTTATGTAGACGTCAGAATCTCCTTAGCTTTATTTCATTAATCATCTGTATAAATGTATGTTTTTCCTATATGTCAAACGTCAATACGTTTTTGACATACGGGGGGTCATCGGTGGTTCAGTTCCCTCTTCCCTCACGATTTCCTTTAGGAAATTATATTTTAAATTAAATTTGTTTCCTTTTTTAATGTTAGTAAGCTAATTTGGAAATCTATGGCAACACCAGATGGTGATCCTGGCCATGCGTGACATGAATGTGGCTCGATTGACAGCCAAAGATGTGCCATTATTTGATGGCATCATGCAAGATATATTCCCTGATGTGGTTGTACCAACCTTGGACTATGAGATGCTGGAAACCGCGATATCTGCTGAGATGAGGCTGGTGGGCCTACAACCAGTAAAGGCGGCATTGCATAAGGTCATACAGACGTATGAGACCAAGGTAACAAACCTTTAATTTCATTTATGTTAGATATAGATAATTAGATTTTAAAGTTTATTTTATTTATTTATTTACAAAAATGCATAAATTATTATAGTACTAAGCCAATACAATAATTTTGTAAAAATATACATAATATTACACAATATCTGCGAATATAATAAAACATAGATAACAGTATGTTAACTGTCAATTGCGTTATGTCATTTATAACAAACTAGCTGACTCGGCGAACTTCGTACTTTATGACAATTAAGAAACCCATGGACATTTTGTACCTATAGGACGTGTTCTGCCTGCTTATCAATGTTTTTAAGTTATATACTATATACATATTTATGTTACAAATATTTTTTTTTAAATTTATTCCTAAAGGGCCTTCAGGAATTTAATTCAGAAAATGATCAGATACACACTAATTTAAAGTTTACATTATACACTGTATAATGCTTCCTATTTTCTCCCACGTTAAATCTTATGAATGTATGTGTCTTTTTTTTTACCGTCGCTTTTTCGTTTCATCGACTTACAAACTTTAATTATTTTACTTTTTATCAAAATTAAAGATTGATATAAACTTAAAAATAATTCCAAGAAATACATGTAGTTTTATGATAGGAAAAGTCTAATACTACATTTGCATAGTGAAAAAAATCTAATTTACGTATTATTAATTACATATAAAAACTTTTTTAATCGTTGTAGTTTTTATTAAAATTAATAATTGAAAGTAATCTTAATATTAATAACGTAATTTTTTTTAAATATTTTTGATTGTGACTATAATAAAAACTTCTAGAATTCGCGGCACTCCAGTATTCTCTTAGGCGATACGAACACAGCTAAAACAGTATCTTGGAAGATGTTAGCTTCAACTATCAGTCGTTTGAAACGCGAAAAGGTACCTGGCTTCGAGAATGTTCAAGTGCACCCAATGAACCCCAAAGCTCTTACCCTGGGTGAGTTGTATGGAGAGTACAACCTGGCTACGGGGGAATGGAAGGATGGAGTGCTCTCTTCCATTATGAGGACGACTTGTCAAGGTAAGGTTTGCAGCTGAGTTTCATCATCGGACGTCAAGGAATATCATCCGTATCACCTTGACGACCGTCGTTCAAGTACTAAGCGTTTTCTAAGGCAGTTTCTGTCGCGCAACACCATGTGGAACCAGCTGCCCACTGAAGTATATCCGACTTAGGGTCCTTCATGTAAAGAGAGTACCAATTCTTAAAAGGCCGGCAGCGCGCTTGCGAGCCTTCTGGCAGTGCGAGTGTTCATGGGCAGCGGTATAACTTTACACCAGGTGAGCATCCTGCCTGTTTGCCTCCTGTAACATAAAAAAAAAAAAAATAGTGTACACACGTAAGAAGTGAAACTTCATTATGACCTTATTGGTCGAAAAATGATCTATTATATGCAACTTTATGCTACGGTCACACGCGCGGCATGCAGCCCGTCCCGGGCCGGCGGACATTCAAGCTGTTCACACGCACGCCGTCGTGTCAGTCAGTGCCAGAATAGCGAGCAGCGAGTATCTCGGTGTTGTTGCTGCCATAAAAAAACACAAAAAAAACGACACTTGCCCGATTCGCGGCATTCACGTTCACAGGCGCGTTCACGGGCTCGGGCGTACCGTTTACACGCTCGTGAATGTGAATGTGCACGTTGAATGTAGAGTTGAACGCGCGCGTGTGAACCTACCATTACAGAAATTGGTTAAATAAAGTTAAATCATATAAAGTTGAACAAATGGCTTTTATTATCATAGACATGAATAAAAATAATACAATTATTTCATTTTACCTTATTACTAATAACATTATTACAGAATTTCATTCATTGTAATATAATTACTATAATTGTTATCGTTATTATATATTTTTGTTATTAATGGCTTCGAATCTCTTTTCGAATCAACCGTGATAGGGACAAGAAAAATATGCGCGTAACGGAAAAATGTGACGGTTAATTTTTTGTCCAACGCCGATAAAGAAGTTTCACTTAACAAAATCAAATGTTGTATATTACTTTTAGATATAAAACAGTATTATTGGGTTATATTCTTGTATTCGTTATAGACGAGTCCCCTGATCAAAAGTGGATAATATTTGACGGGCCCGTGGACGCGATTTGGATCGAAAATCTGAATTCGGTGATGGACGACAATAAACTACTTACGCTGGTGAACAGTGAGAGGATTTCTATGCCCCCTCAGGTGAATGTTTAAAACGTTTGACAGGTGGAATGCGCTAAACTAGAACTAAAAACATCTATGTACTGAGGCCCATGCTATGAACTAACGGTGAACATCAAAGCTGGTTTTATAATTATTTATTTAATTATTAGTTTGAGATTAAAGTTGTAGGTTCGTACTCTGGCTGTGCATCAATGGAGTTTTGAAGTGAAACTTCTTTAGGCGCTTGAGGGTAAATTTTTTACGTATGAAACGTCACGAAGGTGTGCAGCGTTTTTATCGAAGAAAAGGGAGAGAGCGATTGAGAGAGAGTGAGAAGGGCGAATTACCTTATAAAAGTTCTCTAAATAGTAGTGTTTTATATTTTATCCAAAATTATTTATTGAAATCTCAAATGACGGATTGTAAATTAAAATGTCACGTGTTTTTATTATCGAAGAAATTTATTTAAATAAATTTATACTTTGTATTAATCTTCGACACTTAATATTTTAATGACAATTAAATTCATTCAGGAAAAAGGAAGATATGTTAGGTAAATTCCTAACATATCTTCCTTTTTCCATCCCTCTAAGTCTCAGAAATCTAAAGTTTTAGATTTGAATAAATTTGAACAAGATTTAAAAATTAGTTTGCTAAAAAAGTTTCACTTCTGACATATTGTCTACTTTGTACGCACGCACTATTTGTTTAAATGCGCATTTAACATTCGCTCGAACGGTGAAGGAAAACAGCTTGCCTTAGACCCAAAACTTCGACGGCGTGTGTCAGGCACAGCAGGCTGATCATATACTTACCTATTAAGAAAAACAGTATACAGATACAAACATCTCGAGACCAAGGGTTGTAGCGTCAGTAGTTTTTTTTTTCAAGTTGGTCAAAATTTTCGTTTTGCCGGTTTTGTGGTCTGTCTGGCTGGGTATCATGTTCAACGCTACTAGTGAAGGGTATCCATAATCGACGTTTTTGCATGCTGAATGTCATGAAAGTGGATGAAGCAAGAGAGGATATGTCAGGACCGTAGCCGTTTGTAAAAAAGCGTAATGATATAAATAAAGCATTGAAATCCTCAGGATATGCATAGATTAATGTAAGAAAGTCGTGATTTATACTGCTGAAGTTATAATTTATTTTGACAGGTGTCACTGTTAATAGAGACATTGGACCTTGCTGTGGCATCTCCAGCAACGGTGTCTCGTAATGGAATGGTCTACAATGATTATAAGGACTGGGGATGGTGGCCGTTTGTCAACTCTTGGCTTGAGACTGTTGACGATCTCGAATATAGGGAGATGGTATTAATATATTGTATATTTGTTACAAGCTGACCCGGCTAATTTGGTTCCGCCTTACAGTCTAATAATATCGTTGTTACTTTTATTAAACTGATTTCAGGATTTCATTAAGGTAATTAATACAACTTTTTTTGTAAATACAGAATGTTTTATTGCGTGCCATTGCGAAAGAAGAATGGCAGTTTTACACATTAGGCCTCTTCTCTCTAGCGCTAATATTGCGATACTGAATGTTAAAGCACTTTCTGATATACAACATTTTTTTGATTAGGTAACTCATGTCTTCGATCAAGATCAAAGCCTGGTTATCGATCTCCTCAATCATCTCAAGATTGAATTTCTTGAACTGACACGAATTCGACGTAAAATGATGCGTAGTTTTGTCAACAGATGGCACCACATGCTGTTTGCATTCGTAATATTAATTTACTTATTTATTGTTATTCGATAACTTATCCGATATTTTATTACTTGCTGCTGCACGATTTGGTTCTTATAAAAACAGCAAAGGAAGGGAACTCTTTGCTCCCTTCCATCTTCCCTAGACATTATCATATTGTAGTAACGACGTTTTTATTGATTTGTATTAAGGTCCATTTTACAACGAACACTTTAGAAGTGTTAGATTGCTTTGAGTCCATTACCTTCGTGAATATGACGTGAGCCTTTTTCAATACAACAATTTCTTTATTTCGAAATTCGTTCAATGGCATTACCGGCCGCTTTGTATAGGTACTCAATCCCAATCTAATTTTTCTACAAGAGATTGATATTTCAATCGATATGAAATACCTTTCAATAACCGATCGATGGATCGTTTTTGTAAAATATCATTGAATTTGACAGATCGAATTTTGACATTTCAATCTAAATTTGCGAAAATCTGGATGGAGTATAGAAAGCTGCCGTAAGTTAGCTTAATAAATAAGTTTAAATAGCTTTCAATCTAATTCTAGATCTTCACAATTTTTATTAATATTATCAAGATGATTACTGTCGAATTATAATTTCGTAAGTGTTGTCAATATACCAAAAAGGTAAGTTAGGACTACTTCCTTTCCCACGACGGTTCTTGTTCCGCAGACTCTAGTACACTGTGGAATAATACCGTATTTATCCGCATTATATCATCCGATTACATCTGTATAATTCCCGTAGCTCCGTCGTCATTTCCTAAACATCTTAACACCTGTGCTGGAGCTGAAGAGGCTCCACTTAGTGGAAGGCCAGAGCGTGAGGGGTCAGGAGCTGACAGGTGCAAGGTCGCTCTGTCGGCTATTGGGTCTCCTACCAGCCCCAGCACCGCCACAGCCCGATGAGGAGGACAATGAAGGGCTGTCAAAAATGAGGTTTCTCTTTGCGTGAGTGTCACAAATGATTATAAATATGGCCATCGGCCCGTCCGATATTGTGGAACATTTTTTTTGTTCTATCATCAATAGTTTTCGCAGCGCATGCGAAGAAAAATATTGTATAGGCATTTTTACACCTTGGGTAACATTATTCTAGTTTTAGTAGGGATCCTTATTTTTTTCTTGAAATTAAAATAACCTATATTAATCAGTGATAATGTAACATTCAAATGGTAAAAGACTTTTTAAAATCGGTTCAGTACTTGTTGAGCCAATTCGTTACAAACATCTTACTATTTCCTCTTTATAATATTAGTATAGATTATAATATATATGTTCTAAAATAAGGTGGTTTTTAGTATTTGGTCTATGATTTTAGAGAATTTATTTATTAATTCTTTTCCCAAACATAATTATTTAATAGGAATAAAAAAATATAGAACTTTTACTCATTAAGTGTTGTATCATAACTTACATTTTCGTTTAGATATAATAACATATCATCCACAGTATGATTTGGTCGGTATGTGCAACCCTGGAAGAAGAATCACGTCGTAAGTTGGACAACTGGGTCCGGGAACACGAAGGTGTCTTCCCCTTGAAAGACACTGTGTACGATTATTACGTTGATGAGAGGCTGCGAGCCTTCAAACCCTGGGAGGATAAACTGCCTGATAACTGGCGGTTTAATCCTAGGTAAGTCTTTGGTTGTGGTATATATTAAATGTAATGTTTTAATAAAGATTTTAACGCCTGATAATTTGTGATTGGCAAATGTGAAGCAAATATATTTTATAGTCTTGTAGCGATATCTACAATAGGAGCTTACAAATAACTGCGATGGTGACCCTGAAACGGGCTAAAGAAGTTATTTCAGCCGCTAAGTATTTAAAGAACTTCTCTCTACCTTAGGCATTGGGGGCTTCGGACAAGTTAGACTGGTCGACGAACATCCCCTTATCAGTACACAATACTTCCTCCACTCTTAATTTTTAAAATCCTATTAATTTTTACTTACTAAATTACCTACAACTAAAAATAGTTGGTTCATGTCGTTATTATGGACACAATTACCCAATAAGGGTTGCCATGCTTAGAAAAACATAATTATAAATAAATCTACATGAAACCACAATATTTATGAACTAAGGGCTAAATTATTACAGTTTGGGATTCCACAATATCCTGGTGCCAACAGTGGAGTTTATTCGGGTACAAATAATCGCATTGGATATGCTCAAAGCTGGATATGGTGTTCTGGTTGGTGGAGGGACCGGAACTGGGAAGACGTTCCTCATTCAGGGAACTCTTGCTCAATTGGATTCTGATAGGTGAGTAATTTTAAGAGTTTTTTTTTAATTGTTGTTTTATATTATTCAAATTTGTTGATTTGTTGTCACCAAAGTTGGTGTTATATGACGGTATGGTAATAATTAAGACTTAGTAGAGTGCCTGGTACCACGTATAATTATCGATATCGATACGGATTTTTTTAAAGCTTTGAATCAAATGAGACAAATGGATCACATTATTTAAAATGATCTTAAAACTGCATTTTAATAAATCATAAATTCTTCTCATTCCAAAGTTATGTTTAATATTTTTTTTAAAGTTGTTGTTTTATCTTTTTTCAATGTTAAGTTTAATTTTTTTTTCAAAGTAATGATAAATTTTTTTATCGTTGTTTAATCTTTTTTTTCAAATTTTTGTAAATAGATACAGCATGCAAGTCATTAATATGTCGGCTCAGACGACGGCGGCCAATGTGCAAGATATTATTGAAGCTCGACTCGAGAAGAGGACTAAAGGGAATTATGTACCGGCGGGGGGTAATTTGTTTTTTTATACTTTTAAGTTTTATAAGTGTGTGTAAATGAATTCAGTATTGACCATATCAAGCGACGTTAGCGCGGTAATTAAATAACATAGATATTGTTTCCATACATACCACCTCACCTTCGGTGTGCCGCAGGGCAGCGTTCTTGGGCCCACATTGTTCCTCATTTACATTAATGAATTATGTGGGATGAACCTAAGAAATGGTAAAATTGTGGCCTTTGCTGATGACGCAGCCTTAGTGTTCCATGGTCAAGATTGGTTTGAGGCCTTTCGACATGCTCAGCGGGGTCTGAATTTGGTATCGGATTGGCTACATCGCAGTTCTCTGGCCCTTAACACAGAAAAGACCAAATTCATGACCTTCGCAATGTCGAAGCGCGACATTCCTTCTGGTCTGGCACTTGTGTCACATGCTGGTTCATGTGTGACCGGGGAGCACTGTGGGTGTCCAAAGCTCAACTCCGCAGGCACAGTGAAGTACTTGGGAGTCATGCTAGATACCTATCTAAATTTCCAAGCTCATATTGACCTACTGGCAGGTAGAATTAGAAAACTGATTTATGTATTCAAAATTTTGAGGCACATTGCTAATAACACAATTATAAAAACTGTCTACCTGTCGCTAGGTCAATCCATTCTGAGCTATTGCATCTCTACTTGGGTTGGCTCAGCAAAAACCCACCTTCTGAAAATAGAGAGAGCTCAGAGGGCAATACTCAAGGTCAGTGCCTCCCTTCCCTTCATTTGTCCCACCACAGAGGTATACAGACATTGGAAGGTACTCTCTGTGCGTCAAATGTTCATTCTTGCCACAATTTTACGCAAGCACTCACTTATTAATTATGACCAACACCTTAAAGATAACAAGCGTAGAAAAGGCATAGTGTGCACTTCAAAGCCCTTTCGCACAAGTTTTGCCCAGAAATTCTTCTGTTTTTTGGGGGATTACTTGTATAATAAGGTATAATAATAATAATAATAATCTTTATTTTCTTCTCTCACATACATAAGGTTTTTATGATTAAAGTAAGATTATAACATTAGGAAGTGTATGTGAGAGACTGGTCTCTGTAACAGGAGACCTGAGTGACAGATAACCAGCCTCTCCACCACCGGACCGGAACGCGTACAATCATGTCATTGTCAAAGGTTACAATAGAAGAAAATAAGTATTAAGTGCTAAAGAAAACATTGTAAACGGAGTTTTAAAAATAAATTTGGTGTGTGTTTGTGTGTGTGTGTATGTGTGTGTATGTGTGTGTGTCTCTCTCTCTAAGTGTGTGTATGCGTGCGTGGGTGTGTGTATATGTGTGGGGGAGTGGGTGAGTTACAGAATGACAGTTATTAGATCCTCTGTTTCATCATAACTCAACGTCTTCAGCCAAGTAGTAACCTTTTTTTACATTTGTATTTGGGTAGTGGGTAAATGTTAATTTTTTCGTTTAATTTATTATACAAATAACAGCCTAGGAAACCAAAGAACCTTTGCGAGAAAGAAGTTGTCCATTTTGTAATACAACAGCAAACTTTATGTTTTATCCGCTTGTTAATATTTAAATCGGGGTCGTAACTAGTTTTATGATGTTGTTTTAGAACTGTGTTCAGAATAAATAATTGACGAATTGTTAATACATCGGCTAGGGCATAAAGCTCTTTGGTGGGAAAAAGAAGCGGTAAGGAGTGGCTTACTTTTAATACTGCTCGTTGGGCTCTTTCAAGTTTTAGGAGATTGGTTTTGAAAGTACCTCCCCAAACAGTGATACAATATCCTAAAATTGATTGACATAAAGACTGATAAACTACGTTAATAATTTTTTTGTCTGCTATAGACCTTAAAGTTTTGAAGATATAAATGAGTTTACGGGTTCTGCAAGAGAGAAGATCCACGTGAGAATTAAAACTCAAGTTACTGTCGATAACTACACCCAAATACTTAATACTATGGGCAAGGGAAATGCTTTTGCAATGGCAGAGTTGATTTGAAGAGCAAGTATGGGCTATGATAGAAAAATTATTATGAATGTGTGAGGGAATGTTTTTAATAGAGAAGGGCATAAATTTTGTTTTATCAACATTTAGCGTAAGGCCGTTGCCTCTCAACCATTCATTAACAAGGCCAAAACCAGACTGAGCAGAATTATAGACCTCATTCCAATTGTTGCCAGAGAATACAAGGGCCGTGTCATCTGCAAAAGATATTATCTTACCATTTGGCAACTGGAGGTTACATAACTCATTAATGAATGCTAGAAACAACGTTGGGCCAAGTACGCTTCCCTGAGGGACACCGTAAGTTATTGGCAAGTCACTACTTACAAGGTCACCGACCTTCACCCTTTGAAATCTATTTTTAAGGTAACTTTGGAAAAGACTCAATTGAGAACCACGGATACCCAGAGATTCAAGTTTGTTTAAGAGAAGTGGGACAGAGACTGTGTCAAATGCCTTAGCAAGGTCCAAAAATATTGCTATAACTTTTTGCTTTCGGTCAAGTTTGGCTACAATGTGATCAGTAAGTTCGTGAACGGCGTCATTTGTAGAACTACCGGAACGAAAACCAAATTGCGAGCTAGAAATGAGATTCTTGGTCTCAAGATAGTGAACAAGGCGTTTTAGTACGGGAGGTAGCAACGTTTTCGAGAAAGAATTCCAGGTCAGCTGATTTTGTGATATGTCTTCCTTCTTGCACTTCCGGTTAGAGTCTGGGCAGTCTGGCTGGCGGTAGCGGTTGCGTTCATTAGTGCGCATCCTATCTGTCCAGGTAATAATCCTGGATTTTAAAAGCATTTTAAGAAGCGTAATTTTTGATTTTTCCTTTTTAAATACGTCTACCTGACATACTTTTTTATTGCCAGACATTTTTCACGTTGCTAACTATGTGCCAGACGCGATTTTAAGTTGTATTTTTATAAAAATTTCAAAGCATTTTAGAATGTCTGTAATTTTAATATTATGTTATTTAAATATAAGAAAAACTGAAAATGAATTTGCCAGACATTAATTCGATTGTTAAGTCTTGAATTAAAATGATAAAGTATTGCAGTATGATGAAGCATTGCATTTTAAGAAGCGTAATTTTTGATTTTTCCTTTTTAAATACGTCTACCTGACATACTTTTTTTATTGCCAGACATTTTTCACGTTGCTAACTATGTGCCAGACGCGATTTTAAGTTGTATTATCGTACTATTTGTTTATGAGTTTCTCTATTACTTTTGCAATCGTGGGTAGTTAAGATATTGGTCTATAATTATTGACACATTCTCTGTCACCACTCTTGAAAATTGGAACAATGTCAGCCAGCTTAAGCTGATCCGGAAAAACGCCTGTGGAAAAGATCAAATTTACAATGTATGTCAATGGTGGGACTATTATTTGATGATACCGTTTTAATATAGCGCCTGAAATATTATGCCGTCCAGTACATTTGTCTTTTTTTAAGTTGAGAATACAGTTGCGAACTTCACTTTCATCGGTACTATCCAAAACTAAGGATGCTAGTGGCTTGGCCATTGAGGATTTACAACCCCTACCATAGGAATAAGCCCTTTCAGCAAGATCCTTACCCACAGAAACAAAGAATTTATTAATATAATTGATCGATTTAGAGGGGTTATCAGGAGAAATAAGTTGCTCAGCAGGTCTACTAAGTTTTGATATATGCGTTAATTTTCTAATGGTGTCCCAGAGTGCTTTATTATTTGTGTTCGCCGCTGCTTTCAACTCTTTCTCCTCATACTCCCTTTTTAGTTTTTTAAGGAGCCAGTTGCAAAAATTTCTGTACCTTTTGTAGGTTATTTTCTTAATTTCATTGTTCGGGTCTTTTTTATATCTTTTATGAAGTTTATCTCGATTTCGTACACATCTTAGAAGACCAGCAGTCATCCAAGGCTTCTTTAGCCTCTTGCGATTAGGTACGGTGTGAGTTTGAGTATTAGAATTTATTTTAGCATTAATCTCCGAGATAAGAAGAGAAGTAGCAACATTTGCATATGAAACCTGATAGATCGGTTCAAAGCAAAGGTTTTTCATATCATTATCTAGGCCTACATAATCAATTTTACTATGAATGAAGTCCTTGTTTTGTTCGTGAGATTGCTGGTCTTCCAGTATGAGAACTACGCTGTCATGATCAGTTACAGATGATTCAACTACATAGCAAGCGGAAGAAAAAGTACTTTTCATAAAAACATGATCAAGGCACGTCTTGTTGTGAGTGGATATTGTATGTGCGGGCAACAGACCATGAGAAGCTAGTAGATTTAAATAAAATTGAGAATTCACATCCTTAGTGTTTGGCATAATATCGATATTGATATCACCAATAATTATGACTGAAGATAATTTTAGATCGGTAAGAATTTCGTTTAGCGACTCTATAAATTGGGAGACGTCTTTATATCCTGGCGGTCTGTAAATGGCAATGACGGCAGTATTGTCATTTATTTTTATTACAAGACAATTAGATCCGAGTACTTTCGGTTCAAATATTTTTACGTTCAGACAATTTTTGAAGTAAACTATAACGCCTTCATTTTGAGTCAGGTTGTTTTCGGTAAGGGCATGATAATATCCGTCAATATGGGGAATTATATTTGTGTGGCGTAGCCAGCACTCAGTGAGCACAATAAAGTCCCATTCAGTTTTAGATCTATCTAATAGTGTTAATAAGTCTGGGAAGTTCCGATGTATACTTCGAATATTTTGGTGAATTATTTTCAAACAATTTTCAGGATGTTTAATTAAGGTCTGGAAGTCTTCTATTTCACAACTAGAGGAATAAGCTACGGTAAAATTATCAAGATCTTTTAATATTTCATTTGTTTGATCGAATTTTGGTAGGTAAGATTACAAGCAAGGATGTCTTCAGTGATAAGGATTCTTTGGTGCAGGTTTTGTAGCGTTGCATAGGCTGTTGAGCTATCAATTTTCATAAATTTGTGGAGTAATAGGTTATAACTAATATTTTGTTTATGAATGTGTCCAAGTGTAAACTTAAATGAATGTTTTTGGAGTGTAAGTGAATGTAAACGTTGAATAAATGAAATGAGGGAGTCCATTTCGATCTTTAAGAGGAGTGCAACACTGTTATGATCGGTTATGTAAGATTGAATTATAAGGCAGTGTGCTTCATTATCTGATTTAAATATAATATGGTCCAAACATGTTCGGTTGTGGGTAGGAACGTTATACCCGGGGTGGCTGTTAAACTCTGCAAGCAGATTCAGATAGTCCCATGAGCGCTGGTCACTTGTCCCTTGTGCAATGTCAATATTTATGTCACCTATGATAATTATGTTTTTATAACATTTCAATTTATTTAAAAGTAGGTTTAATGAATTAATAAAATTTAATGGCTCTCTATATCCTGGTGGACGATAGATAGAAATGATGACAGTAGAGGGATCAAATTTAATTACTAAACAGTTAGCGTCATGAGATTCTTGGGGTTCCTCGATGAGTGAACTCTTCCCTTTCCACATATCCCCTAACTAAACACGAGTGCAAGAAGACGGTTGCACTGTGGCTACTGGACCTCAACTATGAGGATACAGAAAAAATGCTGACAATAATTAAATAGTTGAGTTTAGAGTTGATTTTTAGTATAATAGTTTTAGCTTCAATAGACTAACACTTAAGTAATAAAATATAAAACATACACAGACACACACCCACACACATACACATAATTTACACATACACACGTACCCCATCTGGTTTCCTCTATATACTATATATTGTAATGTATTGTATTGTATTGTATCTTCTGTCAATCCGAAGTAGTGGAGGCCTGATGACCTGTAACACAGGTACTCTTACCTTTATCAGGCATCAGTCTCACACAGACTTGCTTTTTCCATTAACAGAAGTGAGAATATAACTGTCACTTGCCTATGTTCTAAGTTTAAGTTTTTGTGAGAAAAATAAATAAATAAAAATAAAAATAAAATAAAATAAAATAAATACATAGTCTGGATCGCTATCGTAGATTATTGACCCCCCCCCATGTAACGCGCCGTAACGTTTTTCTGTACCCAATAATAAAACGTTTCGTGACCACCCAGTGACTCTTTATACCTAAAAGTTACCATTATGTGTACCACTTTACACAAGTACTGGAAAATCGAAAATAATATTAACATTAACGCGTAATTTAAGCCCCGCCGCGGATCGTAACGTTTTACAAGAGGAACCCGCCCCCTCCCAAAATTCGTTACGTAATACTTGAACGCTCCCTTTATTGGTTTGTGTTATCTATTTTACAATACACAAAGTTTAAAGTACTTGGACCTTTATAGTAACAAGTAGTGGCTAGTTACCACATATGATTAGGACTACTTTTATTTACAATAAGTCTATTTGACATTTTGAAGATGAAAGATTTCTCTTTGATTACATGGTGTTATTTTTAATATAGGTAAAAGAATGATAGCGTTTATGGACGACATAAATATGCCGGTGCGTGATGCTTACGGATCCCAGCCACCTCTGGAACTAGTGCGCCTGTGGCATGATTATGGCTATTGGTTTGATAGGCAGAAGCAATGGCGTAAGAATGTTAAGGTAAGTTGAAACTGCGGCTATTATGTAATAAAAATAACTTCACAACTAGCTATAGTTAATCACCAATACGATAGTTCTGTAAATGTTTAAAAATTTTAAGAATACTCCGAACATATTCGGATTATTCGTTCGAACTCATTATTCGGCCTGGTGCCATAATATATTCGTTTAAGGTATTTATATCCAACACACAAATATACAGTATTTCTTAACCTACATAGTTATAATAATAATTAAAAAATAGTGTACCTATCATTAATGCTCGCACTATAAAGAAAATAACAATTCAACTTGCCTATAGATGGCTTAAATAGATTAATCTAATAAGTTCAGTGGCGGATTTGTAGATTTGCCGCCCGTAGGCTATTCAATTTTTGCCGCCTCTAAATTTTGATATCTTAGTCCACAATCATATCAATTTTCTATCAATAAAATTCCAACTTCATAATTTGTGCTCCATCATTCTCGTTACATCAACTTTTCCCATATAGTTATTATTATTGAGAACTATGGTACCGTTGTTAGATCCTTGATTATTTTTACGGCAAAGATTATCAAAAAACATTATTTTAAGGAAAAAATATCTCAATCGTATACCACTTTTAAAGTAAGGTAAGGTATATCTTAAAACTATACAATACAAAATATGAATGTCATGTCATGTCGTTTGTTCTGGCGTTACAATACAAATACGACTACGCAATTGCATGCCTTAAGTGCGAAGCGCGTAGTAGGTATGCTCTACTCTTGCCTAAAAATCTAAATCCGATGTTTTCTCACATTAAACCGTACCTAACAAATATGATGTACATGAATATTATTTAAAAAGCAACTTATCGGAATGAAAAATGATCGCTGAGCTTATAAAAATTATTTTTTCGATTATGATTAATTATTTTTTATTTAAAAGGAAGTAATTTTAATGCCAAATTGTATGGATTTTGGATGATCGTGTTCACAGTAAACACGATAACTTTCGAAAAAATAATTTTTTCACTTCAATTTTTTTTTAAATACTTGTTTAACTGGAGAGAAGACGTTGAATAAAAAATTGCAGCTGAGTATTGTTTTATCTTATTATAATTAATTCATTCCGATTGGCATTTTCTGAAAAAGTTGGCTTTGCGAAAAAGTTATCAAATCTACTGATGTAAACATTTAATTTAAATAATTCGTGTACGACATGAGCGCTTAAGGCCTGCTCATTTGGATTTTACAAACTTTTTCTTACTGCAAATAAAATAATTAACTGATAAAATGTATCAATTTTCTAATGAGCTAATTGTCTTACTTCATATTTTGTGGAGGGAATTTTTTTATTGTCAAGTCACAGTCGTTCAACTATCAGTTTGATTAATATGATCTCTTATATATTGAACTAGTTTTTAATATCTTATATATTGAACTAGTTTTTTATTTAATAAAAATTAGTCAATTTTATTCAGTATTTTTATTAGACCATCGATATTATATCGATTGAATTGGGTAAGCAGATCTCATAATTATTAGGTACACGGAGAAAAAATTATAGCAGTTATCAGTGAAGAATATATGTAAAAATTACTAAATTTCGATTATTATATCGAATCGCGATATTCTAAAAGTTCATAATCATTCATGTATAATTAGTAAAGCGTTTAGGATTTGTTCATGCAGAGATGTTGAAATATTTATTAATTAGCACTGTATATGAGAATATTTAGATTTTTGTTAAATATTTTAATTTCTCTCCAATTTTTGAAATTCGTATTATGTGTGTGTATAATATTTTTTTTTTTTAAATTTGTAAACCGAAATAAAAAATTTATGAACTAAATTTGCCGCCCCTAAAAATTTGCCGCCCTAGGCTCCAGCCTAATCAGCCTGCTGGTAAATCCGCCACTGAATAAGTTATGTCTTGAGTTTCATTTATACATCGTTTATACCTACGGCTCCCTTATCTGCTACTTTTAACGGACCTGTGAATAGGCTGTCTCACTTTTACAACTTGATTACTAACATCGATAAAAATATTGATGTGTTTTACAACAGTCTACCAACCTACCGTAACTTTGTTTTGCAGGCCTTAAGTCTTAATGTGGTTTAAGTTTTCATTTAGTTTTGTTTATTATTGTTATTTTTATCTTTTTAGTTATGTATTATTAATTTTTAATTTTTAGCAGAAAATTTAATGCTGGGATTTTGTCGTCGATACTTGGGAAAATTTAAGTTCGTTGTCGTTAATCTTAAACAAATATTTTTAATAAAAAGACAAACACACAAACATAAACTATTTATTCCAAGGATATGGTCCTATGCGGCGCTGCCGGACCCCCAGGTGGGGCCAGGTCCAACCTGCCTCCTCGTCTCCTCTCCTGCTTCCACGCCTTCTTTCTACCCCCACCCACGCAGCAGCAGCTCATCAAGATATTCGGGACTATGCTGTCTCAGCATCTATCTGACTTCGACGAGGAGACGAAGACTATCGGTGAGACGTCTTTGTTACATGTTTAGTTTCTTGATAAGAGATACAAGATAAGCGTTTTTCAAGGCAGTTTTTGCCGCGCACCACCACTATGTGGAATAAGCTGCCCACTGAAGTATTTTCGAACCAATTCGACTTAGAGTCCTTTAAGAAAAAAGTACCAATACTTACAAAGACGGCTACGCATTTACGAGCCCTTTGGCATTTAAAGTATCCATGGACGGTAGGTATTTCCAAACCAATTCTGCTCAGGCTTTTTCAAGTAAAGAGCGTATCAATACTTAAAAGGCCGGCAACGCATTCCCGACCCCACTGGTATTTAGAGTGCCCATGGGCGGTTGGTATTTCCTAACCAATTCAAATTAGGATTTTCGATTTTTTTAGAATTTAGTTTTAAAAGGCCGGCAACGCATTCGCGAGCCTTGTGGCATTGTGAGTATGGGCGGGTGTGACGTTTATCATCAGTTAGCTCTGATCATATATATTCGCAATAAGAAAGTAGTGTTTATAAAAAGTTGACAAGTAAACAAATGAACAATAAATCTGATGCAGGAATGAGATCGTGACACATCAAGGGATTATTATTTAGGTAGTAAATATATGTCAATAGACTATTTAAAAGTACTGTAATTTTAGGTAAAATAGTGCTGACTGCGACAATAGATACTTTTAACAACATTGTCGCGAAGTTACTACCGACGCCAAGTAAAATGCACTACCTGTTCAATTTGAGGGACATCTCGAAGATTTTTCAGGTAATTGTTTAAATAAAGGAATTTGGAAGAAATTTTATGTTTTAATTAATGTATCTTATTTATTACCCACGTAGTATATAAGTGATGTAATGCTAAATAAATGCTATGTAATGGAAATATATGCTTTTAAAGCTGAAGAGAGTGCCTGGGTCTGGCTAAACACTCGGGGCGTAACTCCGACTATTCTGGTAATGCTTTTAAAACTAACAAAGCCTGAAGCCTCAATGCCAGAGATAATAAACACAATTCAAAATTTAACTTATTAACATAGAAAAAAGTCAAAATTTTATTTTACAAAATTGTGGAAACTATTCAAATTTCATTCGAAAAGCAGGTAACACATTAATGAAAACGGATATTTATGGGCTGCTGTTGTTGGAGTCTGGCTGTCCTGCAGGCTCGATGGCCCCTCCTTTTTTATACAAAAAACGTTAATAAATAATAAATCTTGAAACAATTAATAATAGATATGTTATCAGGAGTAAAAAACAAAATTTTAGCCATTATCATTGGTCAAGGGTTTGTCTAACATATTTTAATGAATTGTCAAAGTTATCTACTAACTACTAGAACTTAGAATTTATTATAAATAATTATATTCTTTGTATATTTTTTGTATTTGTATAGGTGAAACTGTGCTCTGTGTATGTTTAAATGTGTATTCCGTTTTTGGCTTTTGTGTACAGTGTAATGGTTTGAATATTGCTTAGTAAGTAGCTGTAGGAATACCGTTGAGCAAATAAATCAGTAAGACGTCTTCACAAGAGGTGACACGGGTCCAGCGGGCTTCGACTCGTTTATAAATATCATGAAGATATTTGCGGAGTCGTTTTCGCTCGTGCGCGGCGTGAGACGCCAAGCCTACTAGGCCTACTAGACCTACTTTAAGCAGAAATAGTAGGATGGATTAGGAGAGATTTGACAGATCTGCCTGATAAGTTCTCAGGGGATGTTAAAAAAACCTATATTAATATTTTTACGTACATATATTTATATCTTAAAAATATTTTTGTATTTTTTCAGGGTCTCCTAAGGAGTAACAAGGATTATCAAAACACGAAGCCAAGATTTCTTCGTCTTTGGGTCCACGAATGCTTCCGGGTGTTTAGTGATCGACTGACTGAAGAGAAGTAAGTAAAGTCTCTTCCTCTCTTTTTTCTCATCCTCTTTTTGTTTTTCTCGATATTCCACAACTGAGTGTTTCTTGAGGCAGTTTTTGCCAGTATGATGTATGTGGAACAAGCTGCCCACTGAAGTGTTCCCGAACCAATTCCACTTAAGGTCCTTCAAGAAAACAGCGTACCAATTCTTAAAAGCCTTCTGGCATTGAGAGTGCCCATGGGTGGTGTTAACACTTAACATCAGAGTAGCCGCCTGCCCGTTTGTTTGTTCTATAAGTATTTTATTTTATTTTAACAAATAACCTTCTATTGGTAAAAGATTATTAAAAATCGGTTCATTAGATCTAAAGATTACCCCCCACACACACTTACATATATATCTTTATTTACTTATTATATTTCTTAAACATAATGCAATTTATTTTCAGAGATCGTGATTGGTTTATGGGTCAAATGGGAGACATGTTGGGTAAACACTTTGAGCTGACCTTCCACGCTCTCTGCCCCTCTAAGAGTCCTCCCATATTTGGGCACTTCTTAAATCCATTCGAGGTGTATGATGATCTCAATGATGCTAACGCACTGCGCAGGTATTAATGAATTTTATACTGATCTTAATAATATTTTTTAAACATCAAATTCTGCATTTTACCCTTGACAATTAAATCTTAATACTATTTTACTTTTGACTATTAAATCTAAATTATATTTTAGCTTTGATAATTAAATCTAAATTCTATTGTACCCTTGGCAATTAAATCTAAATGTTATATTACCCTTGATAATTAAATTTCAATTCTATTTTACAATTAAATCTAAAAGAAATAAATTTAGTATGCGGTAAAGTTCTTTACGATGTTCGTGTATATGTTAACGTAAAATTGTAAATACCGTTAGATTGTAATCTATCTCGCGAGATTATAAACTGTCGAAAGATTGTGAACTCAACGTACTGCTTACAATTTAACGTATTATTATTCGGTAGATTATAATCTATCGAAGTGAAATCGTCAAATTGTGAACCGGTACGCACCTCGCGCGCTGATTGGTCGGCTTTATAGTAGACCGTTATATGTCCATAGAGTTAGGAATGAAACAAGGGTATCAGTCAAATAAAATGAATGCACTTCAAAAATTAGTATTTATTACTTAATAGGTAATCAATAATTCTGACATCACATGATGAAAAAAAAATATATCAAAATAAAAAAATCAGAAACGTAACAATATTTTCTCTTCAAACACAAATTAAAATTGAAAAATTAATGAAATTTTCTTTTAGAAAAAAACGATCACAAAATAAAATTAAAATTAAAAAAAAAAACAAATCGAAAACATATGAACGTTTTTGTAAACATGACAAAATTGTCTATTATATAAAAAATAAGAAAGTAAATTGCACCAATAATAATAGTAAGTGGCACCTGGAGTTACAAAGAACATTTCAGCTTTCTTTTTATATTTTTGCAATTACATTTTTTACTATTTTCATTATGCCCGCTGTAATAGTTTTGTAACTCTATGGTAAATTCTTCCTTATTAACAATACCTAATATTTCTGAGTTTTGTTGATCGACAGGCTCAATATCCGACATTGTAAATACGAGATCACAAAGGTAAAAATCACGCAAATAAAAAATATTAAAACACGGAAAATGTATGTAATTTAGACTATGTTTGGAGACCAACACTAACTTAATTATCATTCAAACTGCACTTCTTTGGTCAATCACAGATTAATTTTACTTCCACAACAATTTCATATATCTTTTCACGTTCACTTTCAACATCCTAAAGCTGTGAGTTACTTTCAAGACGACATCAATTTACATTTACCAAAACACCGTTTGTTTACATTCGACAACAAACGAATTAACAAACAAATATGGTCGCCACCATGGCATACTCCGTTCCACCAATCAGCGCGCGAGGTGCGTACCGTTTCACAATTTGTCGGTTTCACTTCGATAGATTACAATCTACCGAATAATAATACGTTAAATTGTAAGCAGTACGTTGAGTTCACAATTTTTCGACAGTTTACAATCTCGCGAGATAGATTACAATCTAACGGTTTTTACAATTTTACGTTGACATATACATTTTTCGGTTAAGTAATGTAAAAATTGTCGCATCTCCAAAATGAAATTTAAATTTTCTGTAATCTAATAAACGAGTATAGTGAGTAATACTTAAATGTGAATTGAAAATATCAACAGATTCATAACCAATCAAATGGAGGAATACAACAGTTGTCCGGGTGTTGTCAAAATGGACCTAGTGCTGTTTAAAGATGCGATTGAACATATTGTCAGAATTGTCAGAGTTATATCGCAGCCAAGAGGGCATATGCTATGTGTGGGGATAGGTAATTTATAACTATATATAATTAGTTTTTTTTAGCATAGGCCGACGGGATGTCCAAAAAGCGCAGTCATCGTAGAGCATAGACACCCAGACTCTTTCTCTAAACAGTTGGAGGTCTTATCTCTCAGGGAAGATCCCCTCCGGCAGTCGATTCCACATTTCGCTGGTTCGCAAAAGAAAATTTCTTGTGAAATAATTATTATATAAACTAGCTGACCGGGCAAACGTCGTTTTGCCATATATATCATGTATAATAAAAAAAAAGGGGTTGATCGTAGAGGGGTGAAAGTTAGGGGTTTGTATGTATTTTTTAATGCTGTATCATAAAAAAATAAAAACAGAAAAAAATATCTAAAAATAAAAAAAATATATTTAGGGGTGGACTACCCTTATCATTTAGGGGGATGAAAAATAGATGTTGTCCGATTCTCAGACATACCCAATATGCACACAAAATTTCATGAGAATCGGTCGAGCCGTTTTGGAGGAGTATGGCAACGAAAACTGTGACACGAGAATTTGATATATTAGATTTTATACATAGACTCTTATCTATCTTATATGTTTCGAGCTATCTATTCTAAAATACATGACAATTATGGTGCACATAATTTTTACAAAAAATCGATCGCACCTATGACCCCAGGGATTACATTCGCACGCTGAAGCCACTAGACCAACACTTGTTACTATATAACCTAGATTAATATAAAGTTAATATTAACAGGTGGGTCAGGTCGTCAAAGTTTAACCCGAGTCGCGTCCTACATTTGCGAGTGCAACTCGTTCCAAGTGGTCGTAACTAAAACTTATGGAGTGAAGGACTTCAGAGAAGACCTTAAGGTAAGATCCCTTGTATTGCTAAGGCATCTGTTACATTCTCAATCACACAAAATCATTTATTCACAACACAATGTACACTTATGAACATCAAAAAATAAATACATATTAAATGCTTCTAATTTTACATTTACTGCCAGTTCTCAAATCAAGGGCGTAGAATGGGAGAGAAGAACTGGCAATAAACTCTCCGGCACTCTTTTTAATCGCCAAGTTTTTTGTTTTACACGATGTTTGTAAGGAGCTGCAACCATTACACCATGTTCCACGTGACATCTTAAGTAATTAGTAGTTAATAATAATAAATTAAAATCAAATGTTTTTAGTTAATTTTTTTAGCTAGCTTTAGTTCTTCCCAGGTCTCCATTCAAAGGAGCCTGCGGGTCCTTCGGTTCTAGTCCATGCATCCAGTAGTACATATGTATTACAATTATTAGATTTGGGGAGTCTTTTAAGTAAAACATACCGATGTCAGGGTTTCATAGGGGTTATAAATTGTACTCAGTATATTAAGCTTTTAACGAAATATTTTTTTTTATTATTTTTTAGCCTTTTAAGTAGCTGTTGTAAGTTAAAAATATTGTTTATATTCTAGGTCCTTTACTCAACCTGTGGTGTGGACAGCAAGAAGACAACTTTTATCTTCTGCGACACTCAGATAGTGGAGGAGACATTTACGGAAATAATTAACAATTTGTTAAGTAGTGGCGAAGTCACTAATTTATTCAAACCTGACGAATTTGAAGATGTAAGTTATTTTTTTAATTTAACTTCAAAGGTTCAGAGGTTTGCATTTCTTAAATTATTACAATTTCTTTTAAACCTTTCGACTGTAATTTCATTGCGATTTATTTGATTTTTTTTTGCTTACGACAACTTAGCAAATCGCTATATGATACTAATTATAGTCAGGTGGGGTAAATGCATGAACGGGGCAAATGTAATACCATAACTTTAACTGTTTACACACAAAATAAACTAGTGCTGGCATCTCTGATACACGTAAAGTACTTCTTGCACTACACTCTGACAACTTATTGAATCTGATGGATTGACAGATTTTCACCAATCTCGTTGCAATAAAAACCAAAGTATATTTCAATTTGCGTATTTTATTGCTATTACCCCAGATTAGTAACTATCTACACTATTAGAATTTTAAATTTAATTTTTACATTTACCCCTTTACACCGGGAAAATGCAATAGAGAGTTAATCTGTAATCATCCATAATTAAATTTAAGTAATTACATCAAACAAAAGCCTAAAACATGTTTGATATTCACAGTAAAAATTATTTGTAAATTGTGTCAATTTAGTTATGGTACTCGCATTCACCCCACCTGACCCTACATTATATATAAAAAAATATATATCAAATAAAAGCTAATGCTTTTTTTTTAATATTATGGCCTTGGTGAAACAGATATATATTATTACTACTCTTTATTTGTTTTTAAGCGGTCGCATAAACTTTTGTGATTATTTGGTAGAATTCCAATCTAAACTAAAACTATATTTATCGTTGTTGCGATATATTTCAGGGACACAATACAAAAAAAAAACAAGATTAAATACAAAGAAACAATAATGTATCAGGTTTTTACCTAGCTTGGAAACCAGTTTCCCAATACCTTCTTAATTGTAATCGTTTTTGTTTTAAATGTTATATAGGAAAAACAATTATTATCTATTTCCAGATAAAGCAAGCCCTGGAGAAGCCGATGAAGGCAGCAAACCTTATGCAAACCAATGAGGCTGTATATCTATTCCTCGTGGACCGAGTGAGGGCCAATATGCATATTGTTCTCTGCTTCAGCCCTATTGGAGATGAGTTCAGGTATATATTATATTCCATATATTATAGGAACATTTTCATCTTTGGTGAGATATTGTTTTCTAACAATTTACAGTATGTATTTTGTTAGTATTTGAATAAATAAAACATTATTGTTAGTTACGTGTGTGTGCGTCTACGCTGTTGCGTACGTAATGCAAATTGCGTGTGTATACGTTATAATAGTTCCGTTAATCTAATATATAAAGTTCTCGTAACACAATGTTCATTCCCATACTCCTCCGAAACAGCTCGACCGATTCTGATGAAATTTTTTATGCATATTCAGTAAGTCTGAGAATCGGCTACTATCTACCTTTAACTTCTAAGTGATAAGGCGTGTCCACCCCAAAAAATATTTTTTATTTTTTGGATCCATTTTTATTTGTTTATTATGTGGCATTAAAAATACATACAACCCTTAATTTTCACCCCTCTACGATCCATCCCTATTTTTTATTATATAAGATAGTTATTTTTATTGAACTAAAAAATGTTTCCTAGAAATAATATACATGGCAAAACAACGTTTGCCGGGTCAGCTAGTATATTATAAAATTAGGATCGCTAATAGATAGCGTTGATTCTAAAATAGTAGTAAAATATTATAAAAATGCTTAAATGCTGGTCTTGTAGGAACCGAATCCGCCAGTACCCAGCGCTCATAAACGCGACCACCACAAATTGGTTCCTGGAGTGGCCCCGAGAGGCGCTGCTCGAAGTCGCTTACAAGTTCCTTGACGGGGTCGAGTTACTCGCCTCTATCACTGGGCCTAGGGTTAGTTTCATTTGGGAATTGTAAATGCTTATAAAAAAAACTAGAGAGTTTTCCTTACATGGTGTTGGATCATATTATATTGATTTAATCTTGGAAGACGAAGAAGGCAAATCACCTATAGAAATATGAGGGGGCCGATAGCTGGGCGTTGCGTTGCGTTCTATTCGTGAACGGGTGCTACTTGTGGTGACTGGTCGTACTTGAGTTCGTGTATGTGGTGATGTTAGTTATTTTAACTAAGTATTTGCGTGTTTTTCCCACGTTAATTTAATTGCGTGCTCCTATTTCACCATGCCTCCTGCTGATAATGGACAAACCTTTGTTTTGAAGTTTATTATTAATTACTTAAAGATGTCATGTGGAAAATGGTGTAATGTTTAGCTCCTTACAAACATTTTGTAAAACAAAAAAAGCGGAGAGTTATTGCCATTTCTTCTCGTCCGTTTTACACTCTTGGTTTGAGAAGTATCAGTAAATGTAAAATTAGAAGCATTTAATATGTATTTCTTTATTGACGTTTATAAGTGTACATTGTGTTACCTAAATCAGATTTAGAACCAATTTCTGGTTACGACTTGACTAGTTTCGCTCCAAAATCATTAAACACACACTTTGTTTGATATCCTACTAGACACACAGCAGAGGCCGCCAATGTACCCACGAAAATGAGTGTCCGTTAGTTGCAATGAAAACCCTTTTTGGACGTCCCGTAGTCCCCCCTATCTTATAAAAAATATTAGTTTATTTCATTAAAAACTCTTTAGTTTACTTGACATACAAATTGAGCGGTAAGCATTGTGAAAACCGTATTTACAAATTTTATTTCAACATATGAAAATTGAATTTTGTATTTGAAGCAGAATCTTCGTTTGGTCTTCCATTACTGGAGGTTGGCCATCAGTCTCGTGGAGCGGGTCTTTTCCTGTGCCAGATGCAGCAAGTCTTCCGCAGTTGCAATACTCGTCCACTCTATTTCGAAACCATTACTTTTTCCTTTCAACACGCGGCTTATCCTGGATTTTACCCATTATTAATTGAAGAAAGTGGTAGGGTAGCCCAACTAAGTCGTTCCATTGTTGATATATTGATTCACATCTTTAGGTGCGTCGAAAGGAATCCCTCGTGGAAAGCCGCGAAGACGCATTACGTGCGTCTGTAGCTTCTATAATGTCTTTGATACATTCGTCAGTGGGCAAATACTCTGTGCGAATGTGGCAAGAGATGAGAAGAACCAACTACGTCACGCCCACTAACTATTTGGAACTCGTGTCTGGATATAAAGAGTGAGTTACTATTTTCTTTCTTTCTTATCTTTAATCGGGATTAAATTCATACTTCTAGATAACGATTCTTTTCTTAATCTATCTTTGTCCGTTATTTAGTGTATAGCTTAAAAATATCAGAATTGAAAGGTCTGTTGTCAAACTTCTTTTCCATGGTATTTGTTTCAAAGAGTCCAGTGAATTTATCGTATCACTTCAACACAACTGAGTGTTATTTACGGCAGTTTTGCCAGACAGCATGTGAAACCAGCTGCCCACTGAAGTATTTCCGAACCAATTCGACTTAGGGTCCTTTAAGAAAAGAGCGTACCAATTATTTAAAGGCCGGCGACTTGCCCTCTGGCAATTGAAAGGGCTGCGGTAGCACTGTCAGTTTTGCCACATATTCTATAAAGATATATATGTATGAATAATAATGGCGCTTAAAACTAGTATGTAATTTTAAGGATGTTGAGACTGAAACGTATTGATATCGCGCTTCAAGCGAACAAGCTTCGTAATGGTCTGGGAAAAGTTGAAGAAACGACAAAATTGGTTGGACAGATGTCTGAGGAACTGGCCGTTTCTCAGGTACGATTATTTATGTGGCGTTAAGACATATTTTGAGAGCAGTGTTGGTCTAGTGGCTTCAGCGTACGACTCTCATACCTGAGGTCGTAGGTTCGATCCCCGGCTGTGCACCAATGGACGTTTTCTATGTGCGCATTTAACATTTGCTCGAACGGTGAAGGAAAACCGACTTGTTTTAGATCCAAAAAGACGACGGCGTGTGTCAGGCACTGGAAGCCGATCACCTACTTGCCTATTAGATTTAAAGATGATCATGAAACTAATTCAAAAATCTGAGGCCAAGATCTAAAATAATGTACTTTTCATTTATAGTTTTAAAAAGTATTTTTTTTACAGCTACTATAAATATTACGTCAAATTAAATATATTTATTTTCGTATTTATTTATTATAAATTACGTAATAGCAGTGTTAGCTTAGCGGTCCGAGATTACCAATGATTTGCACTGCCATTTTCTGTCCATGTGTCCAATTAAAACTTGTTGCCACCACACACACGTAGGAGAAAGTGGTAATCGGTAGGAAACCGACATATGTTGGATCCCAAAGCGTATATCACAAAACACTTGCGATACACAATCTATGATTGAGGTACTAAAATTTATATTTTTAAGAAAAATAGTGGGGCTACAACCCTCAGTTTTGATCTCTGATGATCTTTCGTGACCACTTTTTAAATAGGCAAGTAAGTGATCCGTTCTGCGTGCCTTCTAGGTATAATTCCGGTTTCTTCACGATGTTTTCTTTCACTGTACGAGTGAGGGTACATAGAGAAAAGTCCACTGGTGCCCAGCCGTGATTTGAACACATGACCTTCAGGGAAGGTCGCATGCACAAGCTACTAGGTCAGCTCTGTTAACATTTATAGCAGCAATGTATCATCAGGTCCAAGTGGCAGAATACACAGAGCAATGTATTGAGTACATGGGTGTCATCAACGTACAACAACGCAACGCTGATGAGCAGCAGCGGTCGGTGGCGGCCCGCAGCAAGAAGACGCAAGAAGAGGAAGTTCAGTGCAAGAAGTTGGCTGAAGCAGCCATGAGGGACCTGGCCAGCGCCATGCCGGCTCTAGAAGAGGCTGTTAAGGTATTCTTAAATTATAAATAATTGTTTTAATAAGAGTGTAACAGTTTATAGATAAGTGGAGGAAACTAAATAATATTAGTTATTTCGATTTAAATTAAATTATTGATAATTAATTAGAATTGCAAAACTTTTTTTAAAATAATATTCTCATATCTTTGTTTTACATTAGATGGACCTTGATTTGATTGTAAATATAGAAAAATCAGTCAATCTTATACTCTAATTCATAATATATGTATATGTCGCAGCCAACAAGCTTAATTAGCCGTTCAATTAACTAAACGGCGCCGTTTAACTAGCGGCCTGTAAGATGTTCAGCCGTAGTGTTTGTTACAACATTTAATGAACTGGCTGGCTAATGCTTAGGCCATTCGAACCAGTCATTATTTTGCAGAAATAAAAAAGATGAAACATATGACATAAAAAATATTTCTTTTAAAATTAAATTGCTTGAGTCAAATTCACATTATTAAAGGCTAGGCTGTTAATTGAACGCCTTATTGAGCTAGTTGGAATGATTTGTCCTTTTCGTTCTAGTGTATCTTTGTGAATGAATAAACGTGACAAAACATTATTATTAAGACCTACAGACAGAACGTTATTTATAGGCTCTAGACGCTTTAAACAAAAAGGACATCACGGAAGTGAAGTCTTACGCCAAACCGCCGCAAAAGGTGGAGATGGTTCTGGAAGCGGTGCTTATACTTTTACAGGTACTTATTTAATCAAGAGAGATACTTTTTATATAATTTTAATAACGTATGATGTATGTACGATACAAATAATATAAGATCTGACCAATTCATTAATAATAATGTAAAATTCCTTTAAAGACAAATTTGCGCGCCATTGTGTGTATATGCGAATATGCGGAATATGCGAACTTACGATTGTACCACCTTACTCATTTTTGTACCATATTCTTGCAATAAATAAATAATAATAATTATTATTATAAATTCATCATCATCATCAGCCTCTTTATTTGGCCCATTTCTGGACGTAGGCCTCCTGGATTTTCCTCCAGTACAATGGCCTGGTCTTTCTGCATTCACTGAGAGCCAATCTCCTTGCCGTGTCATGCCATCGCAGCCACGCGTTTTTGTTCTGCCCAGGTCTCCATTCAAGGAAGCCTACCTGAATTTTAATTAATGTAACATGTTTTATGTTATTGTAATTTAAAAATGGTTTTATCAAATATATTAATTTATTCATTGAAGAAAGAACCAACCTGGGCTGAAGCGAAGCGCCAACTTGGTGATCAATACTTTTTGGACAGACTGCGTGAATTCGACAAGGACAATATATCAGATAAGACCCTGAAGAAAATTGGTACATACACTGCGAAACCAGATTTTGACCCGGAGATTGTTGGTACAGTGTCTCTTGCTGCTAAGTCTTTGTGTCTTTGGGTACGGGCTATTGAGAAGTATGGAAAGGTTTATAAGTAAGTATTTTATTAATTAGAGCCTAGTGGCTTCAGCGTGCAACTCTCATCCTTGAGGTGGAGGTTCGATCCCCGGCTGTGCATCAATGGACTTTCTTTCTATGTTAAGCATTCGCTCGAACGGTGAAGGAAAACATCGTGAGGAAACCGGTTTGCGTTAGACCCAAAAAGTCGACAGCGTGTCACAGAAGGCTGATCACCGACTTGCCTATTAGATTGATAAATGATCATGAAACAGATACAGAAATCTGAGGCCCAGCCCTAAATATTATAGCGCCAATGATTTTTTAAATTAAGTATAGGATATTATTTCGTTAAATATTTTGTTGATAGATTTTGGTTATTATAATATGAAACTCATGTCATATGACTTAGACTAGTGTTTTCCAACCTTTTTTGGACCATGCCCCCTTTTGCCTTTCTAAAATTCTTATGCCCAACAATATGTAACATACCTACATAATTTTTAATATTAAAAATTGAATTGTTCACTTAAGAACTTAAATGATAGGTTCTAGGAAATTTTTAACGAAACACAGTAAGTAAATTTTCAAATATAATGAAATTCAAATTGCTAATAATTTTAATATAGATTTTTCTATATTAATTTATTATTTTAATTTAGTGAGATTCTTGCGCTTGATGATTGCTGCACAGAGATTTTATATTAGGTTCCAATTTGGTTAGCAAGTGTCCACGTTATGTTATATCCAGCCGATACAGATTGCCCCCCTAATCAATCAAATTGGCCCCCTGTGGGGCGTGGGCCCCACGTTGGGAAACACTAACGTATACTGAGTAATTTTTGGCGAAATATACACTTGTCTTAGATAGATGCAGCTGATGTCCTCCATTTTTGAAGTTATTAAAATATAATTATAGAATAGTAAAACCGAAAAAGGAGCGTCTAGAAGAAGCCCTGGAGTCGCTTCGTATGAAGCAGCAGATTTTGGCAGAGGCTCGCGCCAAGTTACGGGAGCTGAGTGAAATGATTGCCCGACTTCAGAAGGAGTATGACGAGAAAGTCGCTCAGAAGGAAGAGTTGGAGAGGAAGGCTCGGATGCTGCAACTCAAATTGGAGAGAGCTGAAGCTCTGATTACGGGATTGTCTGGTATGGCTTTTTAATAAGCGCCATTTTTACACTTTCACTTGTGTTTTCCCAAGAATTTTTATATAAACTTGTAAATATAGCAATGTAAATTACTAAGCAACTTCAATAAATTCAAGTTCCTACAACAGGTTTTGACTACTACGACCAATATAACTAGATACGGTATTATAATAATTTATATAAATCTTTAATTTTCAAACAAGACAATATTTAATAATAAGAGATTTAAAATAATGGTCTATCATTGTTTGAATGCACGGTAGTTCCCAATTTGATAACAGATGGCGCTTTAGCATTTTAAAACGCGCTATTGTTGTGTCTGATCAAGGGGTATATAATATTTACGAAAACATTGAATTGTTACTCTGGTTTCCCTTCAAAACGTATAAATCTTTCGCCTTTTACTAAAGATTTCCGTGGAGGGGAACACTCAAATGAGTCTAACTCAAATTTTTGGTACCCTGCAAAGGGTCTATAATTCTATGAAACCTTCACAATATACTGATCACTCTTCTATAATAAGTTAATAAGTATTAAGTGCTCTTGTAGTAACAAAATAAATTTTTTATAGATTAATTATTATATTTCGGGGTTCTCAGTTCTGTAACTTCTATAATCTATACGATTTATTACTATTTAGTATTTTTTGCTTATAACTGAATATTATTAATTATTATGTAAATCATAATGGTGAATTACTGAATTGGTTAGGTATTTAGGATAGCTAACAAGTAGGGATGTGACATTCTGCATAAATAATCGATTTTTTTCTTAATCGATTGTTTTCTTAGCCTGAAAAATCTAACAATAAAAAATCGATTTTTCTTAAAAAATAATCGATTTTTTTATTAATAGGTTTTTCCTAATTTTTGAATTCATTCAAAATAAACACATACATATTTTATTTATAATGGTTTTTTTCATTAAAAATAATCAATAGAAATTATAAACACAAATTAAAGTTTTAGATTAATCAATATCGACCATTAACCATTAAAGGTGAACGGGAGCGATGGGAGTTAACAGTAGAGAGGTTAGACAAGGAATTCGACAATCTGCCTGGGGACTGTCTGATCGCGACAGGCTTCGTGGCTTACCTGGGACCCTTCGTATCCGAGTACAGGGAGGCGCTTATGTATGACTGGTTTAATGAGGTAATTTTACGGCTGGATATTTTTTTTTAAATAATTATTTGTAAAGCAATTTCTAAAATCGGACTAGTATTTTGTAATATATTATTTATTATAATATTAGTAAAGTGTAATTGCGTTGTTAAATTTTGATTACTTAATTAGGCAGGCACAGGAGGCTGATCACCTACTTGCCCATTAGATTAATCACCTATTACTACTGATATATTTATTGTATTTAAAAAAACCTAATAACTAACACAAAGACATTGATAAGAATGTTACCTTGAAATTACCTCGATATGATCTAAGCTTCGATAATACTTCTAAACAATTGTAGCCGTAAAATCTAAATCACATATACATATTTACCGTAAATAACTTTTTGCCTTCTGCTAATCGAATATCAAAAATTATTTCAAGCGTCATTGCCTATATATTACGCCAGGCGCTAATTTTCTCATAAAACATGTAATAATAAAACGAAAACTGTTTATATAAATTACATATTTTAGCAATTTATTAATTCAAATTGTATTAACGGTACTTATACTGAAACGGAAAGTATTCTTCTTGTGCAACAATAGTTTAATTATAAATTATGTTATGTCGAAATGATTAGCTACGTCAAGTACAGTTAATATGTCAAAAGGAAGATACTATCTGCCCACAACACAGGAATCCTAGTGTAATTTCTCTTTGAACAACATCCCTCTATTATTATGTGAATTTTTTTTTTCGTTTTCATTTTTCTTATACTTACGATTGCATAGCGCTTTTCCTTAGTTAAACATTTGTTTATTATGTTCATGATAGTTCATCACTTCCTTTCCATCATCCTTCCACGTTCACAGCCTTTGAATGTATGGAACAGTTTATGAACACATTTACAAAAATCCCTGCTAATATTATTGTTATTTTATTAGTTTAATAAGTAACTTTGTGTAATACATTCTTAAAAACAGCATTTAAGATTAAACACGCGAAAAAAATCCTGTTAAAAAAAAGCTATAAAATATATAGTCATTGGACAGAATTTTTAATGTTGGACAGCATCAACTAGTTAATGGACAGCACTGTAATAAACTTTTTAAATACCAAAATAGTCAATGATATCTGCTTTTAAAGGAATTAAATAAAGTATAAACTGTTCGTAATTACATTTATTAGAAAATAATCATTTTAACAATATACATTTTTATATCTTAGAATTAATTTGTAAATCACATTTGGTAACAAAACTTATGTTATTCAGTCTTACCAACTCTTAGGTATACTTCTATATGTGTATTTAAAGCTTTAAACATAAAATAAAATGAAATTATAAAAATTACTTCAAAATAAAACAATGCCTTCTCAAGCAGACTTAATAAAAAAAAATTCTTATGTTCGACAATCATATCATATAATTTTTGTGTATCATCACCACTATCTTCGCTATTCCTTTCAGAGCTTAGATCAAGAGTGTCGTCATTATTATCTTCTTTATAGCAAACATGGCATATAAAAAGATCAATTCTTAAATCTTCGGGGACATGCTGTTGATGCTTAGCTGGTATACATTTTAAGTGGAATATCGCCGAACACATATCACATACCACCCGATTTGATGTCTTAGTCGACTTACAGCATACCTTGCACGCATTTGTTGAAACAGCTTGAGAGTTTTTGTTTACATTCCTTTTTGTTTTCTCTATCTTTTCCTTTTCCTTTTGTAGTTTAGTTTCTTCCTTTTTCTTCTTTTTTTCCTCCTTTGCTTTTGTTTCTAATTCTTTTTTCGACATTTGTTCTTTAAACATTGCTCTATATTTGGCAGACGTTATTGCAAATGGCATTCTCACGGTTTTCTTTTACCTTTTCTTTCGGGTGTTTTTGGCAAAGTCAAAAAAAATCCAAAAGGCTATTTGAAACAACTTTGAAAGCAGGGCTAGTCTCTAGTTGGTGAACATTCACTTGTCCTGAGCTTACAGAAATATTATTAGAATTAATAATTTGTTTGGCTGGAGTCATGTTTTCTGAACTTTCAGGAACAACATCGGATATAAGAAGATCTTCATTCAAATCATCATTCTTAGAAAATATACACTGTAACACATTTACTTCGTAATTTCCAGGTGCACCAAATATTTGCTTCTGTGTCATATCTTTATCACATCGACTTTCGTTATTCATTTCTATTTCTTCAATGGGCTGAATGGTCAAAGGCGAATCTATATTCTCCAAAGGTATATTTTCTGCACGGCTGGTTAAATTACTTTGTGCGGATGATGACTGAGAGCAGTAAACGTCAAATACTGAGTAGAGACGGTACAAAATATTCACGTTTTCGTCATCTACAGGGTTATTATCATAAGCATACAATTTTGACATAAAAGATGATCCAACCAATTCTTTAAATTTCGCCAAAGTAATTACATTTGAAGAATTTGTTTCAGGTTGTTGCTGAACAGACAGAACATCTGTACCTGAATTATTATTGTTGTTTATCCCACCGAGGCACTTCGAATAGTCTACTGCGTTAGGACTTAGGATCGAATGGTACTAAACCACAACAACGAAACCCATTAATGAGAGTATCTGGCTTTATAGACTTTAGTAATGCTAGTTCCAGAACACATGCAAAATTCACTTTTGTAATTGGTTCGCCGTTGTTTTCTAAATGCCATAACTTTACAGCGTCTTTCCAAGCAGCCTTAACTGGCCTAAATACGGCTACGTCGGCCGGTTGCAGGATTCTAGTAGCATTAGGATACAATGCTATTACTTCGATTCCCAACTCTTTGCACAGCTTACTTACACCATAAGTAAGATGGATAAGAGTTTTATGTCCATCTAAAAAATATATGACAGGAAATTGCACGCCTTTGGCAATCAGGTGAGGGTGAAATATGTTTGCTATGTATTCGAAGAATAGTTCGGATGTCATCCATCCATTTTCACTTCTACCAATTCCCCATTCTTTGGGAACTCCGTCCGCAATTTTTTGAGGTATTCTTTGATAGTTGTAAACAACCATAGGTGGACACGCGGTACCATCAGCGGAAAAAGTGAACATTACTGTTACTGACTCCTTAGCATTACCTTGATCAACTTTATATACATTTTGGGTTCCTTTCTCTGCTAGCACTTTACCCGTTCTTGGACATAATTGGAATCCACTTTCGTCGCCATTATAGATCCTAGATGGCTCCTTAAAAATATTTAACAGGTTGTTTTGCGACAAGTAGTCATGAATTTCAGAGAACCATTTCCTGATATCAGATTCAGAAACACATGCACTAGATTGTGTTACGCCTTCACTGGTACGATGGCTAGATGTCGTCTTAAAAATCCTCTTACCCATCCATCTCCAGGATAATTATTTATAAACTTATTGGGTCGTGGATTTTCGGTCAAAAACTTAAAAACACTTTGTTTTAAGTCATCAGTTTTTAAAGGGAATCCTTTCTTCATTACTTCCTTTATCCAAACCTCTAAAGTGCGCTCCTCTTCTTCAGTCAGAACGGGAGGTGGAACAAATGATGTTCTATGGGTTGGGTTTTTGAGTTTGAAATGTAAGGTAGACTTGGGAATATTGTATGTTCGCGCTATTTCTCGAATTTTACCAGTTTCTCTTATTTCATTAAGTGCTAGATTTAAAGTAGTAGGATCATAGTCTTTCTTTTTCCCCTCAGTCATTTTTTTATCTTCTCAAAACCGCTATCCAAGATTACCTGCAGCCATCGAGTTATTGGACACATTAATATGAGTGGTTGGACACCCTGTCCAAAGACTAGTAGATTTTCTACTAGTCTTTGGACAGGTCTATAAGCAATAATATAAAAAATAGTTGCTTCTGCTTAAAAATAAAGGTAGGAGAGTCTATAATAGCTTAAATTTATTTGAATTTCAAAAACACAGTTATTGAACACCTGTCCATTAATTAGATTTTAACATTAAAAATTTGAATCGTTGGACAGTACATTATAACCTAAAAATTATGTTTTAAGGTCACCAATTCCTATAAATTCTATGGTAAATACGATAATGCTTTACTGTGTAAACGGCTAAGCATATGGGATTAACGAAAAGAAAATTAACTGCTATAAACATTGTTGATAAACTTACCGAATTCTTTATTTTTCTCTTGAAACACCGCCGACTGTTAGGACGCCAACAAAAGTAAACAAAAATTAACTACTACTGCCATCTATTAAAAATGTTTTGAACTATTGAGTATTGTCAAAAAGCAGAATTTAGAAAGAAATTAATTCCAATGTTGCCATTTTTAGAGCAACCTTAATTTCTAAGATTTTATTGTGTTCTGTCCAATGCCTGGTAGCGTCCAATGACTGGAAGTTTACCCTACATATATTACTTCCTAGGTGTACAATGAAGGTGTGCCCTGTACAATGGACCTCAGTATGAAGTACTTCCTTTTGGACGACGCGACCTTGAGGGACTGGAACTATATGGGGTTACCCGGTAATGTTCATGAAAACATTATAATGCACATAAGCTTATTTTAATTCATATAGCTTTTGTATCTCAAATAAGTTTAAGGAATTAAATATTACGACAATATATTCTTGAAGCCTTGTTGTATGTACAAAAAAATATAAATGATTTTAAAACAAATGGTGACTTTCACCAGTATAATACGCGAAATAGAACTAATTTGAGTGTACGACCAACCAGGCTCCAGAAGATAAATCACTCCTTATATGGAAATTGTATTCGTTTTACAAACTTCCAAGCGAAATATATAGATTTATCACTGAATAAATTCAAATATCTCGTAAAACGTAAATTATTCAATAAAGCTTTTTCACTCTCATAACATCAAACTCAAACATGGCGATTAAAAAGAGTGGCGGAGTGTTTCTTGCCAGTCCTTCTTGCCCGCTCTATGCCCTTGACTTACGAACTTGTAGTAAATGTAAATTTAACATCTTTTCTGTTGACGTTCATAAGTTTACTTGGTTACCTATATAAACAAAGTTATTTTGAGTTTTGAATTTACCCGATGTCAATGGAACTAGTATTGCGCTGCAATAATAACAAACTGTGGTCGCACGTGGCAACTTTAATGACGTCATTAGCATTAAAAACTTTTTTTATTTGTATGCTTAATTGGGAAGCTTGGTCAGTTTCTAGCAGAGGTTTTATAAGGACTGATAAATATAGATGACAACTTCAGTGCTGAGAACGGCATAATAGTGGTTCGTGCGACGAGATGGCCACTGGCCGTGGACCCTCAGGGACAGGCGCTTATTTGGATCTCACATCTCGAGGAGAAGAATGAAATTGAGGTATTTAATGAGGCATTATTAATATAGAAATGTCACGATATTTTTTTTAATTCAAAAGGAATTTTGGAATGACCTCGACTCTGAAGTCTGAGCTTGAGATAAATAATAAATGAATAAATAAATAATTGAAACTTTATCCATCACAGAAATATAGTTGTGACGAAATCGATCTAACGACTTGACTGACTAGCAATGTAATACTAATTATTGATTAATTTATATGATAAATGTATTTTTTTATTATTTTTTAGTATCGTCTCTGATACAAAAGGGATATTGTATATTTTGTTACATTTTATAAATCACAATTCGTTGAAATATTTTTTTGTATTATTATTTTATATTATTATGCCATAATATTTTTACATTTTTAAAATAATTTAATTTAAATAAAAAAATATAAGGTATTTGTTCGAGGAACAAAGCTCTATTTTTAGGTGATATTAATTAATTTTGCGGTTTTAATTGTGTAAAAAATCTTACAGATTGTCGACTTTGGTCAACCAAATTATCTTAAAGTAATGGAAACGGGCCTCACTGAGGGCAAACCAATTCTTGTCCAAAACGTTGGCGAAGTTTTAGACCCGTCAATTGCACCCATTTTGGATAAGGCCATAGTGAAAATCGGAACTGCGCTTGTCATTAAGTTCAATGAGAAAATGGTGCCTTATAATCAGAACTTCAGAATGTATCTAACTACGAAACTGGGTAAGTAGCCCTTTTTGTGCTAGTTGTGAAGTGTAAAGTGTAGAGTTGCTGAAGATTGTTAAAATTTGGACATTTTTAAACAAAGAATACTGTTCTCACTTCTGGGCGGGAGCTCCCCAGACCAGCTCTTGTAGTTTATGGCATTGCGTAGAGATGTGGGGTCTCTCTGCATCTTCTACCGCATTTACCATGGAGAGTGTTCAGAGGAGTTGTTCGGTCTAATACCTGCAGCTGAGTTTCATTATCGGACGTCAAGGCAAAATACAAAATACCAATGCCAAAAAAATTTTTGGAATTCTGAAGGAAAAACATTTTATGTGTGGCAATCAATATTTATAATAATGTACTTAAAAATCGATTTAATATACTACTTTATGATACTATGATTGATAATGTAATGTAAAATGTTACTACTATGCAAAATTCCACCTTGTAAGACAAATTTGCAGGCCATTGCACATGCGTGGCAGAATATGCGAAGTTTAGATTACCATAATATTTTTGTACCATATTCTTGCAAATTATACAAGTTTAATTTGCCAGGCAACCCCGTGTACACTCCCGAGACATTGACCAAGACGACCATGGTGAACTTCGCCGTGAAGGAGCAAGGTCTGACATCCCAGCTGCTGGGCATCGTGGTGCGCAAGGAGAGACCGCAGCTGGAGCTCATGAAGGACAACCTCGTCATGACCATCGCCAATAATAAGAAAGTGCTGGTGAGAGAATTAGCTTTGATCATTGTGACTTGGGAATTGTGTTTTGGCCTAGGTCGATTCGATTCTCCAGCTGTGCACCAATGGAAATTCTATGTGCGTAATAAACACTCGTTCGTGCCTTGAAGGAAATCATCGTGAGGAAACCGGCATGTCTTAGGCCTACAACGCACTAGCGCAAGGAACAAGCGATGACGGACACGGTATTTGCGGCTAACCGCGCCGAGTGCGTGGAGGGGACGCGGCGCGCCGAATCATTCAATCGGTGCGGCTCGTCGCAGCTCCAGAACAACCGGAGCGGTTGACGGTTGTAGAAAATATCAGATATTTTCTACGATGATATAAATAAATAACTGCCGCAACTTCTTCAACGTCCATCATGTGCAATATTTCAAGAAGCACTGACGAGTGACGATTGCGGCAGACCGCAATAGGCACGGTTAGCCGGAATACGGCATGCCGCTACGGCAGACCGTATATACCGCGGCCTACCGCAGCGGCACACCGCATCGCGGCCAGCCGCTAGTGCGTTGTAGGCCTTAGACCCATAGGTCGACGGTGTGTGTCAGGCACAGAAGGCTGATGGTTATCAAATGATCTCGAAACATTTAGAAATGCTAGGTCCCTAAAATTGAGCGTCTTTTTTTACGTTTTGTATATAAGAAGATGATTGATATTATTAAAAAATTCAATATATACGCTTATGTAGTTGTAAAAATTAAAAAAAAAACATGAAAATGCATGGCATGCTAGGCTTAACCAAATGCGTCAATAATTCGTACATTCGTTAGCAATAATTTCCGCTATTGTCAAATTGCGCTGAAGACTAAGTTTTTTCACTTTCACACCATCAAACAACATAGCCGAATTAGGTATTACTTAGTGAAATGTATTCATTATTTTTATTGATTTTTTTCCTTTACTAAATGTTTGAACCTTTTTGTATATACATTATACAAATATACAGTGTAAACTCCTTATAACGAATTTCAAACCAAGTATTTTTCTTCGTTATAGAGAGAATTCATTATACAGACAGAGGAGAAAAAACACCAAATTTAACCAATTACAATAATTTATATATACGTATATATAATAGATAGGTGACAATGGTGCGTGTAGTAACTGAGACCAAATTTCCTACAAGCAATGTAATCTAATGTCTGTCACACGTGTTATTGCATTATGCATATATATATATATATATATATATATATATATATATGCATTTAACAATAACAAAGGCGAGACGGCTGTTTAGGTGCTTTTTTAGAAATTTCGGCACCTTAATAGGTTAGTTTTGTAATCTGATTATAAAAACAATTATACTAAAGATTTTTAATTTATAAGCTGCAGGATTACGAAACAAATAAATCTAATAAATATATATAAAAAGTGTATTTTGATTGCCTCTTGACAAATCATTTGTATCATGTAAATTACAGATGGATTTAGAAAACGACTTGTTGCGTATTATGTACGAATCTCAGGTACCACTACTGGAGAACGAGGAGTTGTTCGTAACACTTCAGACTTCACAGGTAAATCCTTAAAAATATAACCCATAAGCATTTGTTTATCATACTGTATTTATGATTATTAAAAAAACAAAGTTCATTTAACATTTCTATACGACCCATCGTAAAATTACACGAATATAAAATCTTTTCTATAGTATGCTAAAAATACTAAAAATTCGTTTTTTAGCGCACGTCCCTTGAAGTGAAGGAAGCCCTGATCACATCCCAAGTCACGGAAAAGGAAATTGATACAGCCAGACAGGTTTGTCAATAAATAAATCTTTTCAAAGGAATTTCAATTGTTCGGACCACAATATCGTATTGGATTTACTACGTTTCATTACTTATGTCTCTTTTCATCACAGCGTAAACACAATTTGACAGAAAGAGGCAAAAAAGCTTAGTCTTTAATTTATGGAATATTTAGTAAAAAAATATATAATCATTGATTTGAAAAGAGACACTCGTCAATGAGGCTTTTATATGTTACATATTAAATTTTTACCCGAATTGAAGCAAATATATTATAGTATATAGGATAAACATTGATGTCTAATTAATAAATACAGAAAAAAATATAAATTAAAAACCATTTCAAGTTATTAATTGTTTTGAACTAACTTGAATCATTTAAAATATACCTATTTTTTATATTTTATTGCAATTAATTAACTGTATAGTGTTAAATTTCATCCTTGTTAGGTTTCATCTCCATAAAACAGAAAATAAATTCTAAATAATTTTACCTCCCATGCAATAGGGGTACGTGCCGGTCGCAGTGCGGGCATCAGTATTGTTCTTTGCCCTGAACGACCTCTCGCGCATAGACCCTATGTACCAGTTCTCTCTGGACGCGTATATCGACCTGTTCACGTACTCGATTGACCGAAGCCCCAAAGGGGGCGAATTGGAGGACAGGATCAACAACTTGAATGAGTTTCACACTTTTTCTGTCTACAAGTAAGTGTTTGATTCTCTCAGGTCTTTTACTAGGAAGAGCTGTTATAACGCTTCACGCGATCGTATTGCCAAAAATATTATAGAACTGTTATAATGTTAATGGACTAGAATTATAGAAAAATATGTAAAATAAGATGTTATTCCTATAAAGACTCTCTCTGTGAGATAAAAATGTATTTTTTTTTATTTGTCAAGTCACAATGAGGGGGTTGCATATATTAATAAATCACCCAGAAATAAAGTCGCCGTAACATTCCTATATTTCAGATTATAATACCTGCTAAAAATCTCAAAACAAAAAAGAAACACTTTTGTCTTTTTAATTACGATATTTATACATTAAATATATTTTTTTGCTTTTGTAGCCTTAAACACAAACAAAAAACTTTACCATCAGCGCCCTCTATGGGAGTTAGTATTCATTAAAAAAAGTCCTAAAAAGTTGAGTTCGGTTTGAAGTTGGTGGTTTGAGGTCGACAAACTCCGTTCTTTCATTTTTAAACTATAAAGCGCCGCTTTGAAAATTTCTATATTTTTTATACTTCGGCTTCTGCACCAATCACATAATATGTGATAGGTTTCTATACTGTTTAAGACCTGAGTCGAAATCCTTACCTTATATTTGTAAATATCGTCTTTCATTTGATTAAAATACTTTCAGAAACACATGTCGTGCGTTATTCGAAAGACACAAACTCTTGCTGTCATTCCACATGGTTTCGCGAATTCTATTCCAAATGGGAAAGATGAATATGAACGAGTATCTGTTCCTATTGAAAGGCGGTATAGTTCTCGACAGGTCTGAACAACCTGATAATCCTACAAGTAAGTCGAAATACTTATTGTAATAATGTTTCTCAATTAGAAGTTTTTTCATATTTTATGTATAAAAAAGATACCGGCAAACTTCTTGATTAAACAAGGGAGTGGGGGAAAGTTTGCGCATCGTATCGCAGCGTGGGACACAAACGTCAACTGATTTACCAATCACGCGATCGACATGTCACTCTCGCCGCCGTGCACCACCGCCCGCCGCCCCCTCCCAGTGATACCTAAAAATCGCAACTGCGCAGGCAAGGACATTAGTTCAAGATGTTTGCCGGTATGTATATGTAAACATTGGGCTGAAAAGTTCGTAGGCTGACACATAGATGGCTACTATTAAAAAGATATTTAGTAAGCCCCAACCTTCAAAAGACACGTGTATAATATATTTTGACAAATGTACTATTCGTTTCTGAGGTATAGTATTTTGAGTGAAGGAAGTTTTGTTGGTTTAAAAAAATGGTTGTCTGTTAAGTCGGTTTACGGACGATAGTTTAACGTGACAACGTCATAGCAAAACATTGATGAAATGATTGCATACTTTCTGAATAAATCGTTTTTAATGAATTATTACTATTTTGTTTTGATATAAAGGAGTGAATCCTCAGACGCATAGGCCAATCGAGTGGAAGAGAGATAGATGCGGCGCAAGCGTACAATGAGCGTAACGGGACAATGAGTCGTGCTGTTTCGTGCGTGCAGCTGGCGTTCATCGATTTATTAGATGACGTCGATAATGGATTTAAACTAAATTCGCGTGTTACCATTACTATTTCATTTATAAAATTAATGTTGCCTGTTAATTTTTTATTTGCACCTACTTATAAAATAGTATATTTTTATATTCTAGTTTTACTATTTTTCTCTTATAATTACGTTTTATATCTATTTGCAATTTTTATCGTTCAAATAAGATTTTTTTTTAATGTTCCTTATTGTTTCCTATTTGCATCAGCGAGTTTCAACTAACACGGCTAGTTGATATTCACTGCGTAATCACAACGTGCAACAATAACTTGCATTTTCTGATCATCCTGTTTCTTTATTAGCAACCAGTGTCTGCTTATAAAGAAAAGAGATGGCATTACTTTACGTTATAGGCGAGTGTTCAAATCTCTACAAATTCTGTGTATTATTTCAGATTGGCTACCAGAGGATTGTTGGGATAATATCACTGAGTTGGACAAGATACCGGGCTTCCATGGTGTCATTGACGCCTTTGAAACATTCTCAAAGGAGTGGAAGGAATGGTATCTTCATCCGGAACCGGAATCGCAGCCCCTCGTAGGTAAGATCACTCGAACTTCACTTTGACAAAATACCTTAGTAATTGTGTATGTATCGTCTTAATACATAAATGGAAAATATAAGCAAAATAAATATATATGTACATATATATTGCAAATGAATAAGTATCGTATCTCGTCCAGTGTATATATAAACTGTACATTTTACTCAGGATTTCTTAGTTTTTTAAGCGTGGTGATTACCTAAATCATCGGAGTTACGCCCTGAGAGTATTGCCAGGTGCAGGCACTCTCTTCAGCATTAATTCATTAATTTAACATTTCATAGCAATTAGCGTGTTGTTAACAGTTTTAAAAAACAATTGTAATTGAAAAAAATAATATTGTTATGACATTTACGACATTTTATATGAGATTGGTTATGGAAGAGCTGGGTATCCGGACTCAGGTATTTTTACTTAAAAGGGTTCCCAAATCTTACACATTATAACTAATGAAGACTTTAAATTATTGCGCATATATTCTCTTGTTGTACGCGAGTGGTTAATATTGCGTAAAAAAAAATCCTCTATTATTTAAAAATCCGATGACCCAGTTAGACAAGTTTAAGTTTTAATTTAAATATTATAATGTGTTTTTAACATATAACTCAGGCGAATGGAACGAGATATGCAACGAGTTTCAACGTATACTATTCGTACGTTCGCTACGAGCGGACCGCGTCTCTGCGTGCGTGTCTGCCTTTATCGTGAACACGCTGGGACCGCGCTACGTGGAGCCGCCCGTCCTTGATATTAAGGTATTTGGTGTACCAGGGTGCACTTTTAACTAAATTATTTTGTCAAATTGTGTTCCTGATGTAATGACATATGAATTTTATATCCTTCATTCAACTACTCAGTGTTTTTCGGTAAAGTATTGAAACCAGCCAATCGAATTACTTACGAACTAATCGAATTAGGGTCCTTGAATAAAGCCACAATTCAAAGGCTGGCAACGTACTCGCGAGTTTGACTTTGTTCTCGATATTTTTTGACAACTGTTTTAAAAATTACCGAAAGCTAATTCCAAAAAAAAATTCCTTAAGTGAAAATGATTATAGGAATTTTGTAACAAGGTAATACAATGTATTACTCTCTTTTACAAACATTTCCTTTTTGCGTAGTTTTTGTGTGATTTTTGTTCTTTTGAAAATTGTCCATCCATTGACATAGGCAACTAAATTTCATTTTTTTTAAACATTGAATTTTTTTAAATTAACGTTCACCACAAAATTCTGTTTAATTTCAGGCTGCCTGGGAAGAATCGACGTGGAAGACGTCCCTTCTCTTTGTGTTATCCCCCGGAGTCGATCCGACTGCGGCACTTATCCAACTGGCGCAGGATGTCAAGATGTTTGACAAGTTCCAGTCACTCAGCTTGGGTCAGGGACAGGCACCCACTGCGGCTAGGTGAGTATTTTAATAAAATCCGGATTACGAAATTCCACCCGTATTACCTCAATAACCGTCGTTCCACAACTTAGCGTTTTTAATGCAGTTTTTTGCTACTATGTGGAACCAGCTGCCCACTTAAGTATTTCCGAACCCATTTTTTTATAGAACGGGGCAAACGGGAAGAAAGCTCACCTGATGTTAAGTGATACCGCCGCAAATAGACACTCTCAATGCCAGAGAGCTCGCCGAGAGAGTGCGTTGCCGGTCTTTAATAAAAAACATAATCTATTTTATTAATATTATATAATATTAAATAAGACGTCAGACAGTCTTCCAATTTTTCTGTTCCTGTCACCCCAGGATGCTCATCTCTGGTATGCGCGATGGCGGCTGGGTATACCTGGCCAACTGCCACTTGGCGTGTGAGTGGTTGGGCTCCATCCGTGGCCTGGACAACCCGAAGATTCACCCGAGGTTCCGTCTCTGGCTCTCATCAATGCCCGATGACAAGTTTCCTCTCAGCGTTCTGCAGAGAAGTATTAAGATGACCACGGAGCCGCCGCAGGTAACACAAATATACACTTAAACCCTAGGGCTTTAGATTTTTGAAGACTTGTAGGTGATCAGCCTTCTGTGCCTGACGTTTAGGCGTCGTGTATATTTTTTTATGTTACTTAGCGCTTAGTTTTTTCTAACTAAGTAAATCAAGTGACGGCCTGCCGGATCAAAATTAATATGTATTTCAAACACCAAAAAAGAAACTATCAGTGGCGCTATAACCTTAGGTCTGGGCTTCAAACTCTGTATCTGTTTCATGATTGTCAATCTAATATAAAGCAAGTAGATTCTGCCTCCTTTGTTTGACACACGCCGAGGACTTTTTGGGTCGAAAGTTTCGGAAAGAAAGTCCATTGGTGCACAGCCAGGGATGGAACCTACGACCTCAGGGGTGGGAGTCGCTAAGGAAAAATGCACATACTATTTTCTTCTTGACAATTCGCATTCCAGGGTCTGAAAGGAAACCTCGTCCGGATATTCTCAAACTTGAACGAGGATAAATTTGACGAGGCCACACCGAAGTATCGACGGCTTCTCTTCTGTGTCTCTTTCTTCCACTGCTCCCTCATTGCCAGGAAGAGATTCAGGCAGCTGGGTTACAATGCCGTGTATAGTTTTAATGATTCCGATTTTGATGTAAGTTTCATATTGTCATTTTCATAACTGCAGTTATGATTTTATGAGTATAGAATTATGAGAATAATATATTATTATTACTTATTATTAGAATAATAAACAATGATAATAATAGACGTTTTTGAGGTCAATCAAATTTGAACCATTTTTACTGTATGGAGTTTGCAATATTTGACAGCGCTGAAGATGAGATTGTGACTTAAGATACGAATTAGACTGGATCTTAGATTTTGACTTGCATTTTAAAATGATTCATTGTAATTGCCTGATTAATGGTAATGTAATGTAATTTCCTTTAATTTTAAGGACATGACAAACAATAGCTTGGGTGGTTTTTAATTTTTTAATTTTTTTTCCTCAAATCTTTTATTTTTTTTAAATGTGATGTTATAGGCAGAAGCCATTGGTTCTAAACAGTACCAGAGACGTCAAGAAATATTTATATATAAGAATTGTGTCATATATAAGCTAAAATAAAACGCAGGTATCGGACAATCTCCTAGCGAACTACCTGGAAGAATACGAGGAGGTCCCGTGGGATGCTCTGCGGTACTTATTCGCCATCATCAACTATGGGGGTCACATCACAGACGATTGGGACAAGCGGGTGCTCATCGCGTACATCAACCAGTTCTTCTGCGAGGAGGCCTTGGAGACACCATTTTATAGGTAACGACTTAATATTATGTGACACATTATCAGTGGTCTCGCAAGTGCGTTGCTGACCTTTTAAGATCTTTCTTTTTAAGAAACAAACAACCACATCGTACACAACGCAAACCTACTTAGAAGCCACCCAAAAACGCACTTTCTTCGCCCAACGTTTTTTCTCTTTCAGAAATGATTTAACTTTCTTGAAGACAAAATCTCTACTATCTATTCAATACTTTATAAATTCACTAACTTTTCTAAGCAACATCTTTTGAACCTGTTCTATGATGAAACGGAAAGTATTCTTCTTGTGCAACAGTAGTTTGATTATAGAAATGAAGGAGTAGTATTTATTACGTCAAGTAAAATATCAATTCCACATAGTGCTGCACAGCTTCAAGTGCCTTAAAAATGCTCAGTTGGTTGACAGTTTTGGTCTAATTCCCTCATAAAATTAGTCTCAATTGCACTCTTTTAGTAGTATTATTTCGTTTCATTCTGTCAAGTTGTGTTTAGACTGTAATGAAAAGAGATAGATGTGTACGCTAGCACGGTGATTTTTTATGAATGCACAGATGACTTTTAGGTTAGTATTTTTAGGTAGTACGTTTAACTGCAGCATGTCTAATTATTAAAATTAAAACAGAAATCAAAACTATTCGGTTTCTGTTATATATTTAAGCGCATTTTTAATTTTATTTAAAAATGGCAATCGAATTAGTGACTATCACAGATCTGTTCCTCTGAACTTACTATTTATTTTTACAGGCTTTCTAGCATTCCCTCTTACCACATCCCTAGAGACGGAAGCCTGGAGTCCTATCGTGACTTCTTGGATCTGTTGCCGCCCTATGAAAGAGCTGAGTCTGTTGGACAACATGCCTCTGCTGACGTTGCTACGCAAGCACAGGTTTGTATTACATTCAAAATTTTTGTGAAAATTTCCTTTAGAATTTCTTTATCAAACAGCCTTTTATTCCTTAAGTTTCAATAAGATTTAAAGTTGTGAGTATACGACATACGGGGATAATTTTTTTTCTAAACGCATTAATCTTATATTCTCATACAAATTTTAGGATGCCCTAATAATGTGTTCGACCCTATTTGCTCTGGCCTCCACGGGCGGAGGGGGAGGCGGCGGAGGTGAAGACCAAAAGGTATATATTCTTAGACGAATTAACATGTAACATGCTGACAAAATAATATAGCACATAAGTTGGTATTATAGTATTTACGAGTCATGATTCGACAAACTATTTAATTTTTATTGTTTTTTTAATATTTTCGACTGCGCTGAATACGAGCAATAATTAAATACTATATACATATTAAGAATATTATTCATCTATGTTGGAAACGTAAAAACAGGTTTTATCTTTAAAAAAAATACTATAAATATATGTCAGGTCTACATATAAAAATCACTTGAACATTATCATTTTTGTTATGTATACCTGTATTGAATGTCTTTCAATACAGTTATGAAAAACAATGAAGCAAGAGATTTTAACGTTTATATATTCTGGACCGTTATTGAACATATAATTATATCCTATTAATATTAATATAAACTCCTGATATCCTATATATTTAACTTGAAATTTTTGACAAAAGTTCTGAAACATTGTCAACTCGGAACAGAAGAGAAATATCGTGGTATTTGATAGGTTGACGAATTAGCAGCTGAGATGATAGTGAAGCTGCCGTCCAAGATAGACGTGGAGACCACAGAGCGGATGATGGGGCCGGAGATTGTGATGCCCATGTGCGTCTCCCTTTTGCAGGAGATCGGATACTATAATGTGCTTATATCGGGCATTACTTCTGGCTTGAAGGTATTGTTTTATAGTTACTTCGGGTTCGAATTGTTGGAAGTTAAAAATGACGTTATGCTTGTCTGAGCAGGGGTTACGTGTGACTCTCATCCCTGAAGTTGTAGGTTATAACTCCAATTGACTTTCTATGTGCGCAGTTTGCATGGTATTCAGTAAGGTGAAGAAAAACATCGTGAGGAAACCGGAATGCCTTCAAATAGAATAGCTTCAAAATGTCAATAGCATGTGTCAGGCACGGGCTCATCACCTACTTGGGGATTAAGAAAATTAATGATTATGAAACATACAGAAATCGGAGGCTAAAACAAGGGTTGGTGCGCCACTGTTATTTATTTAATTTTAAGGGAATTTTCCAGTTCGTATGGACTGATTTCACTTAAACTTAGTCTGAAGCCTTTTTTGACCTGTAACAGGAGTTACGTCGTGCCATTGAAGGCCTGGTGGTGATGTCTGAAATGCTGGAGATTATGTACACGTGTATTTTCGAAGGGAGAGTTCCCACTTTCTGGCAAAAAGGTTATAATTTTTGTATAGACTTAAATTGCCACTAGATGAATTTTTGTATTGAAAATTCGAGTTTATAATAACCAGTCAAATTGTATGTTTTTGTGTTTTATTAGTAAAAATAAATGTAAGAGATGGAAAATAGTTCCTGGACACTATGGCAGTAGATCGGAAATATATTATATACTATTTACAGGGTGGTCAAAAAGCCGTGGATCAAACGCAAATAGGGGATAGATGAGGTCATCAGCTGCAAAAAATTGTTCTACGGGAGGTTTCTAGCCTCAACCCCTGCAGACTTATAATTTAATTTGCATTTTTATAAGAAAATTGACTTGTTTTACATTAGTAACTACTACTACTAGTACTGATGAGTTCTTGCGTTAGACATACTATTTATTGTTGTTTATTGAGTGTATTGAAGATATTAAGTTATAAGATATACAAATTTTTCAAATCATAATTTTTTGTTTACTTCGGACTCATGGCCATGTGTAATAACTTTTTCAGAATCCCTATTAAATGCGCGAAAACTTGTAATACAGGGTCACTTTTCGGTAGAGTAATTTTTTTTTCACAGTGGAGTCCGAAGTAAACAAAAAGTTATGATTTGAAATGTATATCTTATAACTTAATATTATCTTCAATACACTCAATAAACAACTATAAATAGTATGTCTAACGCAAGAACTCATCAGTACCAATCTAGTGGATATTATGAAAAAGATACAGAATGTAGATTTTTCGAATTTTAATAAGAATTAGTAAAAAAAGTCAATTTTCTTATAAAAACGCAAAATAAATTATAACTCTGCAGGGGTTGAGCTTAGAGACCTCCCGTAGAACATTTTTTTGCAGTTGATGACCTCATCTAACCCCTATTTGCGTTTGATCCACGACTTTTTGGCCACCCTGTATAGCTGGTATATAATATATATTTATGGCAAACGTTGTTTAGCCATGTATATTATTTCTAGGAAACATTTTTATAGTTCAATAAAAATAACTATCTACTATACTACAATATAGGGGTTGATGGTAGAGGGGTGAAAATTAAGTGTTGTATGTATTTTTGTATGCTGTATAATATAATATCATAAAAAATAAAACAAAAAATTAAAAAATTTAGGGGGATGAAAAATAAATGTCCGATGTCCTACGTATAAAAGATTTCTATGTGAATACGAAACGTTGAATTGTTATTAAATAAAAATCTCCAGCCCGCCCATCAATGAAGCCCTTGGGCGCGTGGTGTCGCGAGCTCTTCCTGCGAGGCGGGCACTTGGGCGCGTGGGCCAATGCGCCTCGCTCTCCGCCGACGCTTTGCTGGCTTCCCTCCTTAGTTGCCCCTACGGGCTTCCTTACTGCTGTTATGCAGGTTAGTCAGTCGTATCGCGATATACATTTTTAAATTGTCAAGAGACAGTTACTAACAAGTTTTTTTGGATTGATTATTGAAATATTATTTCGTTTGATTTCAAATTGTACAAGTTTAGTATTCAAATGTTCATAGTTCTATTATGTTAACTACGTACTAATCTGATCTTACGTACTGTACGTACCAAGAACGTTCGTAAGAGTGCAATTATGGCTAATATTATTTAAAAAATTGAGGAATTTGCTAATATCATAAACTATTAAATTTATTTTGTGGGTACAATTTTGGACAGACGACAGCTCGAGGTGAAGGCTGGCCCATAGACACGTTGTGTTGGGAGTTTACGGTGATGCCTTTGGAAGAGACTTCCTTCGTCCGTCCGCCTAGAGATGGCGGCGTCTATATACGGTAGGAAATGTTATTAATTACACGGCATTAAAATATATATATAATACGCTTGTGTATAGTATAATTAACAATCCATCTATTTTACAATTAATTAATTAACCAAGGCGTTGCGAGTGCACAATACTGTCATCGAAATAGTCGACATTTTATATGTTCTCAAAGTGAATTCGCAAAAACGACGTTAAATATATTTCGGTAATAAAGTAAGACAACTATCTTGGCTATAAGCTGTTCTTCAGTCGCACTCTTCAATTCTGAGCGTTTCTTAAGGCATATTTTACCCCGCAACACCACTATGTAGAACTAGCTGCCCACTGAAGTATTTCCGAACCAATTTGACTTAGGGTACTTCAAGAAGAGAGCGTACAAATTCTTCAAACAACGCACTCGCGAGCCCTCTGGCATTGGGAGTGTCCATGGGCGGTGGTATGACTTAACATCAGATGAGCCTCTTGTCCGTTTGCCCCCTGGTCTATATAAAAAAATCGTATTATTGGCGCCGCACAACCTCCACCTTCCCCTGTCTTCGGCAAGCCTCTGCGCCTGGGTATACCTGTAATATGCCCTCATCGGCCTCGAGGTCTGATGCCCTCCACTATGCCAATAAGCTGTTAGTTGTATAGTTATAAATAAATAATAAAGTTTTATTATAGGGGCCTATATCTAGAAGGCGCTAGCTGGAACAAGAAGGAGGGTTATCTCCAAGAACCATTACCTATGCAGCTCGTGTTTCCAGTTACGCCTATACACTTTAAACCAATTCGTGCAACAGGACGAAAGTTGCGCAGTAACTATACTCTCGCCATTATATTAATTATTGTTAATACAAAAAAAAACTTTTGAATTTTTTGTTAGTTTATTTTTTTGTTAATTTTTATTATCCTATTTGACATGACAGTGCATTGAGAAGTGTTGGCCTAGTGGCTTCAGCGTGTGACTCTCATCCCTGAGAGTCACACGCTGCCGGAGTCGAACCTACGACAGGTTCGATTCCGGCTGTGCACCAATGGAGTTTCTTTCTATGTGCGCATTTATCATTCGCTCGAACGGTGAAGGAAAACATCGTGAGGAAACCGACATGTCATAGACCCAAAAAGTCGCGTGTGTCAGGCACAAGAGGCTGATCACCTACTTGCCTATTAGATTAAAAATGATCATGAAACAGATTTAGAAATCTGATGCCCAGACCTAAAGAGGTAGTTGCGAAACTGATTTTTATTTGACATAACATAGCGTAGCGACTAAAATATGTAAAATTTTACAGCGTTACATTAGTAAAACGACATATATAATTATATATATGTCTATAGAACCTACGGGCGTAAAACTACAGTAATTACTGACTATAATTGTACCTAAACGTATTTTTTATAGATCGCTACGTATGTCCTTGCTACTACTACCCGAAGCGAATGGGCGCCTTCGTTGTGGCGGTCGATCTCCACTCTGGGAAGGAAATACCCGACTTCTGGGTGAAGAGAGGAACCGCCTTGCTATGTACTTTAGCTACTTAGTTTATTTATTAAATATTTCTTCAACTTTTTTGTGTTTTTATTAATGTATATGTCGCAGCCAACTAGCTTAATTAGCCGTTAAATTAACAGCCTAGCCTTTTAACTAAACGGCGCCGTTTAACTAGCGGCCTGAAAGATGTTCAGCCGTAGCGTTTGTTACAACATTTAATAAACTTAGGCCTTTCGTATGATAGTCTTTATTTGGCAGAAATAAAAAACATGAATCATATGACAAAAAATATTTCTTTTAAAATTAAATAGCTTGAGTCAAATTCACATTACTATTGTCAAAACACTCTTCCATTGTACTTGTTGTTTTTCATGAAACTTTAGAAAACACCATCAAAGTTGTGGTTTGCCGACGCCATATTGACAGTTTGAAGAGTATGTTTGTTTGTTAACAGGCCAGGCAAGTAATGAAATGTGATCGATCCAAGTCATTTGCCTAGCTGTTTAATCAGCAGGCTGAACGTCTTTCAGGCGGCTAGTTAAACGACGCCGTTTAGTTAAAAGGCTAGGCTGTTAATTGAACGGCTGATTAAGCTAGTTGGCTGCGACATATATTTAATATATTTATCGCTTGTTCAGACGTATGTGTTCAGTTGCGTAGTAAGGTATGAAACTTTAGGCTAGTATGATATCTCGGTCTTCTATATAGTAGTGAAGATGTCTAATCTAGTATTAAGAAGAAGCCTTCACTCCTTCGGAGGTGTAATATTAAATATAATAATATAAAATTATAGTAATCTCGAATACAGGCAATATTCATTATTTTATCTCGGTCTTCTGTTTTTAACGATTTCTGCTGAGTGCTGATTCATTACAGTTTTAAAAATTTCAATTGTCAGCTAACACTGATTGAATTTTTCCAGCGTCCTATGCATATTGATACAGAATTTAAGCAACCATTGAAATCTCTATCTATTATTTTTTAGTTTTATAAATACTTATAGAATATGCTTGGAAAAACCGAGTGTTAGGATTTGAATATAATTTAAATGATACAAATTTAAATATTTATTTACAACTTATAATGAACTTATCGCTAGAATACATATGTATACGAAATATTATGCAGAAAAGTATATATTTAAAAGCACCTTCACGTTATATTCAGTGCAAGAACGACATTCTTTGGGCTAACATTTATTTCAATACAAACTAACTAACGCGACTGGCATTTTTAGCGTTGAGATTGTAACGTTTAAGTTAAGTGTATTCAGTAGAGTCTATTTTTCCATCAATATGGCACAATACAATGAACAAAAATCATAAAATTAATATAAATTGTGTATAAGTTTCACAGTACTTTATTAATTATATAAATTTTATTTATGGCCTCTGACGCAGGCTGTATTAAATAAAAGTAGAATCTCAGGGTAAATTAAACTTTTAGATACATTTACAAACAGCCTAAAACATTGGCGATGTATTTATTATTATCCCCATTGGCTCCACATTGTACCAAAGATCACACAGCTTTCTCTGGGTTGTACCGACTTCTCACGTGAAATCTTCGCTTATACCTTCTCAAGGGACATCTGCCTGAATGCCTTTCATACGCGCCATATTCGCAAGTTGGCGCGTTGCAATTTCCCTGGGCGACGCATACTCTGTCTCTTAGGCCAAAGTGTTCACGTCCACGTGCTAGAGAGAGACACTCGCGACGTCGCGTCGCGTCGGGCCAATCGCAAACACAGTAGCAGGCGCCATCTGTTATTTGACTTCGGAACAGGCGAGGACATGTGCATCTGAAAGATGAAGTTTTGTTAGGAAATTGGTCACATATGAGCCTTGGGGTCGCGAGTTCGATGCCCGGCTGTGCACCAATGGACTTTCTGTCTATGTGCGCACTTACTCGTACGATGAAGGAAAACGTGAGGAAACTAGCTTTAGAACAGAAACAGTCAACGTGTGTGTGTCAGGCACAGACGTTTGATCACATACTTGCATATAATGGAAAAGATACAAAAGCCTGAGGCCCAGACCTAAAAGGTTTTAGCCACAACATAGAACATTCTACAACACAGTTCTGAAAGATTCAGCAGCCTCTGAGTAATAAATAAATAATTACCTCCGCATTTGTGGCGGAGACGTCTGTTCTTCGTCTCTCTCTAACCTTGGCTCTTCGGTAGCTCTCCAATCGTTCTGTCTCTCCTTGGATTCACGTCTTTCATCAGAAGAGACTCGATCGATTCTCGTGCGAGCAGTGCTTTGTAGCGTGTCTTTGGAAACGCATGCGCACCGTGTATGGTTGAAAAATAAGATACGCGACGCTGTGAGATTACCATCCGCTTTGCTTAGCTGTAAAATTAGATTAAATTGATTAATTTTCTATTTCTAAGAGGTGTCTAGACATAATTTATCTCTAAACATATAGTTCGCTCTTTTACAGTCGGCTATTAGTTGTTAGCTAGTGGGTCTAGAACGTTAGAAGTTACCCAAAGTATCTCATATATATATTGCTAGTAGCCCCGGGGAGCAAAGTCGTAAAAGCAAAATCTATTTTTTTAGGAAAAATAAAAGAAGGTAATGCTAATACAAAGATATTAAGTACATAACATATGCAAGCAAGGCAAGCGATATAACCTCCAACGAATCCTCAAATATGTTGTCTCGAAAAATGTGCTCGACTCATATAAATATGAAGAAAGGGAAATTTTTAAACACTAAAACAATACCCATAAAAGAAAAAGTAAATAAGATTCTTCTAGTCAAGCACTTTATTCGAGATTACATAGAAAAAAACTTCATTTCACACTCGAGAGCAAACGTCTAGTGGTGAGAGAACTTTGAGGTTTTTGCTATCGCGGCTTATAAATGCCGGTAAGTTATTAGATATTTAACTTTAAGCAACATTAAAAACAAGTTGAAGAATTATTTTAATATTCATTTGTCGCGCTTCTATAAGACTGCTATTGTTACATTAATACAAACTACAGTGGTTTGTGTAATACTTACCATGATTTAGATTGTATTATTATATAATAATAATAAACTATAAAATAAAATTAAAAAAACATACTTTATCTTATACTAAAACAGTATCTAGTTAATTTCGAAAGCTTGTGCGCCATTATTTCAAAAGTTTAGTTTAAAAAACTTAGATAATATACGAGGACTATACATAATTGCCCAGCAAAAACGTGAAGGCGCTTAGTAAGTTTTATAGAAATGTTAAGTGATACCGCCGCCTATGGACACTCTCAATGCCAGAGGGCTCGCGAGTGCGTTGCCGGCCTTTTAAGAATTGGTACGCTCTTTTCTTGAAGGACCTTAAGTCGAATTGGTTCGGAAATACTTCAGTGAGCAGCTGATTCCACATAGTGGTGGTGCGCGGCAAAAACTGCTTTAAAAAACTCTCAGTTTTGGAACGGTGAAACTCAGCGGCAGGTATTAAGTCATTGATATTGCTGAAGCAACCCATTTTCATTAGCACCGTTATAATCTAGTATCCTCTGAATATATACATCTTGTAGGATAGCAAAAGTCAAATATGGCTACTTACAAAGAAAGATATAGCGACATATTTCCCATCGACGGGTGCGCAGACCTCTGCTTCATTGTAACAGCAACCAGAATCTGGCGCGCAGCGGTGTAGCTGGACACATGGTGGCATATACCTGTTTTAAATGTATGAAACTTAAATATTCGACAATTTGTTTGCTAAGTTTTTCTAGTGGATAAACTCGGGAGGAAGGATGGTGTACTGATCCTCTAACTTAAGTTCAGTCTAATCACTGACAGGCCCGAAGGTTAAAATCGAGAAGTTGTATACAACCTTAGCCGGGATAACATCCTTTGCGTTTGCGGGTATAACGTCACCATAGTGATTTGTAGGCGCACAGATTATAGATAGCGCGAACTATGACTGGTATGTCAAAATCAAATACATTTTTGACGTACGGAGTCAAATTTAGCGCTAAGTCGTCGTTTCTTGATATGATATGAGATCCTATGTAGGATGTTTTCGATGTATGGACAGTCGTAACAATCATTGTAAATACAATTACTATAAATATTATATTAACTATAAGATAAAGATAACTCTCGATTTACTGAACTTATTTAAAAAAAGCCAGGAGAAAGCCTTATTTGTGTTCCATGTTATATATTAACCTCAAAAATTAAAATACTTTTTCGTGTTTCGTGATTTTCAAAGTAAGACGGAGAACGAACGAACGATCTGTCTGAATGTTCACGATAACACTAAATCTACGTGGAATTTATTGCGATTACCATCAATATCTAGAATGATTCATGGAAGGTTTACTAGTATAAAATATACATACACAGTATCTGCCGCAGGCGCTAGTTTTCTAACTGTGAGCCATCTCGGTTGAGGGATGAGACACTTAGCCGCACGCACAACGGTACCCATATTTGTTATTACGGCTTTTCGAATTTCTCGTCGCTCTTCAGGGGTTGCTTGTGCTGAAATACGTACGATTTGTTTGAATATTCGTTTAGTTAATCATTAATTTATTATAAAATTGATGTTAGAAATGTAGAACCATAAAGTCAAGGACAATTAAGCAGGCGTCACCAAAAAGTCACTTTTTTATTTTAGCAAAATTTAAGTCTATGTCATCCGCTGAATAGTTTATTTATTTATAAAATCTAGCCAACCCTGGGCACACAGATACATTGGTACAAGAAAAATAAAATATTTTTTTTAATGTGACAAGCATTTAAAGGCAAATATAACATACACGGAGAGATAATAAAAAGAAATTAAACGAAACAATTACATTTTAAAAACTAAAGGAAAATCGATTTTTAAGTGTGACTACAACTATGGATATTCGGACCCAGCTCGTTAATCAGAATGCTTTGGACATCGGTGAGTTTTGGCCAAAACGCGTTCTCCGGAAAAGAGGGATAAATGGAATGATGGGGTGCCTGGGGTAGAGGGTACACGAAATTAAATTTTGCTAAAAGGATGGGGCAATCAACTGGATTTTTAAGTATCTCAATTGCAAACGATACATCATAGTGCGCTAGCCTGGTTTCTTCTGTTGGCAACTTTTATATTAATGAGAATACGAAACTCACAATCGTCCAAGATCCTAGGCCTCTCATTAGTAGCAGCAATCGGATCTACAGCAGACACAATGGTGTGTCTGTATCCGTCCAAACGGGTGAACGCTGAGGGGGTCACACCAAGGTTGAGGAGCGGTTTTGTGGTGGAACTGATCTCGTCTTCGATAGGATCCCACTCTTCAGCGTCGTCGTTTGCATAATCTCCATCGTCCTAGAAAAAATATTATTATGTATAGTTATTTATTATTCATCGCTAGAGACGATGAAAAGGCCCCGTTGATCCCTTGGAAGATGGGACGGGCTTTGGTATGGGATGCTTCTTGTGTGGAGCCCCGTCTCACCTCTCTCGGACAAGCAAAAATGCTGGGGCAGCCGCAGAACAGGCGGAAAATAATAAACGGCTCAAATATTTAAGTCTTTTCTCCAACTTCGATTTTGTATCCTTTGGAGTAGAGACTCCTTGGGCCGTGGGGTTCATGTGCACAGGCTATTTAAGTTAGCTGGTAGATAGTACCGGTGACCTCAGAGCTGGTGCTTTCCTCGCTCAACGAATAAGTATCGTAATACAGCGAGGAAATGCTGCCAGCGTTAAAGGTATACTGCCACAGGGACAACACTTTTTAAATTTGTTTTAATTTTCTTTTTATTCATTTTTATTTTTATAATAACTATGTAGGTTAAGACATTTGTAAATATTTGATATTGAAAAGGCGAAGGAAGTAGACATACAACATATAAATAATGCTAATTTCTATTTACTAGAGTGACGGAAAATTGTACTATTTAGTTTAACGTAAATTTAACAATTTATTGCCAAAATAAAATCACTTTAATTTTGCTTCGGAGGACATGACACATTTCAGGTCCGAGAGCCTCTAAATTATAAGCCGACTGGCACCTTGATAGATTGCATTAAATCACCTTGAGATATAGACTCTAAATTCGATTCATAGCGACTTCCACTATTTATTTTATACAGTTTTCGTAAACATATACAAAAAATCCAGTGGCGCTACAACCCTTTAGATGTAGGCATCTGTCTCTGTTTCGTGATAAATTGTTTTTTTTAATACGCACGTAGTTGATCAGTGCTTCACGCCGTTGTCTTTATGGGTCTAAGGCAGTGATGGGCAAAGTACGGCCCGTAGGCCAACTCAAGCCCGCCGAGGTTCCATCGACATGGATAGTATATGGCGCGTTATCATTACGTTTTGCCGGTTCAGAAGAAAAAGTAGATTCAACTTGTAATGTTTTAATAATATTATGATTAAAAGCTTTAACACACAATGCCTCTAGAATTTCTTTAACCTTTGTGGCCCGCCATTAAAAAAGTTTGCCCACCACTGTTCAAAGGTATACTGGTTTCCTCTTGACGTTATCCTTCGCCGTACGGGTGAGTGTTAAATGCGAAAGAAAAAAAAGAAACACCATTTTTGCACAGCCGGGGATCGAACCTATGACCTCAGGTTAGCTATATATATATATATATATATATATATATATATATATATATAAATATATATATTATATATATATATATATATATATATATATATATATATATATATATATATATATATATATATATATATTATGTATAATAATCACTAAGACGTTTAAAAGTAGGTACGTCTCTTACGTCAGCTGTATTATTTATAACTTATAATTTATAACTTATCCTTATATAAAATTGTAAACCTCACAATCCCTGTAATTAGTTAGTCACAACCAATAAGCATACAAATGAATGTTGAAAAGAAACAGACGCGTGCGCACGCACAGAAGTTATTCCTGGATGTATGGAGCGGAATGACTCATACGTGTAAGGAATTATTGGATAGCAATTTAATAAATTCAAAGTTAAAGTTATAAAGTTCTGTTTTTATTAACATATCTTCCAAACAATTACCAAAGCTTTGAATACAGTCTCTTGTGGGTTCGATTCCCAAGGACACGGTACAGTTTTCTTCGACAAACCATCCTATTGCCTGAAGGTTCGGGAATTTAAAACTCCATCATAAATTAAACCAAGAAAATTTCAAATGATCCATAATACAATAAGCTCCGATGTTCATTTTGTGTAACTACTTCAATAGACACTTAAGAAGTAATAAAAATATGATTGCATGGACTCGAATGTTAGCAATAAAAACTCTTTGATCTATGGTTTTATTTTTACGACTTTAGTTATGTTAAAAGCTTGTTTATGATAATTTAATTTCTTGGTCGTTAAATGTTTTATTGTCATTAATCTGAACAATATTTTTATAGACATTTGAGGAATTTTTGTAATAGGTTTCAAATCAAAATTATTTTAATTACTATGTACTGATCATCAATATTAATATAGGAAGATCTAAATTTACATTTTCTACCAGCTCCCAAATCCCAAATCAAAGCTGAGAACTGGCAAGAAATTCTCCGACACTCTTTATAATCGCAAAGTTTTTAGTTTTGATTTATTTTTATGTAATAGGAGGCAAAGGGGCAGGAGGCTCTGATGTTAAGTGATACAGCCGCCCATGGACACTAACATTGCCAGAAGGCTTGCTTGTTGCCGGCGTTTTTAGAATTGGTACGCTCTTTTCGAATTGGTTCGGAAATACTTCAGTGGCCAGCTGGTTCCACATAGAGATGGCGCTCGGCGAACTGCCTTAAGAAACGCTCAGTTGTCGGACGACGAATGTCAAGGTGATACGGATGGTATCAAGGAAATTGTGCAGAACAACCATCAACCTTCACTTGACATATTGAAATAAAAGTTACAGTGAAGTCGTCTGTTTGGGCTCTGCATGCAATTCAATACTGTCTTATGGAACGCATACAACATAACTTTACTCGATTAATTTATTACTTCTCGATTTATTATTTGTCTTGGGTGGGGTACAATAAAATAGAAACAAGACGGGACTTACAGTTGGCATACTATCTACTTTTTCCTTCCGGCGGTGGTGCGCAATCCAAGTATTCTTCAAGAACTCGGTTTCCTTGTACCTAGGGGATATGTGCGAAAGCCAAGGTTGTTTGCGATACCAAGGGCCAGAACCAGTTTGTTACACATATCCCCGTTATAAGGCGCAAGTAGACGCAACTACTGAATTCTGACTCCGACACTTTCGATATCTTTATACGTCTGCAGAGTGAGGTATTGTATGGTAAAGGTTCACAGTAGCGATATTGTGTATCTTATGTATTTAATATTATATAATTTAGACATTATAGTATAGTAGTACTGTAATTATAGTGTATGTATTTTTGTGAATAAATGAATAAAATTCCTATGATTTTAGTCTATCTATTCATTCGCGATCAATCCCTTTATGTCTCGGCCATACATTCCTACGTCGTTCTAATTGATCTAGGCAAGAAGGGTCCTTGATGATCAGCCTTTTTGCATAAATAAAAAAATAAATCAGTGGCGCTACAACCTCTTTGAGCCTGAGCCTCAGATTTCTGAATCTGTTTCATTATCATAGGCAAGTAGGTGATCAGCCTCCTGTGCCTAACACGCCGTCGACTTTTTGGGTCTAAGACATGTCGGTTTCCTCACGATGTTAAATATCATAGAAAGTCCATTGGTGCACAGCCGGGAATCAAACCTACGACCTCAGGGATGAGAGTCGCACGCTGAAGCCACTAGGCCAACACTGCATCTTTGATTAACTCGATTTTAAATGCATGTCTTAAAGTTAAAGTCAACGGATTCTTGACTGAACTGATCTTACATGCAACCTCATCATTGCAGAAACAGGAGTTAGGTTCGAACGCACCCTGTCGGGATTGATAATCACACCTAAAATACAGTGCTTGCTCAGTCTTTAATCATTTAAAATATATTAATTAAATAAGTATTACGTTGCGCTTACTATATGCTGTCTGCGACACTATCGACATCTTTAAGATATAATCGCAAAGTAAGTTAATTGTAGCGATATTGTTAAAAGGTTAGTCGATATCACAGGACAGCGAGGAGCTACCTCGGACAAAGAATTAGTCTAGCTATTCAAAGGGGGAACGCTGCCAGTATCTTCGGACCTAATGGGACTCCTTTTAATAATATATTTTAGTTATTATATTATATTATATTTAAGGTTTTTAGTTTTAGATTCAAAGAATGTTACTTAATTTTGTAAGTAAATGTATTTAAATGAGCAGTGTTGGCCTAGTGGCTTCAGCGTGCGACTCTCATACCTGAGGTCGTAGGTTCGATCCCCGGCTGTGCACCAATAGACTTTCTTTCTATGTGCGCATTTAAAATTTGCTCGAACGGTGAAGGAAAACATCGTGAGGAAACCGACGTGTCTTATACCCAAAAAGTCGACGTCGTGTGTCAGGCACTGGAGGCTGATCACCTACTTGCCTATTAGATTTAAAAATGATCATGAAACAGATTCAGAATTTAAATGTTTTTAAATATCACATACTTATACTTTAATATTATATAATGTATTATATTTTTTTTTACATTATCGTATTGGAACTGCACGGATAGTGTTGTTTTTGTGAGTAAATAATTATTTTTTTATACAAATAAATTTCACTAGAATCTCAATTTAACAAAAATAATTGAATCTCTCTGATGTCTGTTGACTTTACCCTTTAAATCGACCTTTTGTTTAGTTGGATGTTGCAAGCTTGCAATGTATTCATCAACGAAGCGTTTGTCATAGTTGACCTCACCTATGCGATAAAATAAACGATTTTCATAAATCCCACATACAACCTACGTTACCTAAGATTTGTTTAAACTTTTGAAATGAAGCAATGTTTGTAATGAAGATACAATCTTACAATTGAAATAAATTGTTTTATGTAATGTTTGATGCAAATTATGTTCATAAGCAAATTTGTCCAACACAACAAATAATGTATAATTAGCTAATTAGATTTTAGCTTAAGTGACGTTAATTTTAGAATTACTTTAATTATAACACGGTAAAAAGGCCGTATGGTATGTATTTACAATATTCTTAACCTCATGTAGGGTAGTAATAATATTTTTATTTTATTATTAGATATTATTACTATGTAAGTTTGAATACTGTAAATATTGTATATATATTAGTTTGTTAATAATGGACTACCCTGGTACACTGTGTTTAACTTTCGGTCCTGGATTTTATCTACTGTGCAATGCAAGACTGATATTAAAAGTAAAAATTGATGAGGTTCTCACAAGAGCAATACCGAATATTGGAACTTGGAAGTTGG